CTTGCTCAACGCGACAGGCGAACTCCATGTAAGGATATGCGTACATCTTGTTTCCAGACAGACCAAGCTAACAGGCCCAGGTTTACGCACTGCCCGACCTCTCAAAGCCCATATATGCCGCCGCCGGGCTTTCCCACATCCCGTCCCTTCTTTCCGCAGACTACGCAGTCCGCCGAGGCACCAGTCCCGAGACTCTGACCGAGATTCTGGTTGCTGACCTCGGAGACTCTACCAGTGCTTCCGCACACCTGATCGTAAGTTGAATATCCTTAAGTCTCCACAAGGGGGCAAACGCAACACAGAATTCTGACTCTCCCAGCTACGACACGCCAATGATGACATGACAATATACGAGCCGTTCCGGATCGGCGGTCAAGAGGAAAGGAAAGACTTGGCCACGTCTCTATTCTTCAAAAAGGTGTCCAATTCACACCTGGCCAAGAGCCCGGTCGAGGCTGCGGAGGATGAGGCCGTCCAGGAGAACCGTGTGATTCCTCTACGAGCTTGTGACAATATCGGTGGTTACAGCACCGTCTTTGTCCCGGGAGCATCCCCATCCTTCATCCTCAAATCCAGCAAGAGCACACCCAAGGTCATCGGCCTTCAAGGCCTCGGCGTCAACGGCATGAGCTCCTTCCACACGGAGGGCTGCGAGCGCGGATTCATCTACGCCGACTCCAAAGGCTGTGCTCGCGTTACGCAATTTCCTGATGCCGCCAACGTGGCCGAGCTTGGCGTGTCTGTCCGCAAAGTGCCCATCGACACGGCGGTCAGCCATGTGGCGTGGCATCCTAACATGGAGGTCTACGCTGTGGCGTCCAGCAAGCTCGAGCCCTTTGAACTGCCCAAGGATGATGACTACCACAAGGAGTGGGCCAAGGAGGAATGTCCCATGCCGCCTATGAAAGAGCACGGCAGCATCAAGCTGTACTCGCCAATTACCTGGAACGTCATTGACGAGTTTGAGCTGGAGCAGTACGAGGTCGCCATGTGCATGAAGACGTTGCTTCTCGAAGTGTCGGAAGAGACGAAGGAGCGGCGCATGCTCTTCGCCGTGGGCACCGCCATCCTCCGCGGAGAGGACCTACCGGTCCGCGGCCGCATTCTCGTCTTCGACGTCGTCCATGTCATCCCACAGCCAGACCGACCCGAGACGGACCGCAAGCTAAAGCTCATCGCCAAGGAGGAGATCCCGCGCGGCGCCGTCACCTCGCTCTGCGAGGTGGGCACGCAGGGCTTGATGCTGGTTGCCCAAGGCCAGAAGTGCATGGTCCGGGGTCTCAAGGAGGATGGCACGCTGCTGCCGGTGGCCTTTCTCGATATGAGCACCTACGTGGTCGCCGTACACGAGCTGCGCAATACGGGCTACTGCCTCATGGCAGACGCCAACATGGGCGTGTGGTTCGTGGGATACTCGGAGGAGCCCTACCGGATGACGCTCTTTGGCAAGAGCGGCACGCAGCTCAAGTGCCTGACGGCTGACTTCCTCGTCGCCGGCAACGACCTGAGCATCGTGGCGTCTGACGAGGACGGCGTGCTGCATATCCTGCAGTTCGATCCTGAACGTGAGTGCCGAGGCATCCCTTTTTCGTCCTTTCTTCGTTTTCCTTTCTTGAACTACTGCTTTTGCTCCCACCCCTGACGACTTCCCACACATGTCTAACAACCGCGCAGACCCCCGATCTCTCCAGGGCCACCTCCTTCTGAACCGTGCCTCCTTCTCGGTGGCCCCGAATCACGCGTGGGTTACCCTCGCCCTCCCTCGAACAACGACCCGTCCCTACCTACCCCAATCGGAGCCGGCCACCAGCGCCGCCGGGTCCCAGAACCGCACGCAGACGCTCCTCCTCGCCTCGGCCTCCGGCGCCATCGCCTCCCTGAATCCGATCACCGAACACGCCTACCGCCGCCTGACCTCGCTGACGACGTCCCTCGCCAACGCCCTACCGCACGCCGCCGGGATGAACCCCAAGGCCCACAGGCTGCCCCCCCAAGACGGCGCCGCGCGCCCGCCGGCCGTCGACGTCTCAGCCGGCAGGACCATCGTCGACGGCGCGTTGCTGGCGCGGTGGAACGAGCTCGGCGCGCGGCAGAGGGCTGAGGCCGCCGGCAAGGGCGGGTTCGCTTCGGCCGCCGACGTCAGGGGGGAACTCGAGGACGTGCTCGGCTGGAGGGGGGTGGACTATTTCTAAGCGACAGGGAGGGTTCCCGTCGGGTATTGAAGCATGGTCCTTAAACGGCGTAGTCCTGTATGTATCATAGACAAAAGAAAAGAATTCGAGGCGTGTTTGTGAACAAACCCTGCAAGTATGTATGCACGCGAGAGAGAGAGAGAGAGTGGAGAGAAGTGATCCGCGCCCACGCGGGAGCGCACGCATCGAAGTCCCCGTCGGCCAGCTACTCGGTCAATACCCTTCCCAACCAGCATCGCCTCCCCGCAAGAAACACGCCGTTCGTCGATCTGCCCTGAACGGATTCGGGGCTCGTGACTGACTTGTTCTGCCCCCTACCCCCAAAGCCACGCACGTACTGGGCACTCGGACGGCCCGCACGGAAAGGATGCGGTGCTACCACTTGGAAGGATTGCGGCACAGCGCTCGGCGGACCGATTCCGAGGACTAGTCGCGTCTATCCGTATGGGCGTGACGTGTGTGTGGGGGGGGGGGGGGACTGTCGCCCTCTTTGGACGGAGAGGGTAGGCAGAAGAAGAGCCTTTGCAAGTGTTCACATTTCTTGAAAGGGAGCTTCAACTCGAGCAACGTCGACTGCGGCCTCGGTCACGGCGTGTGGGGAAGGGATCACGAAAAGATTTGGCTGCAGCCCGGCCCGTTCAGCGAGACTTGCCTGCCTACCTTACCTCCCTTGCGGTTTGGCGGGGGATTTGGCCACCCCAGGTCCACTCGGCGGCACTCTCCATTTAGCCACGGCGGCCCGACGTTGAACGACGCGCGCAGTACGGCTGAGGGTTGATTGAGCCTTCGGTTCGCCACGGCGTGCGGATGCTCAGGAACTTATGCTCCCGCCGTGCCAGGGCGCATTGGCATCCTTGGTCATTCGTGGTCATTCGCGGTTCTCACAGTGAACACGAGCAGCCGTTTGAGTAATGGTTTGCGCATCTCACCCCCATCTGCCTCTGGAGCGCCTACATTGAAAAGTCGTCGTGACAGGGGACCCTGAACACGGCGTAACTTTCGGCGTGCCTGCAGATCCGCCGGGAGCACGTTGTGGTAGATCTACAGGCATAGCAATCCATGCTCCCCACGGGGAACAAACAGCCACTTGGGGCCGAAGACATTTATAAATCTTACCGCCCGTAGATATTGCTGCTCCTCCTGGTCTCGTCTGGTCAACACGAACCAGTGAAATACGCCGCCATGCAGACTCTCCTCACATTCGCCCTCGCGGCCGCTCTGTCGCCAGCCGGCCTCGACGCCTCTCCAACGTGCACTGTCGAAAGCTGCCTCACCGCTGCCTCCGTTCCCTGGCTCGATGACACCGCCCCCGACTGGACCGTCTACACCTCACCCTACAATCTGCGCCTGCCGGTGGCCCCTCGTCTCGTCGTGCCCGCCACGAGTGTAGCCCACATCCAGGACGCCGTGCGATGCGCCGCGCGCCACGGGCTCAAAGTAGCGCCCAGGAGCGGCGGGCATGGATACGCCACGAACGGACTCGGCGGCGAGGACGGCCACGTCGTCATACAGCTGGATCGCATGTTCGGAGTAAGACTCAGGGATGATGGGACGGCCATCGTCAATGCCGGATCCAGACTGGGTCACATCGCTACAGAGTTATTCGCACAGGGCGGCAGGGCCATTTCGCAAGGACTCTGCCCGAGGTGAACTTCCAAAGCTCGTGATATCCCGTCGAGGAAAGCTGACAGTGCAACAGTGTCGGGATGGGCGGACATGCTGCTCACGGAGGGTTCGGGTTCAGCTCGCACACGCATGGACTGACGCTCGATGCCGTCATCGGGGTGACCGTCGTTCTCGCAGACGGATCTCTCGTGCATGCCTCCGAGAAGGAGAACGCCGACCTTTTCTGGGCGCTTCGCGGCGCAGGGTCGTCGTTTGGAATCATCGTTGAGTTTGAGGTCAAGACCTTTGCGGCACCGAAGGAGGTGTCATGGTTCGCCATCGCGTCCAATCTTGCCGTCGACAAGGAGACGGCTCTCGCGGGAATCAAGGGCTTCCAGGACTTTGTCGACAACGACATGGCCCCCGAACTCAACCTCCGCCTTTCGTTGACCAACTATTTCGGCTCCTGGGACAACAAGCTCGAGGTGCTGTACCACGGCAGCGAGGCCGATGGTAGGGCGGCGCTGGAGCCCCTGAATGACCTGCTCAAGTTTGACTGGACTTCGGAGCGGACAAGTGTTGGATCAGGCGACTGGATGGCGGGCGTGAAGCGCTGGGCGGACGGGTTGACGGGCCCGTCGGTCAACATCACCTTCCCGTACCAGCAGTCCGGCGCGCTCTTCTTCGCGACGAGCCTGATGACCAAGAAGATGCCAGAGGCCTCGTTAGAGGGTTTCGTGGACTACTGGCAGAACCAGGGACGGCAGCCGCGGGCCTGGTTCGTCCAGATGGACGCCCACGGAGGAGCGAACTCGGCTGTGGCAGCCGTACCAAAGGATGCCACGTCGTACGTGCACAGGGACAAGTTGTGGCTGTTCCAGTACGTCATTCTTGCCACAGATGCGGTGGATCGGGAGCCTTATGGTTTTCTGGATCGCTGGATCGACGCCATCACCGACGGCATGCCAGACAGCGACTGGGGACGGTACGCCAACTACATCGACCCCGAGTTGGGCCAGGAAGATGCCCTGGAGCAGTATTACGGACAACACCTTTCGAGGCTCGAGGCGATCAAGACAAAGGTCGATCCGACAGACCTGTTCCACTTCCCACAGGGCATCCTGCCGCAGTGAGGTCAGATGTACTCGGTGGCCGGGGGAGATAATGAAACACCACAGACGTAATGTAATGAAGAGAGTGCAATCAAGAGACTTCGTCGTCGTCGACAGCGGTGAGAGTGATTGTCTTGAATGCGGGCCCGAGCTGGTCGTAGCGTCGTTGGTGCAGGCGAGCTGGCAGTGCGGACGCTTCAGGCGAGACGTGTAGCTCGTCAAAAGCGCTGCCAGCCGAACTCTGTTCGGAACGCATTTGCAAGACACAGATGTCGTCGGTAGCCTCACCGGCCGCTACATGTTCCCAGTGCGACCATAGATGTAGATTGTCGTCGTGCTTCCACATACCAACCATGACGGGACCGCGACGCATGTTGACCATGTGGACGGCTGCTCGAAGGTGCTGGTCCGCGGCAGTCTTATTGCTCGAGAAGAACTTGCGTCTAGTCAGCCCAGGTTCACTTTCGACTGTTCTTGACGAACTGTGTACGGGAGACACACCTCTTCTGAAGCCATGGCCAAGGTTTTCGTTATCGTCATATCGCTCACGTTGTCCCCCTCGCGACTGATGCTGTCGCTGAGGTATCGCAGGCACTGTGCTTTGTAGCGCAAGGCCACGGGCTCGTAGATTGTCGAGTGCTGCAGTTTGGCGAGGCTCCGACAGGCAACGAGGAGAATAAGTGCCAGCATGCCCACGTCGATGGCGGCCTCCCGAGTCCAGGTGATGGCAGAGCCAAGCGTAAAGGCGTCATTGCTGAGGTGGTGCAAGCAAGGTTGGGCAGAGAGGTCGTTCATGACCACATGCTGGATAACTAGGGCTCACCATCAGTGACTGAGCGAGACGAGTCACGTTCATACGGTCTCATGCCCTGCCGTGCACTCACAGTGTTTGAGCAGGTAGCCTTCGAATGGAGCCACGGGGCGGATGAAGCTGTTGAAAGGGTCATGCCAGACCGGGCTCAGCAGAGTTTGAGGGCTGGGGATCAGCTTCCCGATGAGAAGGCTCGGAAGAAACTCAAGGACTTGGCCTCCGGCAGCCGGGGACCTGTCCGCTTCGGAGGTCTCAGACACCACGACAGGTGTGTCCTTGTGTTGGGGTTGGTCTTGAGCTCGGTCTTGAGCCTGGAACTCGGCAACCTTCTCACGCCGGGCCTTGGAGTTCCTAGCGGCATGCGCTCGAACTTTCTTGCGGTGGTTGGCCGCCTCCGCTGGATTGGAGATATGGACGAACTGAAAGCCGCCAGGCGCCATGGTGTACGGATGGATAACTCGGAGATGAATGAAGAAGAATCAATGAAGGAACCAGGAGAATGAGCATTATCCTCTTTGGGAAAACGCTCAACCATGTATGATGGAAAGTCCGGGGAGGCACAAGATTAAGTACCTCGCCGGGTTGCCTTCTATAGGATACCTAGTCAGCTGGGAAGGAGATGCTGGTGATGCTCCTGTCCATGTTGACTGCATGGTGCTACCCACCATGGCTGCTCATCGCCAATCATCGTGCTCCAGGGAGAGGGCCAGTCGCGCCTGCCAAGAAGAGCATTGCCTTAATCCGGTAAGCGGTCGGCTGAACCAATACTGCCAGCCGCTGATGGGCCCCAGCCATGACCAGTGTGAGGCGGACCAAAGAATCCGAGCCACTCCCGTCTCCGGCCGGTATCCACCCCGAGTCCTCCGGCGGCGAGAGGGGGTCCACGTATCCGCGTATAGTCCGCCTATGACCCAACGACGCTGTGAACCGTGTCTTCGCGTGATATTTCGCTTGCCGAAGACCCAAAACGAAGACCCAGAACGGCAAATGCTTGGGCGTGCACCCAGGCAGGCTTCTTGCCGTCACTCTTGCGTGGGAGAGTCCTTGCTTGGACCCATGGTTGCTTATACAGATACAGCCATGTCCAGCCTTTGCCTTTGATGAATGCCGCGGAACCAGAAGGAAACGATGCGGAAGACGGCCTATTGCTGTGGGCAGATCCTGAGGAGTGCTGCCGTCTCCTGATGCATATGTCTGGTTCAAAGGTGGTACTTAAGATCGATCCCGGCCATATCAAGTCCCCCCTTCCCCTTGACGGTTCACCTACCTCTTTCATCGTCAGGGTTCGTTCATCTCGACTTCACATCCCTCTAGCCTGATCACAACGCAAGCCGCACGTCGAAACAATGACTGGCTCGTGGGACTTCCTCGCCAATGCCCCTGATCTCCGCGGCAGGGTCGCTCTCGTCACGGGGGGGAAGTAAGTCAAACGTCCAACCATCGCCACGAGCCATCTCTGACCAGCCCGCCAAACAGTTCTGGCATCGGCTACGACACCATCAGGCTGCTCGCCCTGCGCGGCGCCAAGGTCTACATGGCCTCTCGCACCAAGTCGAAGGCCCGCCAAGCCATGGCCGAAATGTACGACCGACACCCGGAGATCAAGCCGAGCCAGTTGGCCTGGGTCGGCCTGGATCTCAGTGATCTCAAGACCGTTGTCGCAGCCGCCGACCACGTCAAGGCACACGAGACGAGGCTGGACATCATCAGTATGCATACTCCTGGCTCTCAGCCCCAACACATCGTCCCGTGGCCCCGGTGCTGACATGGGTCTGCAGTCAACAACGCGTGCGGCACCACGGGCTTGGATCGCCCTGTCTCGGGCTGGGAGCCCAATCTGGCCGTCAAGTAAGTGTCTCCTGCTGGCCTGTCGCTTGACCTCCTGATGGCGAGACCTGACATCCCAGCTACATCGGCCACTTCGCCCTGAACAATCTTCTGCTCCCCCTCCTCCAATCGACAGCGCGTCTGCCAGATGCCGACGTCCGCATCGTCGTCGTCTCGTCAAATGTGCAATCGGACTTCATCCCCGCGAGCTACGTGCCAAACTTCACCGGCCCGGATGCCCTCGAGAGCCCAGTGCCGTACTACCCCTGGGCCCACCGCTGGCTGTTCCCCATCTTCATCCGCATCGACATGTTCGCCTACGCCGTCTCCAAGCTCGCCACAGCGCTCTACGCCCGAGATCTGCAGCGCCGCCTCGACGAAGTGTACGGCGACGATTCTCCCGCATCATCATCCCCTATACTCGTCATGGCTGTCACGCCTGGCATGATCCGCACGCCGGCCATGGCGAGTGTCTTCCAGCCCTGGCTCACGGGGCTGATGCAGCGCCTCGCTGTGACGCCGGTGGAGGGCGCGAGAAACTCCCTCTTTGCGGCCACAGCCGTCGACGTGAGGAGCAGGCCCGAGGTGTTCGCCGGCCGGTTCATGCTCCCCGTGGGCAGGGTCGCTCCGCTGCAGCGCGGCGCTTCGACAGATCCGACGATTGGCGATGGACTATGGGAGAGCACGGAGCGAGGGGTCAATGCGTATCTCCAAGAGCATGGACTAGGCGAGCTGCTGGCTTGGTCAAGATAGATGGGGGTTCGGCGAACGATCAGAAACAGATTTGGGCGCTAACAATCAGCACAATGTGCAATGCACGGTTGAGTCGCAGCTGGGGGCTCAAGGTGCTGTCATGTTTGACGCGCGTGGCGCGGGGCAATCGGTTCGTCTTCGATCTACGGTCATACGACGCAGTATGCTCATTAGGACTGACAAGGTAACCTCCCCACAGATGGAAGTGATGTTTAAAGTTCCAAGCGGCAGGCGTCGAGATGCAGGGACGGAACTGCAGGGACAGGTGGTATGACGGATAGCTTCAGGGAAGAGCTCGCTGGGCGGAAACTCTATTCTGGGTTGAAACGATCCCTCGGGGCCGGGTATCGGCCGTCGAAGTGTTTTGTCGCGACATGACGATGCTGGATGTGCAACAGATCACAAGGGCAAATTGATGAGTTCCGCTCGATGTTGGCAGCTTAATAGTTGTCAGGGTAGGAATGAGACACACCAGGAGATTGCTTCACTGTGGTGCTCTGAGGTGGCATTCGAGACCTACGCGGGCTTGAGGAGCTGAACGACCAGATGCCGGGGTTGATTACAATTCGGTGCCGAGGCTTGATTCCATCTGTGTTAGTAGAACCACAGAATCCCCAAACTCGGTACGCTTACACCTCAGCTCCCACGACTCCCGGCCGACACCCGGAAAGTACACGGCTCAGCCCAAAGCTCATGCACATCCGAATTGGGCTTGCTGGTGACGCTTTTCGTCACTGATGAATTAGTCCGCGAGGCCACCCACCAGCAAATCTGCCGAACATGTGGCACCGATTAGGTTCACGTCGTTGGGCGCCGTATCCTACTGGACCTGAGAGCGGTACCTCGATCGTTCTGTGGTCCCCCTTTCATGTGAGACGTGGTAGGAACTCTAGCGCGAACTCTATGTGGAGGGAAGAGTTTGGAACTCTGGGCTGCTCGAGTTCACTGTGTCTTGGATTGGTCCGGTGTCTTCGTGGCTAGAGTTGTGACTGGTCTCGCCCTGGCGCAGCTTTTTAGTCAGATGACCTTGACTCGATGTGGTGATGTTTTCCTGGAGGGGGAGGGAAGAAAATGCGACGGGACGCGGAACGGGAACATCCCCGGCGCGGCCCCTCGGCGCCCCTGAGAGTGGACTGTAATGTTTGAAGAGAGGTCGCCTATCGTCGATCATCCGCCCATTCGGCCCAGCGGTGGACTGTGTTCTCCTGGCGAGCGGGGAACGACTGTGGCACGGTGGACCAGATCGCAGCAAACCCTCGCCACGGCCTCGGTGCAAGGTCTGAAGGTGTTGCAAGGAAGGGAGGGGAGGCCTGGGTGTGTGAGACATGGGCGACCACGACTAGCAAGTGTGGCCGATTGTGCTGCAATGGACGTCGAGCCGAGTCAGCGAGCGGGGCCGGTCAGACCTTTTAGTCTGTCACCATCACGACGCCTCGCCTACCTTCAGATGATCACCATACCTGAAAGGGCTTCAGCGTGCGCCGCCAGCACCCATCGAGTCCTCCGTTGGAGATGGCTCTGGTCTTGCACACCCATGACCCTGGCCCACAGGTTCTTTCAGTGGGCTGGTCTGCTCTCCCAGGCTCTTGGCCGAGAGCACCTCACACAATACGCTTCCCGTCTTTTCCATTGGGGTGCCACTCCCGGCGGCCGCTTTGACACGACGCTAGGTCTTGTCTGCGAAAGCTGCACCTTACCCGACCGCGCCATGTGGCTCGCCTCCGAAGCTGTGGAGACCAGGTACGGTTCGTCGCGACAACTTTGGATCCTGCGACGCTAAAGTTGTTGGAGGACTAATGTTTAGTGTGGTTCACCCAGAGTCTCGCTGCGCGCCATTCGGGACCTTGTTACTAGACAGAGAGGCCAAGGCGCTCGTGGCGAGACGGACCTCTGGTCATAAGAAACCTCACTCCCCGAGATCGTGCCCGTTTCAGACCTCTTGCACGTTTCCTGGTTTCTGCCGACTGCTTTCGTTTCCATTTCGACTTGCGCGACGATGCGTCGGTTCAACATAGCCTGGCTGCCAGTGTGGCTCGCCATGTCCAAGACGATGACGATGGCCGTCGAAGTGCCAGAAACAGTACCGGCATTGCTCGCCATTATCCCACAATGTGCGGTAGGTGACGACCGCTATCACGGAGGAAGTCGGAAGATGGCTGACAAGTGCACGGTAGATGTCCTGCGTGATGGACACAATACAAGTAGGAAACTGCAGCATCGCCTCGATCAAGTCTCTGGAAGAGTGTGTGTGCCCGAGCATTGCCCTGCAGTCGGCGCTATCGGACTGCGTGCAACTGAGTTGCCACTTTGAGGACCAAGTCAAGGCCGTCGGCGTCGAGGCTGCTGTTTGTGCCGCCTATCCCAAGCCGTCGAGGTCCAAGCAGGTCAAGACGATCGCCATGGTGTTCACGATAGTCACGTTTCCCATCGTCGGGCTTCGCTTCCTTTCCCGATGGACGGCGACCTCGGGCTTCTGGTGGGATGACTGGACCGTCTTGGCTGCCATTGTTAGTGTTCTTTGCGGCTTCCGAGACGAGCCACGAGCTATTGCTGACTGTTTAGGTCTTCTTGGCCGGCCTCGCGGGCATCGAGATTGCCAGTGCCGAGCTGGGTTTCGGCATGCACTACTGGCACGTCACGCCCGAGAATGGAACGATTCTGTTGCAGCTCTTCTACGCGGTGCAGATGCTGTACATCCTGATCCAGGTGTTCGCCAAGATGTCGATTCTCCTCTTCTTCTCTCGCATCTTTCAGGTGCGGTGGTTCCTGGTGACGGTGCGCGCCTTCATCGCCTTTCTCATATTGCATGGGCTGTTGTTCGTGCTGCTCGTGGCGTTCCAGTGCATGCCCGTGTCTTCGGTATGGGACCGGAGCAACGACAACCGCACATGCATCAACATGACGGCAGTCGGTTACGCCGGCGCAGCCTTTAGCATCATCGAAGACCTCGTCATCATGGCGCTGCCGATACCCGAGTTGTTGAAGCTGCAGTTGACGAAGAAGAAGAAGATTGCGCTGGCCATCATCTTTTCCCTGGGCTCTTTGTAAGTTGTGTAGCTTGTCGTTTGGTCTTGTCCAAGATGCTAACGCGAAACAGCGCCTGCGTCACCAGCATGATTCGACTCAAGTACCTCGTCATGTTCATGGGCACATTGGACACGACGTGGGACAACGTGGACATTGTCATCTGGTCGATCATTGAGAGCTTCTGCTGCATCTTGTGCGCGAGCCTGCTGGCGCTACCACCGCTGGTGCTCAAGCTGAGCAAGTTTGTCCGGCACCACTGGTCGCAGATGTCGACCCGAGCCTCCTCGACCAACAACAACAAGTCGCGGCAGTCGACGCTGAGCATCCCGGGCTCCAAAGGCTTCGAGAAGATGCCGCGCTCGCCAGAGGAAGGCGGGTATCCCATGTCCCCGCTCTCGCCTCAGGGCAACGACAAGCGTGTGGACGCCATCACCATCTCGGACGGCTTTGACTCGGGACGAGATTTGGAATCGTTGAGTATCGACAGGCGAGTCTGACATGGTTGTGTGGTGTATTTTGCGTTGCATTCCAAGGTTCAAGCAGGCATGAGTGGCAGCATCTGCGTGGGCATACACAAGCGTTGGTTCGATCTTTGGGATTCGGAGTATACGGTCGGCGAATCCAGGCACAGGCGGCCCCTTCGTGGGTACAGGGGGATTTGGCGTTCTGGCAGGCTTATGAGTAGGCTGACGAGAAAGTAATACTATGCACTGTTCACTACCTTGGCTATGAAGACGTCTGAGTCTGATGCTTGGGGGTTGTTGTGGAACGGTTGGTGCGTGCGGACGCTGGGGTTATTCGGCCGTTGCAGAATCAGAGGACCAGTGACGAACGGTATCAAGTCGGAGAATCGATGACATTTGACAGAGCGCCGTCGGTCATTCATTGCCGACGCTGAGCAAAGGGGCACAGTGAGCTAAGGTGAAGGAATGCGGGGGGGATGGCCAAGATCGACGCTTTCCAAGACGGAGATTCATGGTCGCCAGTCGTACCCAGGCAAGCCAGGCCTGCCTGGTGAGGCACGAGGCTCTTCCAGTGTTTACAGGGCAAGCTCAGAGGGTGAGCTCCACCACATGATGGGGCCATCATGGAACCCCGGCCAGAGCCATAGGGCAGCAGGCACCTGGCTCGAGGGTGAATATGGGCCTTGGAGGCCCCTCGGAGTGGACTCGTCAGTACCTAGCGCTGTGCTGTGCTGTGTGCTACTACCTTACCATCTCGGGTAAGGTAAGGTAGGTACCTAGGTAGGTAGGTAGGTAGGTAGGTACCCACCTTGGGTAGGCACCTAGGTAAGGTACCTCGGTAGGCAAGGTAGGTACTTGACCTTGAGGAACAGTCAGCCCTGCCAGGTGCCTCCTCGATCCCTCAATAATCCTTCCAGCTCCAGCTCCAGCTCTAGCTCCAGCTCCAGGCGGCAACTCGCACCGTTCGGGGTTGGTTGCCAAGGCCGGCATCGTGAATGCGCTTCAGCTCCCTTCGCCCCCCCTTCTCCTTGCTTCTCGTATGCCGAACCCTCCTGCCAGCTCTCATCTTACCTTGCTGTTCGTTGACCGAGGCTTGCTACCCCCTTCTAGAGATGCTTGGAATTGCACTCGGCATTGCAATGTGAAGCTACCCTCTTCTTCTGTTTTCGCACACCACCCCAAACGATCAGCATCACCGCGACCCTCATCCGACAGCTCGCGCCCCTCCTCGCGCGACCGACACGGACGGACGACGCCCATGTCGCCTCGTCGCCTGCCTTCGACGACCTGAATATCATTCCAATGCAGGGCTCAATGCCTGCCAGCTTCCAGCGGAGCCGCGCCATCTTTGCCAGCGATGATTCGCCTTGGAGGCCACGCTCGTTCTACGCCCACCGACGACAGATCCAGCGGGCCCTACCCGTAGCTGCTGCAGCCTTCTGCACGCTGCTTCTCCTCCTCCTCTTCCGCCTCGGCCTCTTCAGCTCGGACCAGCCACCACCGCTCATCGTCGATCCCACACCACCCCACGACGACGGCAGCTCTCGACCACCCTTCTACCTCTGGGAGACGGCGAGCTCCTTCAAGCCCGTGACTCTCGATCCCAAGGGCAAATCTGTCAAGGACCTCTGCGCGACCTTTCCGCACCACATCCTCGACACCATTCAACCTGTCTTGAAGCTCGGACATGCCGACCTCGGAAAGCCGGCGCTCGACGCCCAGATGAAGACGGTCTCGGCTTGCCTCGACAACGTCCTCGTCTTCTCCGACCTCGACGACGAACTGCCCTCGGGCCACTTTGCCCACGATGTCCTCTCCGACCTCCCCGCCTCGTACCGCGACCATGTCGACTTTGGAAACTATACATACATGAGACAGCTGCGTGAGAGCGGCGCTCTCGACGTCGACAAGGAGGCCACGGCCAAGATCAGGGGCTGGAATCTTGACAAGTACAAGTTCCTCCCCATGATCGAGCGTGCGTGGTCCGCACGTCCCAACCACCCCTGGTACGTCTTTTACGAGACCGACACGTACATCTTCTGGGACAACATGTTCCGCCTCCTCGACAACTTTGACCCCGACGCCCCGCTCTACATGGGCAGCCCGAGCCCCGGCCGCGAGGTCGCCGACACGAAGCACCAGGTCTGGTTCGCCAACGGCGGGCCGGGCTTCGTGCTGAGCCGCGAAGCCGTGCGGAGGCTGCTGAAGCGCCAGGTCGGCGCCGACGGGGACTATCTCGACGCGCCGGCCAGTCACCGCTGGCGGGACCTGCTGGAGCACGACTGCTGCGGCGACAGCGTGCTCGGCTGGGCGCTCTACAAGGCCGGCGTCACGCTGAGCGGCCTCTGGCCGCTGTTCAACCCGCACTCTCTGCATGCCGTCCCCTTTTCCGACAAGTACTGGTGCCAGCCCGTCGTCGCGCTGCACAAGACGCGGCCGGCCGACATGGAGGAGCTGTGGCGGTGGGAGCACGCCAACAGGAAGCACGAGGTAAGGAGCCAAACACCGCTCGGCTCGGACGATGTTCTTGCTGTGCGTACTGACACCTCCTAGAAACCCATCCTCTACCGCGATCTGTTCGAGTTCCACCACCCAGGACAGCCCAGCACCCGTGCCGACTGGGACAACATGTGGGAGCCCATCACCATCGAAGGCCCACCCAAAACGGCAACCTTTGAGGAGTGCGGCGCCGCCTGCCAGGAGCATTCCGCGTGCTTCCAGTACAACTGGCACGGTGACAAGTGTTACCTCGTGCAGTCCATCCGGCTGGGCCACGCGCGCGACGCCGAGAAGGAGACGGAGGAGCACAAGGGCGGCAGCTTCCAGAGTGGATGGCTGTCGGAGAGGATAGCAGAGTGGCGGCAACAACAGAGGTGTGAGGTTGTCCAATGGGTTCGGCCGAGTCTGACGAGAATCTACTGAGTGGCTGTGTAATTTTGGGCTCTGGTGTTTTTGAACAGTGGCCACGGGTGCTTTTGTGCTTCGTCGGCGAGCATGCACGGATATGGCTTTGGAGGATCTCTATGGGGCTACGATTCGGCTTGAATACTACGGCACTTGGCCGCGAGGGTGACTACAGATGTTTTCCGTTTGGCGACGGTGCGTTTATGCACATTCACATCGACCTCGTCCGCTGAGTGAAAACCCGGATCAACTGTAGACGTCTGTGCGACCTCTAGATCCTCCCGCTATTTCTCATGTCCCGTCTCCGGCCGCCTCAACGCCACCCCCCATCGACAGAATACATCGCCCCACTGACAAACGTACTCTCCGGGCCGAGGAGGAACACGACCACGTTGGCCACCTCGTCAGCCGTGCCCAGCCTCTGGATGGCCGACGGCTCGCTGAACGGCGCGTCCGCCGGCCTCGCCGTCTCGTCCCAGTACTGCTGCATCATGGGCGTGTAGATGGACCCCGGCGCCACGGCATTCACCCTCACCTCGCGCGCGCCGTTCTCCTTGGCCGCTGCACGCGTGAGCCCGAGGACGCCGTGCTTGCTGGCCGCGTAGGCGCCGTGGTTCGCCATGCCTGGCTCGGGTCAGTCGTCACGGCTTAAAGGGTAAAATAAAAAGGAAAAAAAAAAAGAAGAGAACCAAAAGTGGGCAAGGCGTGCGCCGAGGGGAAAGCGAGCGAGCAAGGCGGAGAAAGGCTGACCTGTCGTGCTGTGAATGGAGGCCATGTTCACGATCGACCCCCCGTCCGCCACAGCGTTGAGCTCCGCGCGCAGGCAGTACATGAGACCCGTCAGGTTGACGCCGATGATCGTGTGCCACTCGTCGTCGTCCAGCTCCGCCACGGGCTTGACGCCGTGGTCCTTGCCGATGACGCCCGCAATGTTGGCCGCGCCGTCGAGCCGGCCGAACCGGGCGACGACGCCGCCGATCCACGCCTCTACTTGGTCCCGCTGAGACACGTCAACCTTGGTGACGGCGAACGGTGCGGCGGGCGTCTGGGCGGCGAAGAAGGCCTCGGCGTGCGCGAGGGCGCTGGCGTCGACGTCGGCGATGCAGACTGTGCCGCCGCGGGCGGCGATCTGCTTGGCTGTCGCGAGACCTATGCCGCTGGCGCCCCCCGTGACGCCGTAGACTTTGCCTGCGAGGGACATCCTGCTGAATGGGGCGGTGGTGGAAGATGGCCTACAGAGGGCTGCTGAAGGGCGGCTCTCTGTCAGGGCCCCTGGGATCGAGTGCTCTTTTCCGGAGGTACCACGTGCCTAAATCTGAATCAGGAGCAAAATTGGACTGTCTCGAGTCCGTCAAGATGTCGTGATGCGGCCCGCGTGCTCCGACGAGGGCCGAGCAGAGGTGTCCGGATCTGTGCGGGGTATTCCAATTGTGGCGGGGACCCCGGAGGATGGTGCATTCAAGCCGGGATTCCTACACCCCACTCCGTCTCTCCTCGGGATGATTGCACATGGTTGCTTCTTGGCTTCTTGGCAGGGGCGCGGGGCAGGCATCGACCAGGCCTTTGCCAGAAGAGTAACGCGAGAAGTGACATGAAAGGCCTTGGCATCACCATGTTGCTGCTGATGACAAGCAGGAAGCCCTGGGGCTCACAACATCTGCTCGGCCAAATCCACGAAGTTCGGTTCATTCTGAACATGACCTCTTCACGCGATGCAAGGGAAGCCTTTTTGTACCGCCATTACATAGGGCAGGGATCACGAACGACTGTCGCTGCTTTCAGGCCGATGCGCAGCCCCGATGGTGTGAAAAGCTATCTTTTGTCGAGATATTTTAAAGGTAAAATGCCCTCTTGGGTGAGAAGCCTGACACCAATATCGACTTTAGACCGAGTCGCGTGTCGGCGCATACAGCCACTACTGAAACCTAAACCAAGGTTGCTCGGTCCGTCCCGATGATCTTAACTCTGAATGGATAAATTATGCGGCTCTGTTGTAACATCAACGTACCCGATGATGGTACGAAGTAGTGGAAGCACGATAGAGTTGCGACACGTAGGGTGATATAGATCGAGCGAGCTTCTGTTGGGACCGTCTTTCCTTCTACTCTCCACCCTGTTACCTCCTCGGCATACGCTCAAGCTTCTCCCGCATAGTAATTCGTCTCAAAGGCCTGCAACTCCGTTGGCACATCTGCCAGGGCAGTCCCGTTCAGAAAGAGAGCGTACAAGTCATCCTTCTGCGCGTCTGACACGGTCTCGTTCAGGCTGAAGAACTGGCCATCAATCTCCACGAGGTCGGGCTCCACAGATGCCTTGCAAGACGGGAACCGCTCCCCCTTACCGTCGCGCTTCCTGCTGTTGTACTGCCACGTCTGGCCGTACAATGCAAAGATGGTCACGCCCGACTGCGCGATGCAGTTGTTGCTGCCGCCACGGCGGCTCAGCACGACCCTGCTGCAGGCTATGCCACCGTCTCGCTGCCACCTAGATTCGCACTCGCTGTCAGTGCCATCGTACGAGTGAGAGAGTCGTCGCGTGGGCCTAGCAGGCGGCAACCTTACCCGTAGTGCGTCATCCCACTGTCACAGTTCAAGCAGCTCGCAGAATAGTAGTACTCCACGCGGGGGACGCAGCATGTCTGTTGGGGAATGTTGGAGCAGATGAGCCTGTTGCCGTTGCAAGAGTAATCGGTGTTGTAGAGTCGGAGATCGACGGCCGCCGCCAAGCTGAGCAATTGGCTCAGCAGAACACCGCCGACAAGCCACATGGATGCTACTGTCATCGTCATGGCGAATTGGTCAGGACGAGATTCTAGTGTGATGTGTGTATTGAGGAACAGCCACCCCCCAAAAAACGAGCGAGAGGGCTTGACCAGACATACATGCGCGCGGGATACAGCCCATCTTATGTACCTATCTCGCGAATACGGGCTACCCCTCTCACATGGCATGGTCGGGACCAACGGCCGTACTTGCGCGCATTCGGCACCCAGCAAATGAATAAACCTCCAAGCTGCATGCGCATACAGGTCGCATGTGAACTGATTCCTGCAGATTCGAGATGCTGTCGACCAACGACGTCCATACATTGGCCGGTTCTATGGTTCTACAGGACAGGGGACGGACAGGCTAATCTTTATACGTTGATAAAAGCAATGACTTTGGGCAAGTCCGACAATCCCATTCTTGGGGCTGATAGTAAATTCTTGGGACAGACTGAGCGAATTGCCATGTATCATGGCACTTTGTTTTCGATCGTCTTGATGGAGTTAAGCTTGAATTTGGATTTGAGATGAGCGGTATGATTGCCCCTCAGCAGAGGTTTATTGAGCGCCTAGAGCAGTGGCCTGTCCAATCGTACATTGCCGAGTCCTACCTCACGATGCACCCTTGCAGCACCATGGAAGCCCTCGCAACAGCTCCAGCTCAATATTGTGTCAACCCCATTTCAAACAAGGCCACAACTACACCGTAAATAGCGAATCATAACGACTTTCTATTTCTAACGATACCTTGCGTGTTCATACGTACTCCGGCTGGGGTTTCCTAATGTTGTCTGTTTCCTCGAGCATCCGATGTTCTCTCGTGGTCCCGACGTAGACGTTGTAGTGCCAATTGTGTGACTTTTCTTCTCGGCAAAAGAGACATTCGGTCTCCCTCTTTTGTCCTCCGAGACCCAACAACCCTTTAAGATCGCCAAGAAACCCCTTGCTCGTCGTCTCCTTTTCTGGGACGACGTTAACTTTGGTGGTGCTCAAAGAGAAGAGGCTTACTCACGCTCCGTCTTTTGCGCCGCTTCTTCCATCAGGCGCAATGCCTCCTCAACAAATGACCTCTCCACGTCGCCCACGGGACTGCCTAGCACGCAGCGGGCCCTGTCCATGGCTGTTTCCTTGCCCCTGCAGTCTCGCAGCCGAGGATCAGCTCCGCGTTCCAAAAGAAACTTGACCAGGTCCAGACTCTCATTGCGGCCGCGGTCTCGCGCCGTCATCTCGTCCATCCGTCCTGGGTGTTCCAGGGCAGAGTGCAGTGGGCGACCCTTGTTTCGGCGCCAATCCGTGTTCAGGTCGAGCTCGTTGACGTCGTGGCCTGCGTCGACGGCCTGCTTGGCCCACTGGAGTCGAGTCTCGATGGGATCGAGGCATTGTCCGATCTCCGTGAGGGGGGATTGGCCCAGGTGAGCGATGGGCGATGACGCCTCGGTTTGGGGCTCCATGTTCTTTCGGTATGCCGCAAGTCTAATGAATTCTCGGGTATCGTTATCGCGATGGGTGCAAGCTTGGAGTGACACTTTTGATGCCGTTCAGCCAATTCCAGGGTAACCTTGGGACGTGAAGAAGCTCCAGGGAAGAGGGTGCTGCTGGCCTCTTATCTTAGTGACGTCCCAGGCTGCCACCCACTGTAAGCACAACTGCCAGTAGGATGGGGCCAGTGGCCGCGGGGGATGCTCCGCCCCGATCGTCAGGGCGGTTACACGTGTCCGGCTCCCTCGAGCCCCCCATTCGAGACAAACTTAGCACATGCAGGCGCGCTGGCAAATGATGCTATGGAGAAACAGGTATCACGCATGCTCACGACCATGATACACATTGACTACAACAGTCTGTCAGTAATACACTGAAAGACCCCAGAAGCACGACACTCGAGGGATTGCCACACTGAAGCTGGTTTCATTCCCAAAAAGTCATTCACATATGTTCTGAGCAGTTTTAACATTTGATATCGTCCATTACAACATTCAAATCGTCCGCAAACCAAAAGCCCAACTACCTCTGCCCCTCTGTCGGCTCCCACGTTGCCTCGCCGTTAGGGGCGTTGATGGTGGCAGGGTCAATCTTGCCTCCAGCATTGTAAACCGAACCGGCCCATACCTGGTACCCAGCCTTACCGCCGCCCGCCTTGGGGTCATAGGAGATGATGACCTTGCCATCCGCTGTATCCAGCGCGTTCGCGACAGACTCGCGCGTATAGTACGGCAGGTCCTTGATATCGCCTTTGGACAGCCCTGGGATCCGTTCCACAACCTTGTTCTTGATCTGATCTACCTGCGGAGCATACTTGACCGTCCTGGACGACGTGTCGACTTTGGTAAAGATGAACACCTGGACGTCCTTGTCCTCGTTCTTGTTGAACGCAAGGCACGTCAGGGCATCGTGGAGCTCTTCGATGACATCCTGCTGGAACACCGTCTCGCCGTCCGCCGCTCCCGGGGTCGGCGCGCCGTGCTTCTCAAAGGCGGCGATGACGGTAGGTCGTTCCCAGTGGTGAGACTGCATTCACTCCACGTCAGCAAGGCAAAACACTCGAACCTGAGGAAATCAGAGCCAACGTACGATATAGGCACCCTTTTTGGAGGTGACTATGACAGCGGTGCACCCGCACATGCCCTTGATGCCCATCTTGAAAGGCTTGTTGAGAAACTCGCGATAGCGAGCCGTGTACCACTCGCCGTCGTCGTCAGGCCTGAACGGGATGTTGACGACGTTGCCACTCTCCCAATTGGCCTTGAACCAGCCGTCAAGCTGACCTGCCCCGGGCCTATCAATGTCTCTCTTCAGGAGCGCAAGCTCCTCCTCGGCTGTGTCGTTGGCGGCGTTGTACTCGTCGCGGCCGATCAGCGGGGTGGCAATGTCTCGTGCTATCAGGCACTCGGCCTCGCTGCCGCATGTGTCGATCGAACAGATGTCTTCTGGTTCTTGACGAAGAGTGAGGTCTCCCCGCGCAATGAGGCTGTCTTCGAGACTGACTTTCGGCCACGGGTTGGCAGCCACGAGCCCGAGGAGACCCAAGCTCCAAATCGACTTGGTGAAATGCATGGTGAATTATTCGCAACTTGACGCTATGAGAAGAGAAGGAGAGTAAGGTTGTAAGAAGAAAGAGTTGAAATGTCGAGAAAGAATACACAAGTATCACGCCGTAGCTCGTACGGGGAAAGACAGCCAACCGTGGGAGGGGGATCTATGTGGATTCAGAATATGAGTGCAGTAGATCAAGTCTAAAGCCAAGTAAGGAGCAGAAACAATAAGCGAACCAACTCTGTGCAGATGTTGAGATAAATAGAGAGGATGGAAGTAGACGCGGCTGTCAGGTCTTGGCTTTACCCTGGACATACTCCTTAAGAGGATTTTGTCTTGACTTGCACCCAGCCGGTCGAACTCGAAAGCAGACGGCTATGCTGCCGCTCGCTCGCCAGCGTAACCCAGACCTATTCTTGGGTATCAGGCCTCGGAAGGGTGTAAAGTTGCATAATGCACAGCGACGAAGCCATGGCGTTCTGGGGCCCAGGCCGGAGCACTGCTGACAGTACTCGACCCCCTGTGCGATAGCTTTGCCCAACATCACAAGGCTAGCTTGGCGCGAAATCCTTCCGGCCCAGCGGCGTCTCTTTGAAACAAGCTGCCCTGGCCCGTCATCCCAACGTCGCATGGAAACGGGTCCCTTCCGAATTGTAAGCACTGTAAGCGCTGAAGGGTGTCGGGCGACTGCTGAGCTGATTGGAACTTCTGCTTCTTGGTCGTTCAAATGGAGGGGGGCGCAGTCGCCCTGTGGTGGGGAGAACACTTTAAGCATAGGCTCCGCCCCGATCTTGGGTTGCATATGGTACTTTGGTACGCCCCTGTGGTCCCTGGACGACGGGGAACCCCTGTCAGTCAGCGTGTCGAAATAGGTGTGCTCCTGAAAGTCGCGGACCGGGCACTTTGCCGCGATGACGACCCATGGTGTTGTCAGCCAGCCTTGTTGGCTTGGAAGAAGCACCAAGCAACCGGGACTTTGATCGAGCTGCACGTCTCTTTGATAAGTTCTATTCTAGCACTTGATTAGATATAAGTCTCATAGACTGCCGGCACACAAGTCTCGTCCGGCCAGTCTTGGACATCTTGTTTCAACTAGGCTTTCCGTATCAATTTGCTACACAAACATTCTCACTCCTTCCTCAGCATCCGCTCACTCTCATTCCAACTTATCTTGTTCACACTATCAAGCATGTTTGCAATCAAGATTATGGCACGCTTTCTCGTCTGCCTTGCCGTCGCAGTGGGTTTCACAGACGCCTACAAGTTCACCTTCTACGGTGGTCTTCAGTGCCGCGGTGCACGACTGGGCGAAATCATCGGAGGTCCTGGCCTCGGCTGCCGAACGGACTTCAGAGGCGTTGCTTCGGCCGTTATTGTGGAGAGCACGGGTCCCGTCGATGACCCTTTCACAGTGGTTCTCTACAGCTCAAACGACTGTAACCCGGACACTATCATCGCCAACGGTGACGAAGACGACTTGTGTCTGACTGCCAACTTTGGCTCGTACGAAGTTTGGAACCTCTTCGATTAGGTATGTGGACATATTCCACAGACTTTATCATACCTCCTGCGCAGTGATTGACAGTGCTTAGAGCGTTGAATCCAGATAGGTCTCTGAATTTGCTCTCTTCATTATTCAGACGTGGGAAACGCAAGCAAGGACTGGTATCTGCAGGTATAGGAAAGTGGGATAGACATGTTGCTTAAACTGTAATGGCTCAAATCTAAGTGATCACCCCTAAATTCCATGACAATATTCAAACCAAGACATTTGCAAAGTACGTAGAGATACAACAAGCCCAGTGCCGAGCAGAATCTGGTGTTTGCTCTCGGATGACTACAGCTCAATAGTCAGCGTGGCCGTTCTCGCACCCGATCTGTCATTCTTGTGATCTCGGTGTTTTCAGGAAAACAGCCGTTTCCCAATGTCCAACGACACCCGCCATGATCAACCTTCCAAGAGCATCGTTTACAGCCCAGAACGCGTTTACGGGCGGGACCCAGCGGGAACCAACTGAAAATAGATCCTGGCGCTTGCTGATCCACTGTTGTACAGCTCACAGCCTGCCTTGGTACTGTACGCCCAGACCGACTTGCCAAGCAGCGCAGTCAGCCGCCGAGTCAAGTCGTAGGGCCACAGACTGGGCCGCCAGTGAATATTATCTTAGGCACCTTCTCGGCCGGTCGAAGGATTCGCATCGAATTAATGACGAAGGCCTACGGTTACCATGAAGGTGGCGCCGCGAAGCGCTTGATATGAATTGCATGGTAGAGATCGCCAGTCAATCCCCCTGAAATTAGCGCGTAGTCTAGGAAGGATCCGACCCCTTGTCACAGCCTACAATTTAAGCTTACTGCCGAGCTAATGTCCCCGGCCATGCATCCATCAGCCCTGTCTGCCCGTCTTCACAGCAGGCTGTAGGCTATGCGAATGAGGACCGATTTTCATTATGCAGCATTGTCTCGTATAGAAGGTAGGATGCTGTAGATATCTTTAGTTCAGGCTGAGGATCAAGGCCCTGCATCTATTCAGTCTGACGGGCTGCGGTCTCACAAAAGTCCTTCCACCATCGGCGGACTGGTGCATTGCAGAACGGCGCTTCTTGACACAGTGCTTCGAGTCACTGGTCATCATCAGTCTACCTCTTACAAAAGTCCATTTACACCCTTCCACGGCCTATCCGCCGAATCTCAGACCCAGAGTAGTCCACGAAGGCTCGCCGCCTACCACAATCCTCATCAGACATAATTTTGAGTGTGCGAACCTTGATACAATTTCTTTCCTTTCCTCGTCGTCATGCATTTCTCCAAAGCTGCGAAAGCAGTGTTCTTCATCATCAATCATGTTGCTGCCACTCACTTTCCGGCCAACGTGATTCTTGCTGGTCGCCTCCAGAACGACGACAGCCAGCATGGGTCCAGCACCCAGGTCCTGAACCGCGATCTCGGTTCGGTCTCGCTGCCTGTCGTTGGAGTCCATCTCTTTACCCGTCAAGAATCCTGCAAGAACTGCCGCACGCGGTGCCCCAACGGCAAAATCATCGACAAAGACGACTGCAAGAAATGCAAGCGCTGCCCGAAGGGCAGGACGGCCAACTCGCGCTACGATAAGTGCATCAAGAATGAAGAAGGCAAGAGGCAGAAGAAAGAAGCCTTCGATAAGAAGAAGGAGGCCAAGACGGCCGAGTACAAGGACAAGGGCCGTCGGTTCGAAAAGAAGAAGGAAGAGAAGAAGCGTGCCTATGTCGACAAGCAGGACGAGGACAAGCGCAAGAAGGTCCGTCGCATGGGCCGCTGCCTGGCTCTCGTTCCCCTCGGCATGGGCGCCGTGGCTGCTGCAGAGTTCGCCGACGAGTTCTTTGACGAGGAGTATCTCGAGGACATGGATCTGCTGCAGTTCTGGCCGGAACATCTCCCCATTGACCCCTGGGGACAAGAGGCCGATGACTCCGTCTACGAGTCGGACGACTACATCAACAAGTGGGTCACGGTTGGCGAGGGTGTTGAGTCTCGCTCTATCAGCCTTCGCGCGACCACTAAGGACAGGGCCACCCGTTACAGTCCGGTTACGGACATCGCTGTGCGGTCCGAGGAGCACATGCATCAGCTGGAAGAGCGCTGTCCCTTCTGCTTCCTGATCCCCATCTTCGCGGCCGTTGCTAGAACCGCCGCCGCAGTCGGTTCAGCTGCTGCTCGCGCTGGCATTACACTTGCGCGGGGTGCGATTCGTGTTGCCAAGGGACGTGGATCAAAACGGACCAAGAAAGAGCAGACTGATGGCGCTCGGAAGGTTTCGGAAAACCGAAACTGGTTGAACTGTCTTCGCAAGACCGACCCGTTGCACTGAACCTTTTCCTTCGTCAACTGGTAGGTACAACGAGAGAAGCTTAGGGACTGGGTGGGGAGTGTCGTTGGGAGTAATATGAAATTTGTATTTGCGTCTGTTATCTGTCTTCTGGAGGGTTGCAATGATAGCCACGTATCTGATGCAGCCGACAATTGGCCGTTGTCCGTGACGCTTCCCGTCTCTAGTTCCTGTACTCGGTATCATTGAAATAACCATGTGCAGACACATTGTGTAAGCTTGAGGTCTCCAGAACAAGGGCAGTCTGTATCAGAGGACCACCAGAAGTGTTCAAAAACATGGGAATCGATTGCTGAGACCTCCAAAACTGCAGTCATCACATCCATATATTCAATGCTTGAAGTTCCCTTAGTCTACTTATCTTTCGTGTGAATTATACGCACATTGCTATTAGATCAAAGCTGCCTTCGTGCTGGGAACAACTTAGAGGCTTAAATGAATGCCATCGCTTTATCGAACTGGCTGGACCCAGTAAACCCCCGACATACCGATATCACAGTGGGCGATCTTGCTTCACACGACGTGGGGTAATGGAGCTCAAGCTCGAAGCTCCAGGCCCGGCCAAGACCTCCAGCGAAGGGTGATCCTACCACACTGCCGACGTCACCTCCATTCGTATTATCACCACCATTGCCATTCCACCAGCGTGACGCGTTGCGAACTCCAACGAAAGAGCCTATGCAGGCAAGAAGTTAGGACAAGCTGCACTCAGCAGCGACATGCATCATGCCGACCGAATCACGCGCGCCCCGACTGCTTCCCCAGAACCGCAAACTCCGGCACCTTCAGGGCATCTACCTACGAAACCTCAGCTTTCAGCGGCCGCGCGGCCGCACTACCGATGATGTCGCCATCCACGCATCGCCGAAGAAGTCCGATACTCTGAGAGAAACGCCCAAGCTGCATCATGCATTGTCATCAGAAGACCTGCGGCCTAAGATGCGGCGCAGGAGCACCACCTTGACGCAGGATAGCCCCGTCTCTGAGCAAAAGAAGCTGGAGGCGCTCTATAACAGTCGCATGGCGGATGCCTTCTTTTCAATGCATGTGGACGGTGAAGATGATCCGATCTACATCAGCGAAACGTTGGAGAGAAAGACAGTCAGTGACTCTGCACCTTCCTTCTTGTCTGTTCTCTACTGACAGTCATTGTCACAGAACTTTAACTTTCTCTTCTTTGATCTTTCGAAGCACGGGAGCTCCGTGACGCGTTCCCCGCTGGTAACGATCAAAATATGGGCAAAGCGATACGTCGGTTCAAAGGAATGGTTTCTACATCAAGAGGACGTCGTGGACCTGCGGTCTCTCAACTTCTTGGGCACTCTTTTGAACCAGCGCTTTCCCCTCAACGGCCTGATTTTTCATCTCGAGGATGGCATCTATTCTCTCGACCTTCCGGCTCGTAAGTCAAAGCCGAAGGCCACAGCAACGCTGCCGACGTCCTCCTATAATGCACTCATGAAGCTTGCAACTCTGGACAGTTCTATCCAGGATGCTCTTTCCACACAGGAGCACATTACTACACGAATCAATGAGCTTCTTTCCAAGCAACCGAGGAACGATGCGCCACTGGCAGAAGAGAAGGTGAAGCTCGCTCAGAAATACGTCTCTCAGCAGGCCAAGAGTGTCAAGTCAGCAGAGAAGAGACGCGATGAACTCAAAGCTTCCTTAGAAGCGAGGCGCGAGGCCATCGCCGCTGGCCGCGAAGCGCAGGCCAAGGCAGAGCGGGATATTGTTGCGGCGCGTGAACCGCTGGAGAGTTCCAAATCAATGCTCGCACAGACGCAGGAGCAGATCCGCGGCCAGCGGCGGCGCATCTGCTCCGACCTGGCCAACATCTTCCCCATCACCCTGTGTCCTTCAGGCGAGCCATTGTCCTTTCAGATTTGCGGCCTCCCACTTCAGAATACATCGTACGACAGCCCGTCGTCCAAGAATCCAAACGAAGATGCCATGTCGGCCGCCCTCGGCCACGTGGCCATGCTCACCCACAACTTGCAGTACTACCTGCGGCACCCACTGCCCTACGACATCAACCCCTTTGGTTCCCGGTCCACCATCCGGGACGAAATATCTGCATTTCAGGACACCCCGGCATCCAGACACACTCAGGGCGCCTCGTCCTCGCTCGGAAACAACCCAGCCCGTGAATTCCCACTCTATCTTCCCAGGGGCGGCTCGACAGCAGCCCACTTCCGTTTTGATTACGCCTGGTTCCTCCTCAACAAGGACATCGAGGCCCTCTGCGCCCATCAGTCGCTGCGCGTCGTTGACATTCGCCATTCCCTCCCGAATCTGAAGTATCTTCTCTATGTCTGCAGCGCCGGCACCGAGGACGTGCCCGAGCGCAAACGGGGTGGCGTCAGGGGCTTGTGGGCCGGTCATCTCAAGGGTCGCATCACGACGGGAGACGGCGAGGCAGACGGCAGCGTGACGGGTAGCAGACCCAGCAGAGCCGATGGACAGGCCGCTGAGAGTCTCAGAACGGCGTCGGAGGATTTGGGCCTCGGCTTTGACGATGGACACATGAAGGTTTCCCTCCGGACCAAGGGGTTCACGGAGAACGTGGGTAAGTGAACGTTGGGCATGTGTACTTGCTTCAAGCAGTCGTGTTGTGGATGCTCGACCTTGCTCAGGTGTTGGCCCGGCGGGGGGTGGGGGGGTCGTTCAAGAGGGAAACGGGTAAAGAGTTCTCAGGCCCGTAATTTTGGTATTCTTCCATGCCATTAGCGAAGCCTTATCTGGAGTGTGTAGACGCCGTAAAGTACAGATCCCATACAGCCCCATGCGGAGTCTGAAAAAGCCCTTTCTAGAACCAAACGCCTCAAGCCGTTTTATGAAGGAACACATCTGATGACCCCCCCGTGTCCCGACTCCCCCCTGAGTCGATGCGGCTCGCCCCCGTCATGCCCATCGCTGCCGCCGACCCAGAAAGACCGTATCTAGCGGTCCGTCGGCACAAACTTGACGCTCTTTCTTCTCTCGCGGTCTCGCTCCCCTGCTCGGCCAGGACTTGAGCTGAGGATGCTGGCCCCAGGACCCGAGCTCATGGCAGCACCGCCTCCGCTCGCCAGCGCCTCGCGCACGCTCTCAACGGCCCGACTCTGCGGAACCTCGACACCGTCTCCTCGAATGGCCACGCCTGGCGACGGAGGACCTCTGCCTCGCCCGCCGCTCAGGCTCGTCTTGCGCTGCACCTGCGCCTGCGCACGCGCCTTGTCGAGCGCCGCACGGCCGACTTCCTCTGCGCGCTGCGTCGCTCTCTCATCGCGCCACTTGCCGGGCAGACAGGCGTGGCCGCACCCATCGAGCGGGCAGCAGCCGTCGCTGCCATCGGCAGGCGGCGCGTCGCCGTCGAAGCCATCCGGAGCATGCCAGCCCTGAAGGCACGTCGCGTGGCCGCCGTGCGCACAGCCCGGACAGTACCACCAGAGACCCATAATCTCCTCCTCGACAACTTGGGCACGCTGCTTGGCGTCCATGCCCTCAGTCAGCGGGAGAACGACGGGGCTGGCCTCGCGGTGGCCGCAGACCGCGCAGGGAGCCATGTGAGTCTTGCACCGCTCACACTGCCAGATAGCACCAGAGCCCTGGCGGGGGTCCATCTCACGCGGCTTACGGCACGAAGGGCACAGGAAGCCCGCCTTGACGCCTTGTTGGGCGGGGCCGAAGATTGCTGTGTAAGACTCGCCCCATTCAGGGAGGCTCTCAGGCCAGCCCTTGACACAGAGGTTTCGCAAAAGCGCGGCCTCGACGAAGTGTCGCATAGACGCGAGTCGAGCGTGATATGCTCGCAGGATTGAGGCTGCGCGGTGGGCGTCGATGAGTGCCTCCGGAACCAACGGCCTGAGAAGTAGAATCATTGCCGCAGCGTTAAGATTGGATGTGCGGAGTTCAAAATCGAGAGTGCTTGTGATGAGACCATATGGGTCGAGGGGCGGGGATGGAGTGGTAAAGCCTTTGTTGTTGAGTTCGGACGCCAACTTCTGCGGATACGGGGGATCATCAGACCAGGGGAGGTAGTCGCTTTCGATGATGACAGGAGACACGTCTAGCATCTGCGATTCGGTCGGTGCCTGGGGCGGGCTCGCCGAGACGACGCCAACATGAAGAGGGGCGTCATCGTCAAAGGTAGGCGCATCCGATACAATTGACTGTGACCGACGCGCCGAGACTTCTGAGGGATCTTCATCGTCGCCTATGGTTGTCTGTGAAATCATGAACACCTCTTCAGGGGAGTTACTCATCGGCAGCAAGCCTCGCCTCATCTGCATGGAGGACAGGTTGTGGAGTTCGGGTGACTCTTCGATCTCTTTCCCTCGGATGCGGCTCTCATATTCGCCATGCTCATCGTCGTGCTCTTGCACGGGTTCAAACTCGGACTTTTTAATCTCGCTTGCGGCGCCTGCTTTTGGCAGGGAAAGATTGGCGGACTTTCGACTCCCATCTGAAATGGAGAACATTTGCGAGAAGCTGTCATCCGAGTCGTGCCTCATCACTTTGGGAGGTCTCTTCGAACGAGAACCACTATCTCCACCACCGGGTGATTGCGCTTCATCCTTCTTCTCTGGCTCTGGGACATCTACGGCAAGGGAGAGTGCGTCAGTATCATAAAAGTCGTACCCCTCAGTATGCGAGGCCTCTGTCTGGTCGCTTTCGTGGCTCAAAAGTGACAAAGGAGCTGAGTCCAGTCGTTTGCGCGGACTGTAGTTGAACGTACTGTGGACTGCTGGGGGTAAGGCGAAACTGTCTAGTTCAAAGACGGGTGTCAACTTCTTGCCGGGCCTGAGGTTGCCGTGATCTGTATTGGGATCGTCGTCATGCACCGGCCTTGCGAGTGGTGTTGGTACGTTGGAGGTGCTTTCGATCTCTTCCGAAAGAAGGGATCTGACAGAGAGGGAGCGGCTCTCCAACTGGACTGACACTGCACTGGCGCGGCGAAGCGGATTTGGCGCTTTCATACTGTCCTGGCTCAGCCCCTGGAAACCCTTGAGATCGGCGGTTTTGACGACTCCGTCTTTTGACTTGGTTACTGAAGGTCGTTTCTGGAAATGACCCAACCTCCTCTCGAGATGGTACTTGGCTCTTCGTCTGAGGAGAAGGTCTATGGCGTATCCCAATATGCGCCACGTTTGTGCTAGTCGAAATTGGCCAACACCTTCCGCAGCGTAGGCGAACTCATTCAGTATAATCACAACACGGTCCACAAGCGCTTTCCCGCCTTCTCTTTGCGGTAATTCGCGGTCCAGTGTCTCGAGATAGCACTGGGAAAGGTAATGATAGTGGTTGACCTTGGCAGCAGCAGGGACGCGTCCAACCGCCATGGCCTGCTGTGTCTTGTACACCCCAGTAACTCTCATGGCATGCTCTAAAGATAACACAGGCTCCCCGTCTGCGGATCCAGACGGCGGCGTTGTGCTGAGTGCGGGTATGGAGCGTACACTAGGCCGCCTTTTCCGGCTCGGCTTTCGCCGTGGCCCAAGAAAGCTGCCGACAGCGTCATCTTCGGAATCGCTGCGACTGATGCTGAGTTGGGGTGTTGTAGGGCTGGACCCGTAGACGGAACGAGGTGTCTCATTGCCCTCCTTGCGGTGCACCGCAGTCGGTCTCGGCCGCTGATGCGGTCTTTCATCGAGAAACATAGCCACATCTCCGCATGAAGAGAAGGCCATGCTGGAGGACGTCATTCGATCCATGGTCTTCGGGGCGAAGGCCACGTCGCACTGGTGAAATTTGCCATCTTCACCAGCAGCCCAGAGAAGATCTTGGTCGAGCCACATGAGGCTTGATGGCGGCGAGTTGAACCAGTTGAGCTCCTTGAACGGGATGGTAGGCCTCGCGAGATCCCAAATATGGGCCGCGCGGACTCCGAAACGCTTGAGACTGGCATCGTCGTAAGACACGGCAATCTGGGCGGCACGCTTGCCCTGCGCACTGGCAGACCACAGTCCAGGCCTCCAGCTGACGACAGATACAGGGGCGGGGGTTTGAATCGTCCACTTCGGCTTTTGGCGCTTGTCAGCGTCTTTGGAGAAGTCCCAGACGGCGCACTTCTGATCCATGCCGCCACTGACCAGATGGTTCCCATCAGGATGCCACGAGATAGACGTGCAGGCTTTTTCGTGTGCCGTGATTCGCAGCAGCGGCGTGGTCGGCTTTCGCAAATCCCACTTCAAGACCACGCCACCGTCGGTGCCACATGCCAGATACATGCCCTCCTTCGGCGACCAGCGGACCTGTCGAACGCCATCGGCATTGCATTTAAAGGCTGCTTTGGCCTGGTACGTCATGCCGCCAGCGCGGCTTTGAACGGGCGCGCGGATATCAAAGTAGCGTACGAAACCATCTTGGCTGCCCGACAGCAGCAAGCTCGGGCGATGGGGGTTGATGTCGAGGGTGTTGACCTGGCGCGAATCCTCCCTCATCTGGACACAATCCATGGGGGAACCACCGGCGGCTATCCTTGCGAGATCGTAGGAGAAGATCTTGCCATTGGTACAGGCAGTGAAGATGGTCGAGTCCTTATGCCATTTCACCTCCTTGACGGAGAGCTGATCGGCCGTCGCCGACGATGCGCCCTTGTTCGGATTGGACGCCGAGACGATGGCAGCTCGGACGTCAACGCCATCGACGATATTGAGGCCGTCAAAGACCACCGTCTTGAGGACATGGCGACTGGCCAGGACAACGGAGCGACGGTCGGCCGGGGCATCGATGCTGTAAATGGGGTAGGTCGCATCGTAGACGGCATACTGCGAAAAGTTGGGGCGATACGAAGCTGGCAGATGCGGCGCACTCGTGATGCCAATGCCGGGGCTCGTCGTGTCGGTAGAGTTGTCGGCGGAAGCCTTTCCGAGGAGCTTTCGCATGATCTTGTTATCGCGGCTATACATGGTGGCCGTGTCGCGGGAACGCGCCCATTGGCGTCCCCGTCATGTCGTAGTGTGCTCTTGATGGCAGGGTAGCGGGTTCAGCTCGGAGCTTGCTTGCATACATGGGGTCGATGGTTTGCACGCAGCTGAGGAACGTGGCAGCTGCAGGGAGCTCTGAGCTCTGGCCGGAGGTTTGGTGGGGACGAGGTAAGGTCAAGTCCCGTGCGACGTGACGTGCAGCTCGACGCTCCTGCACACAGAGCTCCACACACCGGAGGGTTTACCGAGGATCTGCCATCTTACCGAGACAAGTTACCCTCCACCGAGAAAGAGACTACCTACGTCCAGTGTTGTGTCGCATCTAAGTTCAAGCCCGCCTACCTCTTGGGACACCTCCTCCTCGTTGTCTATAGCCGCACGGTTAATCGCCTCATTCTTCATACTTCCCGAAGCAGTCATGGAACTGCAGGACACGTTGTATGCACGTCTCTGCTCGTAGTCCCCACCGCGTCTTGAATAGCTCGACATCGTTCGCTGGCATGGCTCCTGTTGCAACATTCTGTACGAGCTCTGAACGCAAAACGCAATGGCAAGCATTCAACTCGAAGAGCCAGACCAACGTGGAATTAATTTACCATCTGACTTTCGGCAATGACTCTGAAGCCTAGCATCGGCCTCCCAGCAGTCCTTATCATTTGGACCTGGGCCAGCCCTGCTCGGTGAGGAAAACTTGCTCAAACTCTCGCAAACATCACGAGAGGCTGAGGGGCGTCCAACCCTCCCACGCCACCATCTGACCCCATTTGAACATTTCGCCAGTGAGGTGTGTTACCTTTATTGGGCTTGTCAACATCCCATGTCGATCAGTGGTGCTGTACAGACTAGGCCCCACAGGGTGCTTTGCATCGTGTCTGATGGTTTCGACCTGTTCATCAGGTCACATATTGTCACGATTACCAGGCATGTGGTGAAGGGGGAGGCTCCCTATTCCCGAGAGACATAATTCGTTCGTATGAATCATGGCAAGCTCTGGGGGGGCATGCATAGTGGCGCCCCAGCAACTTCCTTCCTGCCCCCCCTCTCCCAACAGGGTGGCATACAAAAGGCCCCTAATACATTGGAACAAACCCAAACCACAAAATGGGTCACGCAGTGTTTGGATGACCTGCATGGGCTGATTTAATCCTGGATATGCCGCGCGACCCTTCCAACAGACGAGCTTGAGACTTAGGGTGGCCTGGCTGGCCGTCCATATAAAGGCTACCACCTCGACGCCTCGCCCGCAGTCCTGTCTGTCTGCAGTCTGGTTTCCCATACCACGAAGCATTGGTCTCAAGAAAGTTTTCCTCCACGAACAGCTAGCACCATAAACATGGACCACGGTGCCATGACCATGGCTTCAACAATCACCTCCATGCTCATGCCAACAGCAACAGGCATGGACATGCCCGCCGGTACTGACGCTGCGGCCACCAGCGGTCACGATGAAATGGACATGTCAGCTATGATGGGTGGTTGCAAAATCTCCGTGAGTACACTTCCAGGGCCGTTGTCAGCGACCTCCACCATTTCCTCTGGTTCCCGTCCAGCGCTAACCTGCCGTCCTGAACTGCAGATGCTCTGGAACTGGCAAACAATCGACTCGTGCTTCATCTCCGAGTCCTGGCACATCACGTCCACCGGCATGTTTGCCGGCTCCTGCATCGGCGTCGTCCTCCTCGTCCTGTCCCTCGAGGCCCTCCGCCGTGCCGGCAAGGAGTACGACCGCTACCTCATCCGCTCTCACGCTGCCGCCGCCGCCGCCGTCGCACGCTCAGGCCCCTTTGCAGCTGCGAGCAACGATTCTGCCTCTGGCGGTAAGAACAGCGGCGAAGGCGCGGCTCCCCTCGGCGCCGGCGGCGTTGCGATTACCGCACCGTTCCGCCCTTCTCTCCTCCAGCAGGCCGTCAGGGCGCTGCTGCATCTGCTTCAGTTTGCTGTGGCATACTTTGTCATGCTGTAGGTGTCCCATGTCCTTCTTGACTTTTGTTGCACAAGATAAGAGGCCGAATTTTCTGACACGATGACTCCCCAGGCTCGCCATGTATTATAACGGTTACATCATTATCTGCATCTTCATCGGCGCCTACCTCGGATCGTTCATTTTTCACTGGGAGAAGATTGGCGGGTCGACAGGGCCGACCTCAGCGGGCGAGAGTTCGACGGTTTGTTGTGGTTGAGGGATGGTGTAGTTGCTAGGAGAAATGGCGGGTTAGTATGAGAGCCCTGATGCGGGCATGCCGAGGTGATGGGCTGACACCGAGATATTCTGCTGGCCAAATTTAGCTGGCGGAACTTCTTGCAAAACTACATGACTACATCGTCGCTTGGGGGTCACAGTCTTCCTCATAAACCCGTCAGCCTCTGAACGTTGCACAATGTTGACAGCTCGCACTGGCATCACATTCGGCCTGTACAGATGAGAAGCCGACCTCGGTTGTGAATAATCTCGAAGCCCTACGAAGCCATGATGCAAGGGACCACAAGCGTGGCCTAGCAGGCGCTGGCCCCTAACTACACACTTCCGATGAGACCAAGTGGGCTCAGTATACATCTAGTCATATCTAGATCGCTCAGCGAGGCCCACCACCCACCCCCTCATGGTCACGCTTCCCATAAGCAGGTCGCCAGCCCATGCAGCCCGGCCGACTGCCGGCTCCGAACTCCGAAGACACCAGTCACCAGGCACATGCAAGCGCCCACGCGGATTACTCCCTAGCACGTGGCTGGTCTCTCCTCGCAGAGTTCAGACGAACACGAGGAATTGCTTCTGCCAGGAAAAAGCATCCGACGCTCGAGCTCGAACGTCGCGCTATGACTCGACGTGTTCCACCTGAGGAGCAAGGCGTTATCCTCGACCGCAGGAGATCCAGGAGCGGAGCATCTTGAGGAGGAGGGGGGGGACAAACAACGTCTCCCCGCGCGTTTGAATTTCGTTGAAAAACATGCTGTTGTACACACTGGTATCAAAGTAACCGTCCAAGCTCCAAATGGAAATGAAAAAACACCACCCTGGTGAGCCCGGCCAGGATCCCGTCGTAGATCATCCGTAGAACACTCGTCGCTCGTGTCTTTAATGCGTCAGCTCCGGGAACCGAAGGGCATACAGCTCCCTCGGCCTGCCATTGGCATCGCAGCTCGTGAACCTCCAGCGGCCAGAGTACCAAGACCCGGCGATGTTAACTAATCCCCATTTGATGGGTGTGGGAATGGGCGGCCAGTGCGCCCACATGCCACCCTCGGCGCCGCGGTCGAGGTTCATGAGGAAAAAGGGCACGACGTCAGTTGTGCCAGCCTTGGTGACTGTGTTCTTGCCCCAGCTCTTGAAGGCCGCGCTTGCGACGGCTGCCTCGGACGTACCCTCGCGTGGCGCCTTAGGGTGGTTGGCGAGGGCGGCAATTGTATCAATCTCGGAGTGGAAGTGGTCTTCAAAGGCGGTTTGGAAGGTAGACATGATGCGGCGGAGCTCAGCGGCGGAGAAGTGTGATGGCTCTTGGAGGGTCGAGAGGTAGGCATTGAATTCAGCAAGGCCTTTGAGGAACGCCTCTGCACATAATGGTTAGCCATTGTCGGCCGACAATCAGCGAGGGACGATTTGGCGCCGCGCATACCATGTTCCTTGTGTGTCTTGTCGAAGACAGTCTTGTCGCCCAGAAGCTCCTCGACCTTGGTAAAGAGCACCTCCTCCTCGTCGTCGTGGTGCGACTTGACGAACTTGTACCACGTCAAAGCATAGCCGATAAAGTCCTCCTTGTCGTCTTCTTGCACATGTGGTGCTTGATGATAGATGGAATTGTAGCCTCGTAGGATTGAATTGTGCAGCAGCGCCATGTGGGTTGCACCGGTCGTGAAGAGATCGGTCTGAAAGATGTGCAATCACGCGTCAGCTCTGCGATTCTGCCTCGGTGCAATGGGCCGGATCGCGCGGAGGGGCAACAATTGGCACGACATACCTTTTTCGTCTCGAACTGCGGCGTAATTATCAGAGCCATGGGCCCATCTGCCCACGGCTTGCTGGTCGTCACTGGTGTGTAGGGCATCATGAAAGGGGATCTGGCCAGCAGCAGGCTGGAGATGGTGCCCGTGATGATGAGGATGAGGACACCGCCGAACATGATGGTCGCGGTTTCGATGCTGGTGCCGGCAAGAAGTGGAGGACGATGCAGAGGAGCCAACAGCCGACGGTGGCCTTTCAGCTGTGCGTGGACTGGATAGGATAGGACAAGCCAGGGCCTAGAAGTCGAAATCGTACGACTGGGCTTGAGCTATCGTTCTTGGGAGGGTTGCAGCTTGGGGCAGCTCCAGGCCGGGGGCCGCTTGGCTTGCGCCGGTTGGCCTTGCCAGTTGCTAAGTTGGTGACGTTCATTGGCCCATTGGGGGGTTGAGCGGGGTTCGCGGGGCGTTTCAGGGAGCAGGCCCATCCCCCACGTGGCGACGTTATATGTCCATGGGCTGATGAGCAGGTGTAACTATGCCATTATCGGAATGGTTCGCCTTGAGGAGATATCACACTAAGCGGGGCCTGAGCGATCGCCTCCTGCCATCGTTGACTCTGGAAGCCTTGGCCATCCTTCTTCCATCACTGCACCCACGTCCTGAACCACACGAGGAACTCTGGCATGCCCTCCATCAGCCACTTTAATGCATTATTAGATATATCCTCCGCTGCATTTCTCACCCCCATCGATCGATCCTGCTTAGATCAGGCACAATCGGCTCGGCCCGCATTATTGGATTTCTGTTGTAACCACATCGGCCGGCCAGCTTCACTCCTCTGGTGGCAGCGACTCACAATCCTCAACTGCATGCAAACCATGATCGACTTGTTCCTCGGACAATCCCAACGAGCCATCCTCCAACTAGCAACAGACGTGTTGCTTTTTCCACGCGGCGAATGTCCACGTGGCTGTCCGTGCCACGAGACTGGCGCGTCTAGTGTCAACCGAGCACTCAGCTCGTCAGCAAAAGCAAAAGAAAACACTGGCACAAAATTGAAATTGCAGTGTTTTGCTTTTTTCTATCCCCTTCTAGTCTAATTGTCTATACCTCATAATACTTCAGCTCTCTCGCGTGTGCAGGCGGGTCAAGTCTGTCATTGACCACCGCTCTGTCATCGTTCCGATCCTCAACATGTAATCAGATCCTAGCCAGCTTTCGATTCGCTTATCGATCGATCAGCGGTCACCCCTTCAGGCCACTCATGGAGCCCGGTAGAGCATCAGCCACGCGGGTCCCCCGGTGGCGTGCAACAAGCCCTTGCTCAGGCTAAGGTTGGCAATCTTGCTCCGACATTGACGCTGGGGTCTTGAAAGTCTAGGAGCGATTCAACTTGCTGCACTATCAGTCTAACGGCTGCAACACCCTCATCGCTTATACCTTGGCCCACGGCTTCTTGTTGATACGTAGTCGCATCAACAGGATCAAACTTGTGGCCACCAACGACACCGATCCGGCATAGAACATAGCAGGGCGGTACGCCTTCAAGCCCTCGTCTGCGCCGCCATACGCGTCGAGCAGGTACCCTGCAATGGGAGAACCCTGAGAACGCATAATCAGCATGGAAATCGTCCTGGCCCTGTTCGTCAAGCACTCACAAAAAGATAGCCTCCGACCCACCCCGTGACGATCATGCCCATGGCAGTCGACACACGGGCCGAACCGAAGATGTTGCCAATGCACGTTGGCATTGACGCGAAAAACCCGCCGTTTGTCAAACCATTCATGACGGCAAATACAGCCAACGGAGCAAGCGTCGTTGAGGCTGGCCAGAGCGCAATCATGGTCAGGGAGTTGATGGCGAGGAAGGCGAACAGCGTATTCAAGGGACCAAGAATATCACATAGGTGACCGCTAATAATCCGGCCAATTGCTGACGAAAAGTTATAGCCGGCCAGCAAAGCTGCTCCGGTGCTCGTGCTTAATCCCATTGAGCGTGCGTACAACGGGATAAAGAAAGGCGGAACGAGGAGGGGGAAGACACCAATTGCGCCAGCGACGAAAATGATGTTGAAGCTTCCCTGTCGGAAAAGCTTCCTGCTTCGAGTCAGCTTCCCGTGGCCTGTCCAGACCTATCGTGTGCTCAACTCACCAGTCAATGAAGCCAGAGGTCTGGATGGGAATGCGCTCCTTGATCATGTATGCCGCCGGGAATCCCGTTGAGAAACATACAATGCCAATGATTCGGAACGCCCACTCAACACCATACCGTTCAATCATGGCGTTGGTTGCGATGCTCAGCACGGCGGCCCCGAAGCCGCCACCAGCATAGACGATTCCATTGGCTAGCCCCCGCTTCCTCGAGAAGTATTGCGCAGGTGTCACAGTCACGGCCATGAAACAAAAGCTCATGCCCAGTCCAAGAAGGGCACCAGGCAGGAAGAACAAGCCCACGGTACTATGCGTCACGAAGCTCGCGCCGATCTGCGACATGCCGACAAAGAAGATACCCATGAGAGCCAGCTTGCGGGTTCCAAGCGAACGAACAACGCGTGCGTTAATGATGGCCAGGGATGCCATCAGAGCTGGTGACAAAGCACCGCAGAAGGAGAGCACCGAGGCGGACCCGACGCCACGCTCGACGAGGGCGCCTTGCATGACACCCCAGCTGTAGTTGACGCCGGAGAACCACCAGCCAACAATGGCACATGCCGATATGACGACCCAGCCGTACCCGCCATCCGGTACTGTGCTGTCAGCGATGCGAGAGGCTTCGAGAACGGGGTCGAGATCGGAGTCGGAGGGGTCGACTTCATGGTGCGCCGAACGAGCCTGGCGCAGGGTTGTACCGCCGGCACGATCTGCCGAGCCTTTTGGGAGCTGTTCCAGCTGGTAAGCTGTGGTCGTGGAGGTCTGCGTCGCCATAGCTATCTTATTTTTGCCAGATAGTTTTGTGGCCTCCTCGCCTGGGTGAGGCGGGCTTGGAAGTGGCCATATATAGTTTTTTCACCGGCTCCCATCGCGCCATGCCCCGCGCGTGCTGCCCCGCGCATGCTTCGGATAACCACGGGCAACTACGCAAACATGATCCTTTGTGAAGCAATTTTTGCCTGGCAATATGGATTCTATTAGTCAAAAAGGCGTGAAAATGATTTGCCTGGGTTTAGCTTCCACCCGAGCCCTCGTCCGGGTGGGCCCCCGATCCCGGAATCATGAAATTCTTCAGAGCTCCGCTGCGCTCGTACCAGGCCGGAGGGATTCCGGCCACGAACTGCGGCGTGGATTCCGGCCACTACCTGTGGGGCGCGTCCAAATCCAGACTTCAATCCAGCAAAGTCGCGTCTCGGTCGACATCGGGCCCGCGATTTGAAGCTCGGTCACCGAAGCAGCGAATCGATTGGTGGCTTGGCCGATGATGCGAAAATCACTCCAATTCAGGGTCTTGAATGGTAGTCATCTGTTACAGCGCCAGAGTGAAGGTTAGAATTTACATCTTGACTCACTCGCGCTTTGTTCTGCCTCGCTCCTCGCCTGTCCTGGAAGAAGCGTGCGCTGGAACTCGTCCGTAAACGTTTCTCGACGCGCTGAAACTTGTCCGAGTCAGATCATTTGGCGCTGACGCAATCTGTGGCAGAGCATGTTTCTTGCTGACAGCCCCTACCTGATGAAGAGGAAGGGATTTCGGGCCGGAAGATGCGCTGGCTTATACCTGATGCGACGAAAGACGCTGCAAAGCCTCATGTCGCGGTAGGCTCGTTATGACGGCGTTCTTTTTCAAATGTCCTTGGCAATACCTCATGCATTCGTGAACCCTATGCTCTTCGTGTCATCATCATCATTGCCCTGCGGCGACAACTTAGGTGGCTTGTTTTCGCGCTCCTCACAACGAGAAGACGAGCCCTCAAAACTCGAGAAAAACGTGTTTGGTGACCATTCCTGCATGGCAGCAAAAGCTCGAAGTTAGTACCATGCACATCCTTATTAACAAGCAGCTCTACAGAAATGGATGCCGACAGTGCTTGGGCTTCTGGTCATCAAGCAGTGGCACCGTCACCGTCATCTTTCGGTTTTGACCCCGAAACTCAAGAACGAAGACGTTGGCATTCTACCCACAGCATCTGATGCAAACTATCCTGTCGCACAAATCAGTTTCCCTAAATGAAAGTATACCTGGGCAAAAGCGTACACAAAGTTTGTACGCATGAGAGGGTTCGTCGCCAATGCTTTCTCTGGCAACGCGGAGAGCATGGCGGTGTTGTTTCTCGAGGATGTGAGTCAAGTCACTATGACCACGGATGCCCTGCTCTACACGGCCGCCCACGAACGACATGTTCTGCCCGACATGTCAGCTTCGATGATAGCGGACGAAAGCGAGAGCGACATGATTCAAATGAGCCGCTTCTCAGTGGGCAGCTTGATCTCTCTGCTGTGGACTTTTGCGTACTGTTCAAGGTTTGGCAATCGCCCTCGTATAGCTCAACATTCCGGCTCGCATTCTTTACGCCTAGCTCGCTTGCATCTCTTGGCGTGTTGAACTCTCGAAATACATCAACTATCCGAGATGTCTATCGCAAATGGCCGGTAGTTACATTGGTGTCTTGAAGAACACCGTCATCCCCACGATGACGGCTCATGTTTTCGTCACGAAGCTGGGGGGCGTTGAGATCGATCTAACTACGACCATGGAGGCAAGACACCAGAAGGCCAAAGAACCCGAGTGGAGAAAAAGATGGAGTCAATTTACACTGAGTAATGATTCGAAATTCATCCTGTCGACCCTGATTGTTATGATGATCCCCACCTGCGGCCCACGACCAGACTAAACACGTTTATGAGGCTCTCGACTCAAGCATGCAGTGTGTCAAGAAGTATTCACAACGAATAAGGAAAGAGCTGGATGTGATACGATTACTTCGTGTTACATTTGGGCAACCTGATCGTTGGCCATCCATCATAACTCCTGTCGATACTCGGCATCTCTGCTTTCTACCTTGGACGGACCCCGAAAGATCACGTCAGTGAAGATCAGTCATAGCTTCTTAGGAGGCACCTACGAAGCCACGGGTTAAGGGGCTGGCTTGGTGCTGGGAGCTTTGGGAGGACTAACAAAAGGGCTGAAAGGGCCAAAATCCAGATGAACTTCAACCCTTACCTAAAATTTGACTGTGATTGTCACCTGCGGAAGATCTCCTGACTCTGATCACCCACACGCTCTGACATATCTACATCATTGGGAATCGTGAGTTTAAATCTAAGAACGTGCCGCGATACCCCTTTGCGCATTGTCTTTAGATGATTACCAGAACGACCTCTTCATTGGTCTTTCTTCTTGAAGTATCGACTGTTTTCGTTATCTTCGGGTTCATGAAAGTTACTATCGTGGCATTGGACGAGGTGTGGTTTGCATGCTTTCAGTCTAGGTATTCAAGGGCACCGACCACTCGAATTCCTGCTTGCAAGTCGTTCTTGAGTCTGATATTGCTCTTGATGAGGCGTATGGGACGCTCGACTAGACGCATTACGTCTCTGATCTTGGCTCAAGGCAGTCTACATAATCGCCATTTTTCGTTTTCAATTGAATAGCACAGAGCTCAAATTATAATTTATTCCCAGGCCGCCAACTCCCAGATGCGAAGTGAAACTGATAGCTTGACTCGTCGGCGCGCCTGATCAGTGAGGTCATCATAGGTGGCAAGAAATACACAAAGCCTCGGCATTACTCGACTTAAAAGACAACTTTTCTTCAAATGATCCGTTGGGTCTACCACGACCTGTGCTATGCCATGGATTACGGTACTCAAGTTAGATGGTGCCAGATGATTGTGGTTTCGAAGTGCCTCTCACGCACTCCTTATTTCTCTACATCCACTCGAATGGTGTAATCCTCTTCCATCTTGTCAAGAATACTTATAGTCACTCCCCATTCTTCAGCGGTAAATGAGCTTGCCCTCTCTAATGACATTGGTGCTTCATCAAGCCTATCCCACTCACATCGCTCCCCTCCCAGTCCGGGATTTGCATCCAGCACACGAATAGGACCCTTGCCTGTCTCGACGTCCGTCGCCACTATATAGAGCAGCACACCCTTCGAATACGCACCATGGTTGTTTCCCAAATCGGAGCGCACCTCCACCACGAACGCCGTCGTGCTATTGTGCCGCACGACGACAGCCTTGGTGTGTGCACCGCCTCCAATGATCTCCACTGGCGACAGTGTGTGCGTCGAAGACCCGGGGTCGCTGATGCAGTCGACCTCCGAATCCAAGAGCCAGCCCAGCTTCCACTTGTGCCACGCGAAAAGATCGGGGCTGTGGCCGCCGGCATTGGCCATAAGGTCCCAGTTGCCAACGTACTTTTGCGTGTAGCCGACCGGCAGCGGGTAGAGGTCAGGCAGGCACATGGCGTGGCCGGTCTCGTGGTTGAGCAGTTTGGGGCCCCAGAACCCGAGGTCTTGATGGCCCAAGGTCACGCCTTTTCGAGCGACATAGTGGCCTCGCGTAGTGTGGACAGGAATGGAGGATGTCGTGGTCAAGGTGATCGCACTCGCCTTGCGCGTGGGCACGATGTCTGGCCATTCGGTCAGTGGTACAGCCAGAATGACAGAGAGGAACACGCAAGGGACACACAAAGAACATCGACTAATGGCCCGTTGGTAGACGTGACATGAGGAACGGTGACGTTTGTGTTGGCGAGCCACGCATCCAGCGCGTGGTCCATGTACTTCTGGTGAGTCGCCGCGGTGAGGTTACGCTCAAATCGATATGACGTTGACGGCCTTGGCATGCGGTAGTACCGGGAGCCGTCAAAATCAACCTGCAGGTTGAGACTTCCAAAAGAGGAATTCCTGAACCACTCTACCGCTGCCGGAATCTCGTTTCTGTCTAGCGGCGGGGGACTGCCACTGTCGATTGCGTTGGGGAAGTCGACAAAGATCATCTTGGCCCGCATGGTACCGAAGCTCGGCGCGCAGTCAAACTTGACCCCATGACCTTCGCTGTAGTGGGCATCCGGCACGGCGGGTAGCTTGCAGGCCGAGCTGTCGGGTCGTCTGCCATTAGGGATGGCACTGGCGGCAGACAACGCGAACAGGAAGAACGCCAGCTGCCTCCTAGGTCTGAAGAGCGAAGCAATAAACATTGCATTGCTCGATTATTATCGATGGCTGTGAGAATTTCTCCGCCGGTACAGCCGTCCATGATTTTGGATCGAAGGTCTGTCAGTTGTAGCATGCAGGCTGGCGTTGAGTTCGCTGCAGCAGCATGTCGGCGCCGACGTGGGGCCTCATCTTGGGATTGCATTCCCCCTCGGCGTGAAGCTTCACGCGTCTGCTGTGTCACCCAAGTGAAGGTCACGCATCTCAACACGTATTTCACTACATCGCCACACTGTAGGCTCAGCATGGCACATTTCTCTCGTCCACACGAGGTATGCATACGCATGAAATGCACCATGGTGTGTTCTAGTGCTGTCAGACTAGGTCACACTAAGGCTTCACTGCAGTCAATGTATTGACAGCCCCGCGATGAAAGGGGGCTATGACGTTGGCCATTCGCTGCGCACGATTTGGCAGGATTAGATTATCGAGTCCACAGCATGCCCAGGATCAGGCTCAATGACCGAAAAAACCACAGATCCGACTAAGAAAGTAAATCGGAGATGGCAAGGGCGCACGGCAATGTCTGACTCGGGATGTCACGAGAGTGAGAAGATTGCTGAGCATTGTCCAGGGTCTCAGAAGGCTAGGCCATGGAGCGGAGAAGATAAACTGAGCTGGGTGTCAAGCCGATATGAATACGAAGGTTCCGGGTCGGGAGCCCCCGAATGAGCACCCCACGGCGACTTCCATAGTGTCGCCCCCTCCTCCCCGTGACATAGCTTGGCTGCATCGGGCTCAGAAGGCATCAAGAGGTCCATTATCGAATCCATCCGGTGCCGGTTTGCCCGGCACCATCGAACGTCGCGGGCCCCGCAGACAATCCCGATGAGCAGCACAGGGCTGTCACCAAGTCTGGTTTCTGGATTCATCCTCTGCGGTGTGTTTCAGAAGAGACAGGGGAATGTCAAAGAAGAATGGGGGTCACACGCTTCGCAGCAAGCTGGCCCCCTGTAACAGCATGGGAAGACACAGCCTCGATTCCAGGCTAGCCCTCCCCGAGACTGAAGCGTCCATGTGGGCGGACGAGTGGTGGGGCTTGGCATTAACGTGCGACCCCCGTCACAGCTGTTGGTGAGATTCGACCTCACCTAATCTGCTCTCTCAGCCAGCAGCTAGTGGGCGTGCAATCGACGTTGGTCGCCAGGATGCCCGTGTCCCCAGGCTCCCATGCATCCGATGCCGACGATGCGAAAGCGATGAGCAGATGGGCCGGCCGAGAGATGGGAGCAGAAAATTTCTCCCATCGTCTGACGTTCACTGGGCATGACATTGATGATGTATCAATCTAGATGAGATGTGGTGCTTTGACAGCGACACATGGGGGGCAGGGATGGGACCTGAGGAACAGGTGAGGAGGGAGATGCTCTGAAGTGAACCCCAGGAGACAAAGACAACAGCACATTACAGCGCACTTTTAGGTTTGAGAGGCCCAGCTCAGCTCAGTCAACGTGGCTGAAAAATAAGGATAACCCTCACTGTAAGCTTAAGGTACGCTCCCGAAAGGCCAATAAGCTTATTCAATGCCCAGCGCTCGCCTAGAGCTTGGTTTCTGGCCTGCCACAATCTTCCGATTTCCCCCTCCCCCGGAACCCGAACAGGTCGCTAAAGCCGAAAGGATGCAAGAAGGGGCTCAGTTTATTTCTTCTGTCTGTTCTTCGACAACAGACCTCGCGGTTTGATAGTAATTACCGATGATAACCCCCTCCCCTCCCCCTTTACCATGTCGGTCTGCTTTCCCACCGGTCTTTCGGCAGAGCTTTCGCCCGGATTCCAGGCCCCCTCGCCAGAAACGGCAAGCTGGTTGAGATAACAGCCAAAGGGGGCACCGACAGTGCAGACTCTCCTTCCAACCTTGTCCCGTTGGCGTTCGCCTGTGAAGGCGCCTTGGGGGGGGGGTTCACCGCGTCGAGCCGCCAGGTCACAGAATCTGCAGCTTGAAGCAGCACCAGACTGGCGTCGGCAAACCAAACGTGGGTCTTGGCGTGTTTCGACAGGCAGCTTAGCGGCACATCTCCAATCATTCGGCCAACGTACCTGCAGTGGCACGCATCTAGCGTCCCCGACCCCGTCTTCATTCTTCCCAGGTCTTTGTTTTGGGTTGAGAAGACCTCTTCCCTTGCTCATTTCCTTCCAGAGAGATCCGGCCGCCGGATGTTGTTGTGATACTGGACTGAGGCCACCCAGCTCAACCAACACTGAAAGCTTGAGCACAGCTGACCCAGCACCAACAAGCAAAGCTTTGCCACCCAATTTCCATCAAACCGCGACCAGGTGGGCTGTTCCAGGCGGGCGTCATGCGAACAGGAAAGCACAGGTCAAGCTTGCCACCAAGATCAAAGTCTGGTCCGATCGAGCAACGTGCGAAGCATGGATCCCAGGAGAGATGGCTACTCCATCGACCTTCCATCCTGTCATCTTGTCTGTCACTCTGTCATGCTGTGTGTGGCTCATTCCCAGGCCCATCGCATTGGTGGGCTCTTGCTGATCTGACTGCACAGACTCGACAGGCCCTTCCACTTTCCCACGACCTCTTTTCGGATGGAACCGAACCATATCTCGACTGAACGCGGCAGTGGGGCCGAGCCTGCTCCACCCCCTACTCGATCGCTCCGGACGCAACAGGCGAAGACATTGTGTGTGCCCCGTAGATGAGGCCGGGGGTCCTGGGTCGGAGCTGAGAAGCTTGACCGTATGCTTGACCTGATGCTTAGCTTGTTGCCCCAATATTCGATGCTTGATGCTTGATGCTTGATACTGCTTTTCCTGGCTGCATGTAGTGGGCCTGCCGTAACCCGACGCAGCCGTTCCTGGTCTGGCCTCCCCCTACCTCTCTCCCTCTGCATGGGTGTTTGTTCGTGTTGGAGGTGCAGCTCGCCAGGGAGTCGATGAAGTGGGGTGGCGACCGTGATCGCGAACTGGACCCCCTCCTCTGGTCTCCTTTTTGGGTAGACAGTCGGTCTAGTTGTATAAGAAGAAGCCCAGGAACGTCGATGGCATCACTTTTGCCTCCCTCTCCATCTCATCACACTCATTCACTTGACTTTCACTCTTTCGCTACTATCCAACTCACATTCATTCTTTAGCCCAGGTGGTTATTCATTCGCTCAACTTGTCCGATACTTCAAGTCCAATTCTTTCCAATCACCAACCACACTCACTCAACCAACAAAACCCCCGAACCCAACCGACAACATGAAGTTCTCCGCTGTCCTCGCTGCCCTCGGTGCCGCCGTCGCCATCGCGTCCCCCGCCGTCAACAACGTCACCCCCAACACCGTCGGTGCTCTCGAGCGCCGCGCCGCTTTCCCCATCCCCGCCTCCAAGGGCTCCGTCACCTACAAGAAGGTCCAGACCATCAAGGGTGTCTTCGACGGTGGCCTCAAGACCTACGGCCGTGGCGTCAAGTGCACCGGCCAGAAGGAGGGCGGTGACGCCGATGCCGTCTTCATCCTCGAGAACGGCGCTACCCTGAAGAACGCCATCATCGGCGCCGACCAGATCGAGGGTGTCCACTGCAAGGGCGCCTGCACCATCGAGAACGTTTGGTGGAAGGATGTCTGCGAGGGTAGGTCTCCAGTCTTGTGCGCCACAATCCCTAACGCCACACTCTCACCGAACGCCACACTGTCGCAACACACACTGTCACAACACTACGTACAAACTCATGATACTAACGATTCTCTCAAAATTTAGACGCCTTGAGCATTAAGGGTGACGGAAACGCTCTTATCCGAGGAGGAGGGGCCCAGTCTGCTTCTGACAAGGTTATCCAGCACAACGGTCTCGGAACCGTGACCATTGACGGCTTCACCGTCGTCGACTTCGGCAAGCTGTACCGCGCATGCGGTAACTGCAAGAAGATGGGCCGCCGCAACGTCGTCATCAAGAACGTCAAGGCCTACAACGGCAAGCTCCTCGCCGGCATCAACAGCAACAAGGGTGACGTCGCCACGATCAGCAACACCTGCTCCACCAGCGTGAAGAAGGTCTGCACCGAGTTCAACGGCACCACCCCCGGCAACGAGCCCAAGGAGATCCGCTCGGGCCCTTCTGCCTCTTGCAAGTACACCACCGTCAAGGCTTGCTAAGCGACTTGTCGCTGTCTTCTACTTCGTCGAGTCGTGCTTTCGGCACGCGGGCGTAGCTTTCGTCAAGCTGAACACAACACATATCTAGGTGGAGAGTGAGAGATTCTTCTGGTGACCCAAGCCTTCGCTGTGCAAGGGCTGTTTAATTCAATTCTCCATATACTACTCATAAACAAGTGGAACACACTCTGAGATCCTCGGTGCAATGCAGTGATATTTGTTGTTTGGCCATATGATCTACCGTGTTGAGCTCGATGCTAGGGCGAACCCTGACCACGTAGACCATCCAATATTGACCTGCCAAGAAATTTATGATCAGATGATGCTTAATTCTTTTGTCATGCAGACCGAAATGTGGTACTGAAAAGGAAATTTCACTGATTGCCGTGTTACTGGTGCTTGCAAATAACTCATACAAAGAATTCCAACCCCTAAACGGACAAGGCTAAACCGTACAGACTATGCCTCCTCCAACTTCGTAGCCTTGATTACGACAAATCGCCCCGCCGCGGCCAGGGCTCTGAAAACATTACGCAACACAGTCGCCTTGGTGAAGCCAACACTCCCATCGGAGTGATACACCCGTATGGGGAGATCACCCTTGCCCTTGCCCTTGCTTTTGCCCTTGCTTTTGCCCTTGCCCTTCTCGTCTTTGCCGTTGTCGTCGGTCGACGGAGCACCGGGCCCTGCTGCCACTATGGCAGCAGGGACGGCAATTGTCAGGTCACCAAATATGACCAGGCCGGACCTCTGGCGCGTCAGGAGGAGATTAAGACGTGCAGGCTCGCAAACAAAGCCGGGCCCCGACTGCCGATTCGTGCTCATGACCACAAGAACAATATCTCCCTCCTGGCCCTGGAATCCGTCAATAGTTGTTGCTCGGGGCATATGGACCAGCGATGCCGCATATTCTCGCGACTTGCGCATGGTGGCGATCAGCGCGACATTGCTGAGGTAGGGTGTAAGCAGCACGAGATTGGAAGACGTGATGCCAGGTCGGACCTTGAGGAGGTCAACGGCAAAGTCGAGGGCAATCTTGATCTGATCCCTGCTATACTTTGACCCGGTAATCTTGTCGACAAAGACCGAGGACCCTTCGCAATGTACAAAAATAGGTTGCAGGGTGCCAGACGGAGCAGGAACAAGGTTGGGATACTTTGCTCGAGCATACGACTCGAGATCCCGGCCAACAGCAAACTTGTCAAGAGTGACGTCGCAGCACGTATCGTAAGCAAAGGGGACCTCGGGGTAAATCTCCTTCGCGGCCATGTCAAATAAGCCGCATCCCATGCGCAACTGGGTTTTGAGACGGTAGACGGGCAGGCCGGTTCCCATAAGGTACTCGAGTGCTGACAATTTGCCGTCGGCAATGAATCTGTGTATGAGATTGCCCTCCGAGTCCTGTTCGTCACCTGTCATTACGGCGGGAGGGAGCTGTTTGTCGTCGCCGGCGAGAAAGCAAGGAAGTAGAGAGTTGCCCCAGACACAGGCGAGATCAGCGCGGGTCATGCTTGCCGCTTCATCGATGGCGATTCCACGTGCCACACTTGTCCTCCATTCCCTGCAGACGTCATCCGTAGCCATGGACGGGGTTGCGCAAACGATGTCGGCCGCTTCGATGACAGCCTTAAGAAGAGCATGTCCGGCGTCCTCCGGCAAAGCGCCCGACAAGACGAACTCGTCCCAGCCTATTTCACCCTTGGCAACGGCGAGAAGAGTAGAGTACTGTGACCTTTCTTCGATGCTTGCTCGCAGTCTGAACAACCCTTCGCTGTCGTCAGGTGTGAGTTCCCTGACGCCGACGGCCCGCGAGCCGAGCACAGCTAGCAACCAAGACGAGATCGAGAGGTGGAATCGCCATTTTGAGGTCTTTGCGATGGGTATTCGCGGACTATCGCTCTCGGGGATTGGATAACGAAGGAGGTGCATGACGGCTGCAAACTCGTCTTGCATCCTGAATGCACGGACAACTAGCCTGTGTCGCATACGAGTTGAGTCTTCTTGTTGCTTGCCGGCATTGTAGCGCTTGCAAACACTGCTTGTTGTCTGATCCAGGCGGTCGGCGAAATTGTCGACAGCCACGTTGGTTGATGCAGAACAGAAGATTCGGTATAGTTTGGCCTGCATGCACAGTGTTGCAGTGGCGATGGCTGTAGTCTTGCCAAAGCCAGGTCCCTGAATACGATCAGCATCAACTTTGCCATAGATTTTGGTGAAGCTGACTCACAGCAGTCATCATACCAAGTCCGAGAGGGCGATGGCTCAGGTAGCCCTTGAAGCGAACTCGGTCTGTGGGAAGGGCCTCGTGAAGCAACGCATTCACATAATCGACGTCATCGATGTCTACAAAGTCGACGACAGGAAGCTCGCGTAGTTTTGGCAATGGTTGTCGCTTCGGGGGCGTGGCTGCCAGGCCTGAGGTAATGTTGGTGGCGGGATCAATGCCTCTCATCCAGTCCCAGAAGCCAGTGCCGCGCATCACTGCTCGGTGCAGGCTCATCTTGTCCGCCGCCTCCTCTTTGCTCCCAGAGACTACCGGATTCGTAGACTCGGCCATTGGTTCGAAAGCCTTTAGTCCGACCACCTTTCTCTTGTAGTCGGTGAGTCCGGAATCAAAGCGAAGAGCCGCGATATTCTATTTCTCTGCTCCTTTCTTCAAAGCGGCATCGGCTTGCGAGCGGCCAGCAAACGTATTGACGTTATAGTCGTCATCACCCTTCTCACTGCTATTGGGTCGGCGCGTCTTCAGGACCACCTCGTGCAAGGCTGTCGGATGATCTGTCAGAATGCTGATTCTCTGCGGCGCTACGATGATTTCGCAGTTCCTGGGTTTGTCAGTAATGATCACAATGATCAAGAAGGGCGGTCATACCAGATCGCGGGGTCTTTGTCGTCCGTATGCCTGAAGAGAACAACTTTGAGCGTAAGGTTCTTGGCGAGGCGGCGCCAAGCAGAAGCATATGCATCCCGGAATTCTTGAGTGAGTGGGACGATGATGTAGAACTTCTTCTCATAAGCGGGATTAATGGATGAGTCGAAGGGGACAAAATAGACCGGGCCAGGAGTTCGACTGATCTCTTCGGCCGCCTGGTCGAGCCAGATAACGTCTTGGACGACAGACTGTGTCATCGCCGTGAGGTGACTGTTGTCGTCTTTGAAACTATTGATATCATGTCATTAAGATGCCTTGCTTTGGTTGAGGATATGGGGATGTGAAATATTGAACTTACAACCGACTTGAGATATACGCTTTTTCTCCTTTGAGATTGCGGGACTGTTCTTCGTAGCGTTCTCGGTGCCACTCGTGGTCTGTGCCATAAGGGTATTCAAACGGCGGTGGCAGCTTGTCGATGTCCATCATGGCCTGGACATCATTGACGGCAGCAGCGACGGTAAAGGAAAACCTGGTCTGGTGCAAGAATTCCGGCAAGGTCATGCCATTGATGAAAGACTCGTGCCGATTGATCCAACCCTCAACCGTGGTGTTCGAAACGTTGGTGAAAGGCACGCCGTAACCATGGATTGTAGCCTGGGCGTTGTCTGTGAACTGAACGGATACTTGGCAGAGCTTTGAAGCTGTCGAGCCTGGGAAGCAAGCCAGGACCTCAGGCAACGAAGGCTGGACAGTATAGGTGAAGTGACCGCGAGGGAACTTGACAACGATGACATGCCTATTGGTCGGCACAACCGCACCGCTCTTTTGTTTCATGTCGACTGCAGAGCAGAGAGAGAAGGTTAAACAATGGTTTGACAGCTTAGTGGACGGATGCAGCTTACCATGTTGACAAATGCCAAAGCCGCTTTGCTCGTTGAGATCTGTGCTCAGGAGGAAACCGAGCTGAATTCCAATGAAGGAGTCAAAGTTTGATGATCTCCTTACGATAAATCGCGCAAAGCAAAGTTGTTCGCCCTCGACGGCTGATATGCCATTGATGATAATCGGGTTACTCGGGTCATTGTCGACAAGGGCACAGTCTTTTGAGGCGTGAGTGTAGCTGACCGTGACAGAGTTGGCCTGGGGGGCGCCAGTCGATGATTGAGACATGGCGAATGTTTGCGAGGTTCCAACACCACTTTCCACTGATCAGTCTGTCCAACGGAATGAATCGTCAGAGCTTTTCCCGATAAGATTTCAAGCGGCGAGCCGATGAAAAAGAACCACAACCTGACGGAAGTGGTACCTATCAGGATCAGAAATTCCGATACCAGTACCGATGAGTCGCATCTCAGACTAAACTACCGAAATGCAGAAAAAGAAATACACTGGACCACGCCGGATCTAATGAGAAACACAGTGAACGGAGGGATCTGAGTTCTTCGCAGACTGCAGGAATTGCGACTCTCATAAAATGCCTAGGTGTGTGTTCCTGAAGAAGGGAAGGAGAAGGAGAGAAGAAGCAACTGGAAACTTTTGTGGCAGACGGAGTTCAGGAAGGCGCAGAAATCAACCAGCAGGCAGCAACCTATTCAAGTTAACAGCCTGGGTCTCATAGACTTGGCAGCGCACAGCTCAATTTCGATAGATGATTAAAATGGAATTGACTCAATCTAACAGCTAAGATTCTTGCTACAAGAGGGCATGAACAGACAAATTGATTGTGACGCCGAATTCTTATACCTCTTCCAGCATTGAAGGGGTAGAGTGAGTCAGATCAATCTTCCTGGGTGACATGATGTTGCAACGGCTCTGGAAAGCAGCGATGATCAACAAATGTACCATTAACGAATCATGCGAAAAATGTTTCATAGCATCGCGGGTGGTCTCGGCTGGTTTGAATGCTTTGGGACGAGGCTGGCAGACGATGCGTTTGAATGTGCGCTTGTCGTTAGGGAACGATGTTGCTGTGTAGCTGCAAACACCTTGACATTTGTTCTATGATGTATGGACGTTCAATAGTGGTAGAGGGAGTCACAGCTGCTGACCACAGAGGATGGAGCCAGAAATACGCTCGGACAAGTGGCAGCAAGAGATCGCGTTCACGTGGATGAACATTGACATCATCTTCTACTATATATACATAATTAGGTACTACATGAATTACCATGTAGATGCACTAACAACTCTCCTCCCTTGCGTTCCCTAATGTCGCAATGAGTTAGGGTATGTTTGAGACTCTGTCCGCTTCTCTGTTTACGAAAGCCGCAGGCTCAAGCCATGCCGTACTTTTAGGTCTCTCAAGCCAAACCTTGTCGGAACCGAACCCGAACGCGATGACGAAGGGGCTTAGCACGCAGTGAGAGCTGGTTCCAAAATGGGGCGCGGTGACAATAGTGCTGACAGGCTGACGACGGTGCCGAAGTTCCGATCCAGCCTTATGACGGCGAATATCCTCCAAAACTCGAGACCTGGCGACAGGATTGGAAGAATCTTTCGTCTTCACCGATCAAGAGAACACACCTCCGAAACAATGTCGAAAAAGGCACAAGAGAAGAGCGAGCCCCTTGACGGCGGCGAAGCAGGATACGAACCACCTCCCCCAACCTACGAGTCAGGTGGCCCAAGCCAGGACACCACCACTCCCGCTGTCACCCCTCAGGCCGAACAGGGAAATCCCTCTCAACAGTCAGACCAGGGTCCAACCGCTGAAAGGCCATTCAATTTCCCAGCGCCACCATCGTACGCGCCAAGCTCAGCTTCAAGGCAGTTCATCGTCGTCCCGCAGCAGAGCCCGGAGCCGGCGTCGCCTTTCCTCCAGGCCTATGCGCCGAGTCTCCTGGCGCGCGGTATCCCGTCGGAGTCCTGGTTCTCATTCCTCGACACGCTATCTGCTTTCCTCGCGGCCAAAGTTTCGGATCGCGCCCTGAGCCACGCCGGCGACGTAGCTAAGCAGCTCGGCAAGGGCCCCACCAACAGCTTCAAAGGCGTCTATGCCCACGCCAAGAACGTCGGCCGGGACATCACCAAGCAGGCCCGGCGCGGGAATGTTGTCGGTGCCACGGTCGGCGCCGTCGGCGGTGCCATCTCCATCCCGCTGTCCGCGGCCTTCAGCGTCATCGGTGCCGCGGTGTCGATGCCCGGATCAGCTCTCGCCGCAGCGTCGAAAAAGCCGGCATCGCAGAGGGACAGGGCCGCTGCGTACCTTGCTGTCGCGAATAAGGACTGGTTCCATGCCAGGGGCCTGGACGCGGCCATCGTAACGACAGTTGAATTGGAGGAACTTACGGGCACGTCGATTCGTGCAATTCTGGCTCCTCGTTCGGGAGATGAGAAAGAAGCCAAGACGGTGGAAAAGCAGCTGGCGGCTTTGGAAGGGCCGTTTGCGAAGCTCGAGATGTTAGGCTCGGGATTTCCCCGCTTGGAGATTGCTAACGAGACGCTCTGGGTCGTGTTGAACTCTGTATAGCTATCATGGCTTGCGCCCGGCAGTTGAGGCGCCCTACGCTCTGTGTTCTATCTTGCAGTGCAGTATCGCAATGAAATTACATTCACTGTCCAATACGTGGCGTACGATCGGCGTACCACCGCTGTATTGAAGTGTACCATAGCCCACCGTGTCCACCGAAACACCCCGAGGATTTGGTGCATCGCCCCCTGGCCAAGCGGTTGGTTCGCCCGAAACCTGGGGAAGTGCTCAACAGTGATGTCGGTCTCCCCTGTCGAGAGGGTGCCCTCATGGTTCTCCTGTTTTCTCCGTATCATGATCGTTAATGGATCGCTGTTTTAGCGATTCAGACACCCGGTGAACCGGGACCGACTGGTGTGAGGGGCCGGCGATTCCGGCAAACCCGGGCACCATGGCCAGCCGGCACGACGGCAAGTATGTTTGAGGGGCGATAGTAACGTCACTTATAGGCTCAGCCTATTTGACAGTACTCGAACATATAGGTTGGCAATTATGCTACAACGGAGGTCTCCCCCAGACCCTTGAAATCGCTGCAAATCCGGGAACTTGACCAGCTGAGGTCCGAAATCACAACACCTTCATTGTCATTTTCATATACATCCACGTTTCACAATGAGACTCATTATCAGGCCAGACGATAGCTCTTCTTCTGCCTACGTCGCGGGGTATATATTGGGTATGCACATGGCCTCTACCTTCCATCTTGCAGTTTCTATGGCGAGCCTTCAGCACTGTCTGACTGCCGGACGTAGATCGCATTCGAACGTTCGAACCTACCCCAGAGAAGCCTTTCGTACTTGGCCTTCCCACGGGAAGCAGCCCGACGGCAGTATATGATATATTGGTATCAGAATATAAAGCCGGCCGCATCTCTTTCGAGAATGTTATGACATTCAACATGGTGCGTCCGAACTCAGCCAGCGCCCCCGATCCTTGTTAATAATCGTCCATCATAGGATGAGTACATTGGTATTCCCGAGGACCATCCCGAGTCATATCATAGCTATATGTTCAAAAACCTCTTCTCCCATGTGAATATCAAGCCTGAAAACGTACACATCCTCAACGGCAATGCGTCCAATCTGGATGAGGAGTGCACACAATACGAGGCCAAGATCAAGGAAGTCGGTGGTATCGAGCTGTTCTTCGGCGGTGTAGGTCCCGATGGGCATATTGCGTTCAACGAACCTGGATCCAGTCTGGCTTCTCGCACGAGGGTCAAGACATTGGCCATGGATACCATCCGCGCTAATGCACGTTTCTTCGACGGCGATATTTCGAAAGTCCCCCAGATGGCGCTGACTGTAGGCGTCCAGACCATCATGGAGGTACGTCAATCCTGTCTTGCTTCTGCCTCTGCTTGTTCGCTGAATGAAAGCTCCAGGCCAAGGAGGTTGTAATCATTGCCAACGGCGCATCCAAAGCCTTGGCGCTGCAAAAGGCTGTCGAAGGCGGTGTCAACCACATGTGGACTCTTTCTTGCCTTCAGCTGCACCCATACTCCATGATTGTTGCGGATGAGGATGCTTCGTTGGAGCTGCAGGTTAAGACTGTTAAGGTAAGAACTCCTGATTCATAGTCATGACCTAATTCTGACGTTCTGCTCTTGCAGTACTTCAAGAGCATCGAGAAGGTTGGACTTGGCAGGGGCTTTGAGCAGAAACTTCCTCTGCGGCTTCGAACATGGTCGCTTGCTAGCCCTCCCCAGACCCCTGACCTCAAATCACCAGGCCTGGCTTGGGCTGACGATCACCTGGTTGAGTTGACCCCGGACAGCATGTCATCGAGGATCGGGACGTGGCCTAAAGTCTAAGCCCTCTGTGAAGTAGGCGCCAGACGAGAATTCTATAGAGGTTATATCTTGATTGAGGAGTTGGCGTTGTACTATCCCGGATGTCCCTGGACAATTTTGGATATTGTTTACCTAGATTGATAAGCACGGCACCTGCGATAAGGCTGGGTCCACCTTGCGTTTGCAACGACAAATGAAAGTCGGAATACCGCATATGTCCAGAAAGAGTTTCCTCATTGCAAAGGACCATCCAAAAAGGACATGTCAAAGCCTGCGTCGAGACTAGACTGGTTGAATATGTACCAAGAAGTGTCAAAGGTGCCATCTGGCTCAAAGCTCATGGCATCGCTTATCTGAGGCGTGCTCAGCCCTTGCAGTTTCGTTTCTAGGCGGTTGGCTAGAAAACCATGGAGGTTGGAATTGTGTTCGTGGGCTTCCCGGAGCCTTCCTAGGTGAACTCTTACATTCTCGAGATCTAATGTGCATTCGTCAGAAAATCGTGCATCGCAAGGTGTAGCTACGGTGCTAACTGACCATCAGGCTCACCCACGCCGCCATCGACCCCTTGGATCACGATCAATGCCGCCCACGTAATCATCACAAGGTCAAAGTTGGACCATATAGACGAGTCGGCCACTTGCAACTTGACAGCCGCCCGAGCGGAGACTAGAAGCTCGTGTTGCTCCTTGGGTGTTGTGTTGGAGAACAAGTCGCTACCGCGGGCTGGGAGGTAGATTGAGAGAACCAACAGGCGGTGGAGGACGTATTGCCGGAACGTGAGCTTGCTCTGGTTATCTGCCTCCTCATTACGAGCACCAAATTCCACCAACCAGTCATCAAGTTGTCGGGCCCAGTCCCTGATGACGGCGGCATCAACACCACTGAACGACGATGAGTCGGACGTTGTCGGAGTATCGCTCGTGAAGCAAGCCCAGATGGTGGGCAGGCCCCTGCCTGTAAAATGGGTCAGGCCTGTGTGCATCATACGTGACAGCCTGTAGAGTTGGTCTTGCTGAGCTATGCGGAGGCGGGGAAATGGTGCTACCACTGGGATCACAGGGCATGATAGATGAATGGAGGCGTGTTCCAAATCTACAATCTGTAATATTCATGAGCATGAGTTACCACTGCCAAACGCGTGACATCGCGTTATCGAAGGTGGCTTACCTGCAGGCCAGTAAACAACCTCTGCCACTCTAGCGACTTCTCATCCATATGAGGGGGACAATGCTCAAGAATCAGGCGGTATGCGACAGAGATCCATATCCCTGTCTCTTTGCTGACGCCCTCCCGAAGGAGACCAGCTAGAATGATCCCCAGGATTGTCTGAAATGCCCATTCTTCGGCCGCGCTTGGGTCTTTTGGCACCTCTCCGATCTCACTGGAGGGCATGCATAGCTGCGCAATGGCATTGCACAGGACAATGAAGTACTCAGCAGCATGTACAACCACCTCATCTGACCCCCTCATACTTGAACAGTATAGCATCGCAGCTAGCATCAACGGCGTTGGTGATGAGAAGGTCTGTTTGGTGGGGAGAAAGTGCAGCCCGAGCATTGTGTCGTGAAAGCTGAAAGCACACTGGATTAGTGCCATGATGAAGTGATCTCATAGATGACGACTTTTAATTACTCACCTGAGCCAAAGTTGCTTGATCAGTGGTTCTTCCCACAGCAGTGAGGTGGTGCCTGCAGAGCATGTATTCTTGAGCACCTGAATGGCAGGCCGCAGTGGTCGAAGGGAAGAATCCTCAGGCTCCGGACTTCCTAACATAGTACCGCTTTGTGTCTCGTTGTGGCGGCCATTCTCTCCTAGAGCATTCAACCCCACATGATCTTCGAGCCTTTGTAGCCGACGAAGTATGCTCTCATTAAGCTGTGATGATCTTTCATTGCGATGGGATGCATCACCGGGAGTGTATCCTTCGGTGTACGCAGCGGCCTAAAGTCCATGTGCGTTCATGTAAGAAACTTCTGCATATCAAAAAAGGCACGAGGTATCGTGTTGGCGATATTCATGAGGGCACATACATTAGCGCGAGGCACAAACACACAAGACACGCCGGTTCGCAAACACCTTCGACATGATGGACCCTGGTCAATTCTGCATTTCATCTGCCCGATCTGGTCAGACCGCGTGGCAAAGAACGGATTATTTCAGCATCGCAATGCGAACCTTCTGACGTCGACAATTCACTGGTGGGCCTCGGTCAGCATCATTTGCGAGGCTGGAATGGAACTTGGGCCTGCCTCACCACAAGCTTTCCGCGACTTCACCGAAGCCTGGGCCTCTGGAACAGCCCCAATCACAGACGCATCCTGGTCGCTGGGTCCCAGTGGAAGAGGTGCCATCGCTTGGCAGGATTGTGGATTGCGCGGGGAACGTGAACGTGCAAAGACGATCGCGTACTGCTCAAGTCGGAGGAGCTGCCGGTGGTTTTGCAAAGACTTCGTTCTTTTCTCTCCGGTTCGGCCGGGTCGTCCACATTTTAGTCTTATTGCTCGGTGATGAGCTCGGATAAGAATGACTCGGGCACCCGACGGTCGAGCACCTCGGCTCGCCATTGGGTGGCAGTTGATTTACGCCTATCTTTGGGGCCGGGCCGGGTTTGCCGGGTCTACGTGCTTACAGGCGGATTCTCCCTGATCACATACAATTAAGGGAATGGGTAGGAGCCTATCAAGAAGGAAACCAGCACAGCATGGATGAGGTAGTTGGCTTGATGGAATGGACTGAGTTGAGACCTTGCGACTTTCTCGATAAGCCTCCTTCGAAAGGCTCCTCCATTATTGCAACCTACCTGCGCGGTTGGATGCCTACAGGCTGTTTGTGATGTCCACCGCCAAGCATCAAGATGGTGCCACACAGCAGCCCCTAGACCCAACGGTAAGGGCAGAAGCCATTGCTCAGCACTTCGATGTGTCTTCTGAGATCTTATCAAGAGGCACTGAACATTTTGTCAAGCAACTTGGTATGCATCGTCTATGATTGTACCCGACTGGGTTGTAGTTTCCACTAACACCCACCTAGGAGACGGCCTCTTACAAGATGGCACGACACTGCTTCAAGTTCCGTCATATGTTACCAAGTTACCCAATGGATCGGAGAAGGGTGTTTCTCTCGCAATTGATCTGGGTGGAACCAACCTGAGAGTTTGCTCTGTCGAATTGCATGGCGATTCCACTCATACTCTTACTCAGTCCAAGACCGCAATCCCCGCCGACTTGATGACGTCGAAGACGTACAAAAGCCTCTTCGATTTCATTGCAAGGCACACCGAGACGTTCATGCAGAAGCACATGCCCAAGCAGCTAGCTTCCTGGAGGCGGATTATTATGGATGGCAAAGTTACTGATGAACTTCGACGACAACACCTTCATTCCCTGGGATTTACGTTCAGCTTCACTTTCGACCAACATGCCATCAACAAAGGCACGCTGATGTACTGGACCAAGGCTTTCAGCATAGAAGATGCTATCGGGCGCGACCCGTGTGCTATGCTGCAAGAATCTCTCGACAGTCTTCACCTCCCGCTTGAAGTAGCAGCTCTTGTCAACGACACGGTAGGGACGTTGGCCGCTCGTGCATATGCCTCGCCTGGCCATTCGGAGACTTTACTGGGTGCCATTTTCGGCACAGGAACGAATGGCGCCTATGTGGAAAGAATTCAAAATATCAAAAAGCTGCATGCACAACCAGAATTCTCAAAGGCTGACTCGGCGGAGTTCATGGCGCTCAACACAGAATGGGGCGGGTTCGACAACGAGCTGTCGGTTCTGCCCATTACCATTTATGACGAAGCTCTTGATGGCGCCTCAGTGAACCCCGACGATCAACACTTCGAGAAACGCATCTCGGGACTCTACTTAGGGGAGATCCTTCGAAGGGTTGTACTGATAGAGATGCAATCTACCACGCCAATTTTCAAGATGACGGTGCCTTTGACATCCAGTCTACACTTACCGTACTCAATCGACAGCTCGTTTCTATCTGCCCTCGTTCGGGACCAAAGCCCAGGTCTTGAGAGCGCCCAGGAGGAGATAGTGGAGATTCTCGACGCCAGTCAAGTCTCTGTAAAGGATGCTGCGGCGCTACAGATTATCGCAGCATCAATCGGACGGAGGGCTGCAAGGCTATCTGCGATTGCTATCGCCGGCATCGTGGTCCAATCAGGCCGACTAAACAACAGGCCAGAAAAGGCCGACGTCGCTAAACGACCGGTTGCACGAAAGTCCCTTCTTGCGCGTCTCTTATCGAGTTTCCACAGAGCCCACAGTGCGTTCGTCCGCTGTGTTCGCCGTTGGCTCGTCAAAAGCAAGGATGAACCCAAAGCCACCGACGAGGAGGTATCAGACTCGGGCTATGCCAGTTCCGTTGACCAGGATGAACCGTCACAAGAGGAGGGCATTATTGACATTGGGGTTGACGGATCGCTATTTGAGTTCTTCCCAGGCTTTGAAGCTCATATTCGAACTGCGTTGAAGGAAATTCCGGCAATCGGAATAGAAGGCGAGAAGCTCATACGAATGGGCGCCGCGGCAGATGGGAGCGGTGTGGGAGCAGCATTGATCGCATGGGCATCCACGAAGTCGTGATCGTCGTGTACGGCTTTCGCCACAACTAGCGTGACTACATAAACGTGGATGAATAAATGATAGACCTTCCTACGAAGGGAAAACAAGTTGAGATTTACATTGATACTCGTTGAAACATATCTTGACACTCAATGTGTGGCACTTTGTGTTCAGGGAGGCATCGCTGCCGAAACATACCTAAGATGAGTCGCTCATCGCTTCGTCACAAATAACAATGGCAGTCACCATATCATCATGGATTGATGGCACACAATGTAATTTCGAACATCGATTACTATGTAAAGGCGCAGACACCTATTCTCATTTATTCCTCGGCATCAAGTCTGCGGTTCACAGGAGATTGACGTCGAGGACAATGTTCGGTACTCCGACAAACCCCGGAGGCATCGAGTAGGTAAAGTTCCAGAACTCAAAGTCGCGAAGAAGAGAGTCGCTGCCGCCATAGGCGCCAGCGAATGAAAGACCATAAGTCTCGTTCACGTTGCCCGAGACCTCGACCTTGAGACCCTGGACGTCCTCCCAGCCCCCAACGTTAGGCTTGTTGGCAAAAGTGGCGACAACAAGGCTGAAAATAGAGCTGGCGGTACCGTAGGGGTACGTTAGGCTCAGCTTGTTAGGGCTGACCTCGACGTCGAGAGCCTTCTCAGTGGGGTAGAGCTAGAAAATGTTAGTCCTGCAATTGAGAACAAGAGAGTCTGTACCAGGTCTTACAGAGATGAATGCGATCTGGCTGCCGGTGTCCCACTGGATGACGGCAGGGTTGAACGCCTCCTGGTTCCTTGCTGGGCCGCCGATCACGATCTCGTCAAAAGACTCAGCGCCGATAGTGAGCTTCTCTGACAGCCAGGTAGTGATGTTACGAGGAACATTATCGAATGGAGGATATGTGGCTGTGGCTTTGAACGTGTGCTCCCCCTGGAAAGTTCCGAGCTTGGACACAATGTCTTCGGGAACCAGGCTTTTATGCGCATCAGCGAGAACGGCAAAAAGGGGCGCCCAGGCGTAATCAGCCGCGTGAGACATGACTTGAGGCTGTGAAGGTCAGTTATCTGTTCGGCCAGACAATCGCGAGCACGATTCGACCTACCTTGGAAATCAACGAAGAGTTCTCCTTGCCGATCAGAGTCCAGAACCACAAAGCCATCAGGCTCACGTAGCGGTTCATGTCGTAACCGTACGAACGATCCCAGGGACCAGCCATGTTCTTCATGCCAGGGTGCCAGAGATCAGAAACAGCCTTCCAGGTGTGCTCGATCATGCGGGGGCCGTTCTTCGTCATGACTGAGTCCTCCGGCAGATACTTGCTCCACAACACGAGGCCGAAAAGGGACACACCCGTGTAGGTTCCCGAGTTGAACTCGGAAAGGGTGTTGTCGAGGTTGAAGAGATCGATGATTTCCTGGGCGTACCTCTCTCCGGACCTAGTCATGTTGCACTCTTTAAGACGGCGGCCGGTCCAACCAGAGACAAACGCGCGCATGATAGACTTTGGTCTATGTGTCAACAGAGTGCCCGAAAACGAGACTGCATGTTACTTACGGGATTGCTGTATGCGGGATACAGGTTGTCTTTTGTCTTGTCCAGATTTCCGAAGCGGTATTCGTCGCCCTTGGTAGCGTTGTATAGCGACTCAAGGATTAGGCCCTGAGTGCTGTTGCTCACTAAATGGGGAAATTCCTCCATCACCATGACCAAGGTGGTGCCAACGAAGCCGCGCCAGTTGGGGTCCCAAGTACCATAAATGGATGGGGGATACTGGGGAATTCCAACATAAGGCTCCTCAGGCTCCTGCTGGTAGTTACCGAACCTACAGTGTGTCAGGGCCCATAACAATATCACAAGATCAGGACCATTGACTTACCACTCTTCCGACTCGACCCTGTACTGGCCATGGATGGTATTGGTAATGATCTTATCGGCCTCGGCAGCGTCATTGCCTTCATTTCGAGCCAATAGACCTAAAGCGTACCAGACAGAGCTTCTAGTCTCGTGCCGCAGAGCAGCAGAGTTGCTAAAGTCATACAAGTAACCGGCATTGGCGTCGTAGTAGTCGTCCATCCACTTCATAGACTCCAAAAGGAGGCCCTGCGCTTCAGGTGTCAAAGACTCAACGTACGACGAGGCGCCTGCAACAGTACCCGTCAGGGCCACCAGAGCCCAGGGGACCATAAGAGAAAGAGACGAACGCATTTTGGCAGCTTTTGACAGGAACCGGAGAAGAGGACTATGGAACAGAGTGCGGTGAAGCGAGCTCGGATGCTACGTCAACCAGGGGCATCATGGCTTCAAATACCAACGACGATCGTAACCAAATAGGTTAAACTGTCGTGTGCGTCGCCTGGTAGTATCGTCGGCACCCCACAATTACCAAGAATCAAGGATAAAGCCCATATCCGTGATTGTGGGCCTCGTCCCAACCTTCCCCGCAAGAGCCGCCGTCATCGGTCATTCCGGGGGGAAAGAGGTCGTGTTTACTTGTTGTAGAGGAGTATCCTCGGCTCTGGGGATCCACGCGATGTGACCCGACAATGTCACAATGTGGGAGGTCGGAGAACTGCTTCACAGCAGTTATCGACCCGGTCCGGGTTTGCCGGGTACCCCTCATGCCCAACCATCCCAGATAGCGGCTCCTCATGGGACGACCCAGATAACCCACGATAGGGGTCTAGGGTCCAGTGGGGAATGAAACCAGAGTTGGGTCCATAGACCTGCTCATTATCTTTGCAGACGTATCACGCGACGATAGAGCTAAGTGTGCCGAACATCCGGCACACGACACTGAGTATGGGGTCGGTGAACCGGCACAATGTTTGACAGCGCGACCTGTCGGATATACTCGTTGAGTCAACTATAACTCCTCCCGTGTGCCCGGTTTCTGCTCATGGCCTAAGGAAGTATTCCACAAGGTAGAACCCCAGACTCACACCCCTGCCTCCACAACAGAAAGCCGAAAGTGTGCGATAAACCTGATGAGTTCTCCCGACGGCAACATCGTGGCGGCGTCTAGTGTCAAAAGAAGTTTGGAGGCGACCGACATGAAGGAAACGGTAGACGCCGATGAGCTCCGGCTCGCTCAAATGGGTAGGTTGGCCCTTGTTGCGACTTTGTGTCGCATCGTGATACACAAGACAAGTACTCTAAGCTCTAACATTGATTGGTTCAAAGGCCATACCCAAGAACTCAAAAGACACTTCAGCACCCTCAGCCTGATTGGCCTTGCTTCCACGACGACCATTTCCTGGACCGGTCTGGGTCTGGGTCTGATCACCGAGATTGGAGCTGGCGGCCCGGGCGCTGTCATCTACGGCTTCATCCTCGTCACAACTCTGCAGTGTTTCCTCGGTGCTTCGCTGGCCGAGTTTGTCTCCTCGTATCCGACCGAGGGAGGCATGTACCACTGGATCGCTGCTGTGGCGCCACGGAGGGCCACCGGTCCCCTAAGCTTCTTCACAGGCTGGTTCAGCGTGCTTGGCTGTATGACATGACATACATGATGCGAGGAAACGCTGTTCACTGACAAATTTTTTTTAAAGGGATTTTCACCACTGCTTCGACAAACATTATCTACGCCCAGATTCTCATGGCACTGATTGCTTTGTACAACGAAACCCTTGAAATCAAGGCTTGGCAAACTTTCATCGTGTATCAGGGGCTAAACCTGATCACTGCCAGCATCGTCATGTTCGGCAACCGCATTATTCCCGGTCTGAACAAATTCTCCTTGTTTTACCTCCAAATCGGATGGCTCGTAGTCTTGATCACCGTGGCGGCGTGTGCACCTACGCACCGAAGTGCAGAGTTTGTCTTCAGGACATGGATCAACAATACCGGTTGGGAGAACCAGGTCATCTGCTTCATCACCGGTCTCGTCAACCCTCTGTACAGTCTGGGTGGCTTGGATGGTGTCACTCACATCACCGAGGAGATGCCCAACGTAAGTCGCCCGTGAGTAAAAGGTATCACAAGAAGCAGACAGCTAATTCCCGTCTTACACCAGCCGTCGCGCAATGCTCCTCTTGCGATCGCAATCACCCTGATCATTGCCTTCTGTACTGGCATCACCTATCTCATCACCCTCATGTTCTCTATCCAGGATTTTGACGCACTTACCACCAACAACACCGGCCTGCCGCTGGCGGAGCTCTTCCGTCAAGTCACGCAGCACGCGGGAGGCGCGTTCGGCTTGACTTTCATCTTGTTCGTCGCTCTAGGCCCCTGCGTCGTAAGCTCCCAATTGAGCACAGGCCGTGTTTTCTGGGCCTTTTCTCGTGATGGCGCCATGCCGTTCTCCAGGATGTGAGTCGAGTCGCTCCCAATGACATGGACAAGGGCTTTGTCACTGACTTTTTTCCTCACCTAGCTGGGCCAAGGTGCACCCTCGACTTCAAATCCCTCTGAACTCGCAGATTGCCGTGACTACAGTCGTCGCGCTCCTCGGCTGCCTCTACCTCGGATCGTCGACAGCCTTCAACTCGTTGCTTGGCACTGCCGTTACGATCAACAACATGTCCTACATGGTTCCGATTCTGACGAACCTCCTCACCGGTCGGAGAAACATGCATCGTGGCGTTTTCCACATGGGCAATAGGATCGGCCCGATCGTCAACACAGTCACGGTCTGCTGGCTCACATTTGCTATAGTCTTTTTCTCGTTCCCCTACGTCCAGCCGGTCACTGTCCAGAACATGAATTATACTTGCGTCGTCGTTGGGGGCCTCGTAATACTCATTTCGGGGTGGTGGTTCCGGGTGGGATCCGAGTATACTCAGACAATGCTCAAGGCGAAGGAGGAGTAGGATGGGACGGGGAATCGAGAGCTACTGGATGGATTTCATACCATAACAGTCAGTTTCAACCGTTGGGCGGCAACTCAAGGCACTCAATTTGAGTCATCACAAAATCTAGGGCTTCAAAAACTTTCTTAACAAAACAAGATCTTGCCGTGCGGTTTCTAAGTATCGTAGCGAACAAAGGCAAAAGGTTTCCGAACCAGGGAATCGAACCCTGAGCCTGACGGTGAGAGCGTCAAATGTTAGCCATTACACCAGTTCGGATGGTTGACAATCGAGTCAGAGCATCATAAATATATCCTATGATTGCACTGAGCCTCACTTCATTCCTTCCACCACAACACACGCCACACTCTGCGATACACACTTTCCAGTTGGACTGGATGATTGAGATTCTTCTGCATCGAGAACGAGAAGCAGAAACGGTCATTTCCCTTCTAGCTTAAAGCTTCATTTGGGCTGTGTGGGGTCGACCGTCGGGACGGGTACCGCCGCCCCTCAGACAGAATCGCAAATTTGTCCTCGGAATAGTCTGATGTCGTGGGACTTGTCAGGCGTCCTGGAGCTCTGGTCGCGACTGACGTTTTGTCCCGCCCTCGAACTGGACTGTACAGACCGAGCCCGTAAGCTTCCGTCGCAGACGGTGAAGGTTTGCTAGGTGATACAAATGTGAAGGACTGAGGGAGGTCATCAGTAATCACATGGGACACTCAACTTCCCATGCCATGTGCGATATGATCCGGGTCGTGGGCGCCAGGACCAGCGGCAATTGGCCTACGAGCACTGTCTTGCTCGGATTAAACGACTGCCGAATGCCTGGCAGCTTCTTCGTCGTTAGCTAAGTTCCAGCCTCCTCAGCAAACCACAAAGGCCAAGTCGAAGACTAGCGATCCACCGAGATGATTGCCCGTCCGAGAACCTGTCAGCGGGCGCGCCCCCAGGGCACCGGTTCAATAATGACATGAGGGGTGGGCGCGCACGGTCGCGACAGCTGGACTTGTCGCGAGTCATTCTGGGGGAATACGCCCCGAGGGGCTGAGAGGCAAGGCGAGAGCTTTTGGTACGGGTAATTCCTTCATTTCCACCTGCTTGGCTTCGCGATAAGTCGTCTCGCGAACAACGGAAGTCGTTCCACACTGGCTATTAAATGATCCTTTACTTGTCAAAGGGTCCTCCATCCGCTTCTGCCGCTTCTGCTTGACTCTCGTGGGATGCTTGCCGCATCCACATCGCCACCGCTTGTCAAAAGCCACCGCATGGTGAACGACTCGTGCCTGTAACCGACGACGGCGCTGTCATTGTGTTGGTGGATACGATCGATCAATTTCAAATGGGACCACCATGCGTTGATGGGGCATGATGTACTCGCTTACCCCTGAGAACTGTCGATCCCTCCTTAACGTTTTCGCGAATCGCTGTGCCGGCCGCGTGGGAACAGCAAGGGCTGATGATCTGGGTACCAGCCGACCGCCGGCCGGCCGGAGAAAATCGCGAGATGCACAGAACTGATGGCTCGGTCGCTTGGTGAGCCGTGAGACGATCCTTACGCTGACAGTGCTGCGAGCCATGACCCGTCGGCAAGTCGCCTTCCCTGCCTCCCTTCCCAAATCCCTAGTTGCCACGCGAGAATTGCTCGCTACAAGGTCCAAATGTAGGTGCCGAGGACGCCTCCTCGTGAAGAAACTCCGCCATGGGGACGAGCTAAGGCGTCGCTTGCAGATCGAGGCTCAGGCCCAGGCACTGGCCCATGGACTGCCAGCCAACGAGAGCCATCTCCACTAGATACGCCATTAACGCCCTTGCTGGGCCTGGCAACCCTCCGTCCGATGGTGTCAGACTTTTGTTAGTTGGTTTGATCTGCCTGTCTTGGGACACCACCCGACCCCGGAAGACGGACTCGACTCCTAAAAGCCCGATGTCCTCCTCCCCTTCTTCCCGGGTCGCGATTCATCAAATAAGAGTGACGCCCAAACCTTCCTCCCAAACGACGGCGATGGTACAAGCAGGTTGAACCCTTCGCCAGCCAGGAGTTGAATTGTGTTCATCAAAACCGATCGTCGCGAGGTGGACGACATTCTATCCCGCTTCAAGCAACGTCACTCCCCACCATGAGGTTCTCACTGACAGCGCTTTGTCTGGTCATTTGGTGTACGTTGGCTGCAGCCCAAAACACTGCCGATCTTCCGGCCTGCGCAGTAAGACCACCTCCACACTACAGCCCTAGGTTGCGTCACGATGCTGGACGACTAATGACTCCGTAGACATCGTGTCTCGGCATTGCTCTTGAGCGTTCTACATGCGCAGGTACTGATACCGCGTGTATCTGCAAGGACAAGACACTGCAGGCCAGCGTGCAGGGTTGCGTGTTACAGTCATGTACCGTCAAGGACGCCCTAGGTTTGACCTCCCTTGACGTGATCAGAGGTCAATAACATATACTGACCAACACCATCTAGTCACCCAAAACTTCACAGCGACCTCTTGTCAAGCTCCTGTGCGTGACCGCTCCGCCAAGTTCAACGCCGTTTCCATCTCCCTCGGCGTGATATCAGCCACCGTCGTCGCTCTCCGAATCGCCTACCAGCATTTCGCAGCCCCGACGAGCCTGGGCCGCGATGACTGGTTCATCCTACTTCTCCTCTGCGTCGGGCTTCCGGGAACGTTTCTCAACTCGTTCGGCTTCGTGACGAACGGCATGGGCAAAGATATCTGGACCGTACCCTTTGAGAACATTACGCGGTTCATCCAGTTCTTCTATATCCAGGAAATTCTCTACTTTGCCCAGATTGCCCTCCTGAAGACGTCCATCCTGTTCTTTTACATGCGCATCTTCGGCCATACCGACATCAGAAAGTTTATATGGGGCACCATGATCTTCAATGCCGCTTTCGGCGTTGTCTTTATTTTCATCGCCATCTTCCAGTGCAAGCCCATCAGCTATTTCTGGACCTCGTGGGACGGAGAGCACCAGGGCCATTGCCTCGACATCAACGCCATCGCCTGGGCCAATGCCGGCATCAGCATCGTCCTCGACTTCTGGATGCTCACGCTGCCCCTGTCCCAGATCAGGACCCTGAAGCTGCACTGGAAGAAGAAGATTGGCGTCACCCTCATGTTCTGCGTCGGCACCTTGTGAGTCTCCCACCTGAAGCCCTCCGAAGCCAGGGTTGCTAACGATCCTTTCTCCAAAGCGTCACCGTCGTCAGCATCCTCCGTCTGCAGACCCTCGTCGCCTTTGCCAAAACGCACAACCCGACGTGGGATCAGTTCGGTGTCGCGAGCTGGTCCACGATTGAGATCAATGTCGGCATCATCTGCGCATGCATGCCGGCCCTGCGCCTCATCCTCGTCCGCTTCTTCCCCCGCATCCTCGGCAGCACCCGCCAGGGCACCTCCGACATGGCGCGCTACTACGTCAAGTCTGCCAGTAACACGGGCAACCAACGCAGCCGCAGACACTTCGGCACAGAGTCGCACGCTAGGAGCAGCAACCGGGATCGGGGGGACGCCGAGTCGGCGTCATCCGACGGAGCGGAAGGCGTGTCAAAAGGCATCATGTTCACCAAGAGTTTCAACGTCGACTTCCACGACGAGACGCGGCTTGTGCCGATGAAGTCTTTGGACAGCCCTCCTCCTCCTCCTCCAGATCCGACGCAGTCCAAGCCACAGGGCCCGAAGGACAATTGGTAGTGAAGCTATAGATTTCTGACGAAGCATACGAAACAATTTAATTGTAATTTTCTTAGGACTGCTACAGTTGAAGGCAGAACCACTCGTGAATGTGAATATTATCAGAAACGAGAAGGTAGCTTCCAGATCTTGATGAGTGGCACCAACTCTTAGGGCCAACGGAATTCTGCGCACGCAGAGGCGTCTTCCTGAGGACATTAATCGGAGTTCAAACTTGACCGCTTGGCTTCGCTTCAGGTGGTCAACCCATACACTTGGCAGAGCTTCGATGACCATGTCCCGTGTACTAGGCACCTCCTTCAGATCATCCATGATACCCGCAGACGTGGAAGGGCGGTAATTGGGGAAGAGGCTTCCAGCCAGATCCCGAGAGTTCAAGGAATATGCAAGTTTACCGCCGGCTGAATGATATATTGCAGTTCATCTGTCCAGGGTTTCCCCTCCCAGATGCCGGATGCACCAGCAGCAGCGCCTTGTTTGAAAGATGTATGTTGACTTCCAGGATCTACTCTTCCAGCTGCTGTGATCAATGCGACCAGACGATCATCATAGCCTGACAACGTCGTTCTCAAGCTGGCGATTCATACAAATGGTTCGTCTCGCCTTCTTGCTTTGTGATTGATAGAATTACACACCATGACCATGTATCTGAGGCCATCAGACACGTTCGCAGGCTTGACAACGACATGGCAATGGTCGTCACTCAATACAGGTACTGAGTGTGAGCTATGCCGGTGCCAAACACTTCAAACCCGGCTACCATGTCAATCCTGATACGCGCAGGCTACACAGCACCGCTGATAAAGCCCACAATGGCCGTATACGAACGTAAGGCTCATTTCCAGGCCCTGGCATCTCGATTGAGTCAAGCTCGTGACTCGGGCTGCGAGCGCTAGCCATGCGTCAGCGTCTGGAGACCCTTAATGGCCCCAGTATAGCCTGTCGAGCTTCCCGAAATGGGCGTCGTCTTTTACCCGGCCTCCTCACCCGGGCAGTCGCGTCTCCCAAGTTTGGGTCGCGCACTCTATGTATACATCACGAGAAGCATCATAAAGTGGCCTACAACTAATAAGGCCACGGACCAGCCCTCCGCAACGCGCCCAATCTGCCACCGCTCGCCCGCCGCTGCAACCCCCGGGTCGTCCAGCGCTTGGCAGCTGGGGTACAGCGTCACATCGCACCTCGGGCATTTCGACTTTTCAGCCTCTCGAGCGCCACTCTTTCATTTTCAAGTTCCGAGTGCCGTTGAAATAGCCGGGCAGATGCCCATGTGCGTGTGTCATTGTCGGGCCTGGTGACTGAGGCTCTGAGCTGTCCGTGACAGGGGGCTCTCTTTCGGGTGCTTCCCATCTACCCAAGACAGGATGCGGGGTTTTAGGCTATTTGCCGATGCCCACGTCCCCCTGCGCCGTGATTGTTTGCAGGATATTCGTCGCCTCTTGGCCCATGAGCATCATGCATTCTGTGGACGCATCTCAACATCCAGCTTCGGCGCCGCCTTGCCATCGCTAACCGGGTGATTCGTACCACAGATGTGTACGCACCCGTTCGTTCGTCTCTTGAAGGCCTAGATCACGGAGCGATTGTGGCCTCGCCTCAATCGAGACATGGAGCCCGACGGAGCAAGTTCCGGGGAAATCACAGGGGCATCGCAGGGGTTTGCTCCCAACATTGGCAGCTGCCCCGAGCGCCATGAACATGGTTGTCCCGGGCTTCCGGGCAACGGAGATAGAAAGGGGGCAAGAATATAAAGAGAAAATCTTCGCGACGTTACCCTTCTCGTCGACACCGATCGATATCTTTCAACTCTCTCTTTCATCACTGTCGATTTTGTCGCCATGGTTTGCTTCTCTTCCCTCTTCGTCGCTGCGTCGGCCATTGCCGGCGTGTTCGCGAGCCCCGTCGACCACGAGCAGCTCGCCAAGCGCCAGAGCACGCCCAGCAGCCAGGGCACGCACGATGGATACTTTTACTCGTGGTGGACCGATGGCGGCGCCGCCGCGACCTACACGAACCTCGCCGGCGGCGAGTACAGCGTGAGCTGGAGCAACGGCGGCAACCTCGTCGGCGGCAAGGGCTGGAACCCCGGTGGTCCTCGGTATGTCGGGTCTGTCGTGAGACGAGGCGCGCGAAACTAACGCATCGCAGCACCATTACCTACTCTGGCACCTACAACCCCAAGTACGTTCGAGCTGTGATCACTTTGATGTATGAAGAGGCTAGGGGCGCTAACGCAACGAAGCGGCAACTCGTACCTCGCCGTGTACGGATGGACTCGCAACCCTCGTAAGTGCCGTCTGACCGATGACGAGATTTTCAGGGCCATGGCTAACTCCTCTAGTGGTCGAGGTAAGCCGCCGATTCTGGCGTGGTCTAGCGTTCATGCCCGTGACATTCTGTTAATCTCTTCTCGCTCGGCAGTACTACGTCGTTGAGAACTTTGGTGAGCCATGGCCCGCCCGTTTCGATGAGAGAGGGGGGTGAGAGACTGACCGGGGGGACACAGGCACCTACAACCCCTCGTCCGGCGCCACCGCCCGTGGCCAGGTCACGCACGACGGCGCCCTCTACCGCCTCTTCGAGAGCACGCGCACCAACCAGCCCTCGATCGACGGCACCGCCACCTTCCAGCAGTACTGGGCCGTCCGCGACGTCAAGCGCACCGGCGGCACCGTCAACATGGCCACCTTCTTCAACGCCTGGACCTCGGCCGGCATGCGCCTCGGCACCCACAACTACCAGGTCGTCGCCACCGAGGGCTACTTCAGCAGCGGCTCGGCGCGCATCAACGTGGCCGGCGGCGGCGGCGGCTCCACGCCCTCCCCGCCCTCGACGCCCAGCCCGCCCACGACCCCGAGCCCCCCGCCCACCACGCCTCCTCCCTCCGGCGGCGGCAGCGTGAGTTGAGCCCGTCCCCCGCTCCCCCCCGTGCAAGCGTGCCATGAGATGAGAAAGATGTGCTGACGAAAAGGTGTATGCAGTGCGCCGCTCGTTGGGGCCAGTGCGGCGGCTCAGGCTGGAACGGTGCCAAGTGCTGCTCTGCCGGCACCTGCCAGGCCCAGAACCAGTGGTACTCCCAGTGCCTGTGAGGTATTCTGAGACGATGACGAGAGTGAATCCATGGATTTTAGGATCCGTAGGGGCGAGCACATCTAGTGAAGCTCGGCATCGTGCTCGTCGACAAGGGCTGGGGAGTGGACTTCGATTCTCTGTATGTATGAAAGATGACACCGGCGCTTGCCGGTGTCTCGTGCTGCACATAAGATTGACAACATCAAAATGGATCATCAGCTGTGCTGAATCTCATGCACCTCCCTGGCTTCACCTTGTGATGTGTGTCAGAATTGGGCATCAACCATGGGGTGATGTCTTGACGCACATACCTGATCACGCATCGGGTTATGGTCCTAAAAGATGCTCGATGGTTTGTCAGGGCCACCACTCTGTCGCGACCAAACAATTGTGCTCCCGAAAATCATGTGCCGCAGTACGACTCTTATTCGGACAGCGAATCATTCAGTGCCGCCATGCGAAGGGCACAATGTCGAACCAGGTTGGGTCCAAGCAGCGTGTAGCGTGCCCAGCGAGCCTAGGAGAAAGGGTGTGTATAACAGGAACGAAAACAGCATGAGACCAATCGAGTCAATGGCAGTCCTACAGGCCCTAATAGCCTGCAGATCAGCTGAATGACAGTAACGCACGCGAAGGCGTTCCCTTCAATGATGGATGATCTTCATTCTTCTCAGAGGCGTCACGGGCATGCATTCCTTTTAAGCCCCTCCAAACATCCCGCGTACTTGATTGAACACCTGGGGAAATGACGAGATAGGGATCAGCGTCACGAATGAGCCTGTTCAATTGGCAATGTCTCGCCCGGGGCTGCCTTTATGGAAAATCCCCAGTTTCCCTCCCTCGACTCATTCCTCAAGATGCACCTCCTGGTCCACCCCACCACACGACGAATTCCCATCACGTCCCCCTTGCGAATACATGTCTACAGACACTGCGAATACCACTGGTTCTGAGCCTGGCACGTGTACGGCGAAGCGCAGACGGTGCACCCCGTCCACCCCTGCCCGCCGCACTGCCCCCACCTCGCCGCCGAGCAACCCCCAGGCGGCGCGGCCGTCGTCGTAGCGGGCGGCGGCACAGCGACGTTCGTGGTCGTCGTGGCGGGCGGCCGGACGGTGGTTGTCAGCGGCGGCGGGCTAGTGCCGCCCTGGCCAATGCCGAACCAGCGCATGTCCTCGGCGCCCTGGATGGGCACGCTGTGGCTGACGGAAGCGCCCCAGAGGCCCTGGAGCCTGTCGCCGTAGATCTCGCGCACAAACTGGCTGCTGGGGCCGGGGCCGACGGATACGGGGGTGCCGCGGTAGCCAAAGACGGCGCTCCACTGCTTGATCGTCTCGTTGTAGTTGCGCGGGTAGAGGGTCGTGTCGAGGGCGCCGTGGTAGATTTGCATCTTGGGGCGCGGGCCCGTGTAGCCGGGCCGCATGTTGCGGGCCGTCTGCGCCCACAATTCGGCGGAGAAGACGGCATTGCCCTGCGAGCAGGTCGAGTTCCAGCCGTTGACGGTGCCGGTGTAGAAGCAGCCGGCGGGCACGCCGGCGTAGGCGATGCCGGCGGCGAACATGTCCGGGTACGTGGCGGCGAGGACGTTCTGGAGAGGTCAGTTTTACCGGATCCGCTTGTCGTAGAGGGTCAACCTACGGTCATCATGGCGCCGGAGGAGGTGCCGGTCACGAACACGCGGGCGGCGTCGCCGTTGTGCTGGCTCAGCGTCCAGCGAACCATGTTGGCAATGGCGTTGCTGTTGCCGCCGCCTTCATACGTCAGCGACGCCGGCGACGAGACGTCCCAGCAGGTTCCGCTGTAGGGGCTCTCGGGGTAAATGACAATGAAGCCGTGCTGGTCGGCAAGCTGGCGGTACGGCGTGCCGCTGAAGTACGCTTGCGCAGTACCCGAGCAGTAGTGGACGGCGACGACAATGGGAGGCGTGGCGACGACATTGTCAGGGACGTAGATGTACATTTTGGCATTCGACGGGTTCGCGCCAAAGTTGGTGATCTGCTGGAGCGACGCAGCCTGCGCCGTGGCGCAGAGGGCCAGGAGGCCGGAGCCCAGGGTGCTGAGGAAACGCATGGCGCCAATACACTCACAAAGAGGGAGCAAAGTTCTTGGAGATAACAATACATTAGATTATGGGTAGTCCACCGACAACATTATATACACGGTCAATGTCATGGACGGTAGGGAGGTTGCGGAGAACCTGCGGACTGTGGTATTCCGGGTTCCTGTTGCGTTTCTGTGGGCATCAGGGTCGAAGCATGCCTGGCATATAGATTGAGGCATGGGTGCAGAGCAGATGGAGATGGCTGAACGGCTAGGCAGCGCAGAAGGGTCTACACCACGGTGCATCCGCCTGCAGTGCCGTCAGTACATTCTGACGCAAAAAAATCCTGCTGCGAGCCAAAGCTGGTATCAAGTGCTTCGTCGTGCACTGGTACCGAGCCGCGCTTGCTGCTGTAGCTGTGGTATGACTGCCGGACGCTGCTGGAAGACAGCTTCCCGCCCGTTGGTGGAGCCGCTGGGCACTAATGCGACGTAGAATCCGGGGGGTTTGCAGGTCCCTCAGAGGCTAGGCCATATCGGTGCCGCGCGGAGTCGAAGGCCGGCAATGCCGTATTTTGCCAGACAGAGGGCAAGGCGACGCCTCTGCAGGCTCCTCACTGCTGCGAATGTGTTCATCGGGCGAGCGGAAACCATGTCGGGGCCCGTTTGCGCGCGCGTCGATAATACAACAAAATCAGCAACGTCCGTGGTGGCCACTTTGAGTCGTCGCCGACCGTTCCGCCATAGACAAGGTCGCAGGGTGTTGCGACCACACAGTGGATAGTTTTCAGCTCATTCAGGCTGAATGGTTGATGGATGAGGGGAGTAGTGGAGATGAACGCGTCGTGAAGAAGGGGAGAATAATGTGAGTAGTAATGTGTGCCCCCAAACGCCGTGCGCGCCCAGTGTATGCATCAGAGTCATCGAAATTCAAAGTGTGAACAGAGTGTGAAACAAATAGAGTGTGGGCCCTGCTTGCTACTTGTCGCTGTCGGCAGGGCGGCGATCGGTGCGGCTTCGCAACGTCTTGAGGCCAGTCTGGTGCTCTTTGTGGTCCTTGCTCAGCCTCTTCTGACGAACGAGCAGGCTTGTGGCGAGACCAAAGGCGGCAAAGGCAACATAGACGATGAACATGGTCCGCATGCTCGTGAGGAAAGCACCTCGAGCGATGCGGCCCTCGTCACCCTCGAGATCACCGACAAGGCCCACGTTGGAGGCAGCATTGTGACCAGACAGCTGATCGGCCAGACTGGGGCCGAGCTCTTCCACGAGGCGCGGGCGCTGCGAGTCCATCTCATTGGCGAAAACGACGCCTCCGATGACGACGGAGATGGAGGTGGCGATCTGGCGGACAAAACTAAAGGTAGCGGTCGCAGACGCAATGTCGCGAGGCTCGGCGTTTGTCTGAATGGCAATGAGCGGGGCCTGAAAGTTGGGACCAATGCCAATGCCGGCAACAATTTGATAGAGGATAATCTTGGCGTAGTTTGGCGTGCCAGGCAGGTCATAGAAGAGACCAAAACCCAAGGTCATGATGGCCAATCCGCCGGTGATGAGGTAGACATAGTTGCCCGTCTTTCGAATGAGCCAACCGGCTATGGCGGAAGAGATGGACAGGGACACGGCATAAGGAAGAAGGTAGACGCCAGACAAGAGCGAGGACACGCCGAGAACGCCCTGATAATACAGTGGGAGCCAATAACTGCCAGAGATGAAGACAAATGCGTGACAGAATGTCAGGACGAAGCAGGCAACGGTCGAGAGGTCGCGGAACAGGTGCAAGGGGATGACGGGGTAACGAGCAAACTTGAGCTCGTTGAAGATGAACAGGCCAATGGTCACGACGCCAAACACGAGCAGGCAAATGACAGTGGCCGAACCCCACGGAAAGTTGACGCCGCCAAATTCGAGGCCAAACAAAACCATCAGCGTGCCGCCAATGATGGTGAGACAGCCAACCCAGTCAATGGCCTGCAGGCCCTTTCCAAGCGGTGTTCTAGGGTTGTGGAGCTTGAGCACGAAGAACAAGGCCACGGCGCCGACGCCGGAGATGGGCAGATTGATGTAAAAGCACCATCGCCATGTGACTTGACTCGTAAAGACACCACCCAGCACAGGACCGACTGCCGAAGCGACGGCCCAGACCATGCCCATGATGCCAAAGTAGACACCGCGCTGGCGCAGGGAGAAGAGGTCGCTGATGCAGATATTGACGAGTACGATGATGCCTCCGCCGCCGATGCCTTGGATGGCACGGGCACCGATGAGCATGCCCATGTTCACAGAAACACCGCATAGCAGGCTGCCCACCCAGAAGACGGCAATGGCAGTCAGGAGGATGCTTTTCCGGCCGAAAATGTCAGAGACCTTGCCCCAAATGGGTACACAGGCAGCGTTGGCCAGGGTGTAGGCAGAGCCGATCCAGACAAAACCGGCCGACGATCGAAATTCTTGGGCAATCGTCGGGACGGCAGTCGTGATGATAGTAATGTCGAGAGCAGACAGGAACAGAGCCGCGCAGAGGGAGCCGATAATGACGGTGGTCTGCAGTTTGGTGCGACCGGCTTCTGGTTCGTCGCTAGGGGCGCTGGCCTCAGCTTCGGCCGACTGAGACAAGGCAGTGTCTGGGTTGGCCGTCTTGCCCTCGTGGTCGGCGGTCGATCTGCCATCCGTGTCGCCAGATGCTGGTGCTGGTGCATGGACGGTAGCTGAGTCATCGGTACTCGAGGTTGCATCGCGCTCTATATCGTATGACGGCTTCTCGTCCCCGTCCGAACGGGATTTGTGGTCCGCCATTGCCGAGAACTCTGCCAGGCGACGGAGCAGAGCAATGGTGCTGTGTCAATCTGAGGGAGAAGATGACTGTCGTCCCGATGGTGAGCGCCTGGCGAGCTATTCCACCCTTTGCGTCGTAATGTGTTCCTGAAAGCCAGCTGTTTGCCTTGGAGGATTCGCTACAAGATGGAAGTCGCAGGCGTCGTCGGCAGCAAGTCGTTGCTGCGTGTCGGTCCGTGTCGGGTTTCCGAGACGACATTCAACCGATTGGACTATGACGATGTTTTCGGTCAGGCACACTGGCTCAGGCTCAAGCTGAGGATGGGTCGTTGCAGAGAAAAGCGCAAAGAGAAATGGACCGCAGAGACGCACGAAGAGAAATCCCCAAGCGAAAGAAAAAGATGCTGATTCGGGGCGTCACAGGGTTCTGATTCCTAAGCTCATCAAAGCCGCATGGGTGATCCAGTCATCATGTTGGCGTGGTGCGCGGGTTGGTGGGGTGCAGCAACGCTAGGACTCTCCTCCCCTAGCGATTCGTGTAATGCCATGCTTGGGGCCTTCCATCTTGGGAAGCACGACGTCCATCAAGTGGTTCGTCGTATTGGGGGCGGATGTCGGTGATGCGGTGGCCGAGGCGTGCCAGTCTATCGTGAGTCAGAACCATGAGATCGCATCGCCAAAGCATCCTCCACGACGATACTTGAGAGTTGACGATAATGTCCCCGAGGGAAGAAGGAGCTTCCCCAACTGCATGCTCTCAGGCCAGGTGCGTCCGACTTTGCACTGCACCCGCCCTCCTTTCCCCATTGCCCCTGCCCCTGCCCTGTCCTGCCCTTGCCATTGCCCAAGCTCCCCCCACCCTGTCTGTCCGATAAAGTGGTGACGTCGGCCCGCATTTGTGCCGCTTTGCCGTCAATCCATGTGGGCTAGGCCCCGAACAGCGCGAGTCACCAGAGGGCGCACACACCATGTGCCGGCTCTCCGTGATGAGTCAGACCGACAAGGCCGGGGCCGTCCGGTTCGGCGTTCGAGGCCGAAGACCCAGTGTGGCCTCCGCTGGGCCTCCGAAATGTTTGGTGGGCATCGCGTCTCCGTGTGTCGCCGGGACGGCCATGATCGGGATGACAAGCCCTACCGGAGACGGCGTGGGTCGTCGCATCGCGCGGAGGCAAGACTGCCTGTCACGTCATCCTGGTTTCCATGACCAGCATCGTCAAGTCCATATTCCGTAGAACTGGCAAGCAGGAGGCGTTTCCTTTGGCTCGGGCTCCCTGTTTGAGGCCATGGTGATCATTCTTATTTTACCTTCTTAGTTTCTTCTTTTCTTTTTTTTTATTTACATGGAGACCTTGCGTAATGCCTCGCCTGACTCTATTTGTACTGCTCGTCTATTGAATTCCGTAAGTGTGTGACAAGTTAACCATCCAGCTTATTGTCCTTCTGTTCTTCGGAATCATATGCAGAGAAGGCAAGACGAAAAGAAACACTATGTCGAATACCTTTTGGTTGCGAACATTTTAACTGCGAGCAAGGAGCTCGGAACGATCTCCATTGCCTGCTCCCATCCCACGCTGCTACTGCAGATCGTGGATCGCGACATGTCGTCGACAATGTTGAGGCCAGCCCAAGTGTTCGGTCGCACCACGGCATATTTCTTTCACAAGACCCTTGGAGATGCTGCAAACAATACGCGCTCCCCTAGAAACAGGGTTTTGTTGAGCCCTCGTTCGCAGGATCGCCAGTGGGCCAGTACACAACCATGCCTAGATTAGATCACAGAATGACGATAGAGGCTGTCACGGCGGCGAACACTGCTCTCCACACCAGGCTGGCATATTCCGTCCCAAGCCCGCCTTCGTATCATCGCGATATTTACGAGCACGAGTTTTGTGTTCGAACATCAACGAAAATGACGAAATCCAAAGTTCCGACACCTCCGCCTCGTTGTTTCACACTGTCACACGCTTATCAAGCTTTACCTGTCGAAACAGCCAGTCACAATGCACCGTCTGACATAGGGCACGTTGTTTTATCCACGCAAGGTACAGACCGAACCCCCGCGAGGCACCTGGCTAAAATCCATCCGTCGGGAGCTATGGCCTCGTCGTCCATGCTTTCAGCTCTGTCCAACTCGATCCGACATGCCATTGGTCGGACTGGTCTCGGCGTTTTTGAGCCTCAACGCTTCCTTATATCAGCTACCACGGGAGCAGTACCAGCAACCCGTAACTCTGCGTCTGCAGAGCTAGAATGGCAACTACGCTGTCTAGTCTATGCGCCGTTGTTGCCTGGGGAGTCGCGACAAGGCTCCGGTCAGCCGCACCCGTGCCGACATGACGTTGACCGGACGTCGTCCCGCAATGCACCATCAGGTGCACAGGGGCATTCTCGAGCCTTCCAAGGCGCGGGATATTGATTCCCGTGGGGGCTGCTAGCGTCCCGTGCTGCTCCCAGTAATTGACACCATTGTGAGCAATGTTAAGGTTCTGTCAGTCCGGGGAAGCTCCGTCCTAGCGAGGACTTATCCACAGCTCCTCAACATTCCATCCTGGACGGCCCATTACCATGGTGACTTCATCATTCGGCGCCAGACCTCATCGCACAGATGAAGTCAGACCGTGATGGTACAAATTTTGCCAGACTCGGACGGGGTTGACTGACAATGTTCACAAGGGGCACGTTGAGTCGACAGACCTCTGGCCTTAGAACTGACAATCCCTCTGGTAGCGCACAGCCTTAGGTTCCTGCACATCTCAGTCCAACTGCGTTCAGGAACGCCGTGATCATCACCTCGCAGTGCCAATACAGTCAAGCTCGCACCATCACGGGTCACCGGCGTCGTGTCGCCAGGCATGAAGGGAGCGCTCCCTGACCTGGCAGGCGCCGTCTCAACCGCAGAGAGGCCCGCGTCAGCAATGTGTCTCACTATCTTTATTTTAGGTCCCATCACATCCCACCCCGCCAAAAATTCGATCTGCCGAAAATGTCTCTCCATCGACTGCCGCCCGCTGAGACATGTCACACCCTACCGCAGGATCGACGATGTTGAATTCTTCGCGATCCTGGAATGCGCCCTTCGGCGCGACGCAGCTTCGAGTGCTGCCTGGCCTGGTGATGAGGGAACATGGCGACTCGCAACGCGTGCTTGCTGCCACCTGGGAGTCAGGAATAATCTCGAACAATAGATAGGACGGTGGGAAATATGGCTATATAACAAAGGTTGTGGCGCCGCCCTCTTCTCCCTTTCCTCCTGCTCCTTATCCAGCACCATCCACATCTTCCTCACCCTCCTCCTCCTCTCCCATCTTCAGCAAAACCAAAACAAACACACGGAAGTTGGTACTCGAAGATCGCTGTCATGCATTCCAAGGCTACCATCACGGCCCTGGCCCTGGCCGGGTTCATCACCCCCTCCATGACTGCGCCTGCCGGCAACGAGGCTCGCCAGGTGCCTGTCGGTGAGTTTTTATGATACCTCGACTGACGCGCTGAACAACAAGCTGACTTGGACAGACGCTGGAAGCCTGGGAAACACAGTTGATGGCGTAGCTGGCTCCGCAACAGGCCTCGTCGACGGCCTCACTGGCGGTGCGACCAGCGGACTCACACAGGGCATCACTGGCCCCGGCGGTGTCGTTGACGGCACCACTGACGCTGTTGACGCACTTCTTGGCAGCCTCGGCGCTCTGACTGGCGGCGCTGGCGCCGTTACCGACATCCCCAAGGACGTCGTCGGCTCCGTCACGGGTGTCGCTAGCGGGCTCACCAAGGACCTCCCCATCCCTATCTCCGTGACGCCTGGCGTTGCCGTCGCCAAGGGTGCCCGTCGTCGCCACAACCGCCGTCAGCTCAGCGACGTTACCGATGCCGTCAAGGGCGCTGCTGACGGCGCCAAGGATGCCGCCGAAGACGCCACGAGCGCTGCCGGCGACAAGGCCGACAAGGCCACCAGCACAGCCAGCAGCGTCGCAGACGAGGCCACCGGTGTTCTCGGCTCTGCCCTAAGCCAGGTCACCGAGGCTCTTGACCTTGAGGGTCTTCTTGGTGGCGCCACCGGTGCCGCGTCTGGTGCGTCTGGTGCCGCTGGCGGGCTTCTCGACGCTGCCACTGGTATCATTGGTGGCATCACCGACGTTGCGACCGACATCCTCGGTAACATCATTCCCATCCGTAACGTGAACGCCGAGTCTGTCGATGACGAAACTGTCGCTTCCGTCATCAACATGCTGAAGAGTCTCCAAGAGGAGAACAAGCTTCAGGCCCGTGAGGAGGACCCCATCAGCGACCTCATCCAGCAGCTTCTCGGTAGCCTTACCGGCGGCGAGAAGAAGGGTGGCCTCCTCGGAGGTGCTCTTATCCCTGGCATCCTCAATGTCAAGCCTGAGGAGGAGACCAAGATCCAGGCCCGTGAGGAAGATCCCATTGCCGATCTTCTTAAGCAGATTCTTGGCCTCGCTGGTGGCGACAAGAAGAAGGGCGGCCTCCTTGGCGGCGCTCTCATCCCCGGCATCCTTAATGTCAAGCCTGAGGAGGAGACCAAGATTCAGGCCCGTGAAGAGGACCCTATCTTCGACCTTCTTAAGCAACTTCTCGGAGGTGCTGGCGGTGGCAAGAAGGGTGGCCTGCTCGGCGGTGCCCTCATTCCTGGCATTCTGAACGTGAAGCCTGAGGAGGTCAGCAAGATCCAGGCTCGTGAGGAGGATCCTATTTCCGACCTCATCCAGCAGCTTCTTGGCAGCCTCACTGGTGGTGACAAGAAGAAAGGTGGTCTTCTTGGCGGTGCTCTCATCCCCGGCATCCTCAACGTCAAGCCCGAGGAGCAGATGAACAAGATTCAGGCCCGCGAAGAGGACCCCATCAGCGATCTTATTAAGCAGCTCATTGACAGCATTGGCGGTGATAGTAAGAAGGGTGGTCTTCTCGGAGGCGCTCTTATCCCCGGCATCCTCAACGTCAAGCCCGAGGAGCAGATGAGCAAGGTCCAAGCCCGCGAGGAGGATCCCATCAGTGATCTTCTTGAGCAGATCCTCGGCAGCCTGACCGGCGGCGGCGGCGATAAGAAGGGCGGTCTCCTTGGTGGCTCCATCATCCCCGGCATCCTCAATGTCAAGCCTGAAGAGTCCAAGGTCCAGGTTCGTGAGGAGGATCCCATCAGTGATCTTCTCGAGCAGATTCTTGGCAGCCTCACCGGCGGCGGTGGCGACAAGAAGGGTGGTCTCCTTGGCGGTTCCATCATTCCCGGCATCCTCAACGTCAAGCCCGAGGAGCAGATGAACAAGGTCCAGGCCCGTGAGGAGGACCCCATTAGCGACCTCATCCAGCAGCTTATCGGCAGCCTCACCGGTGGCGGTGAGAAGAAGAAGGGCGGCCTTCTCGGCGGTGCTCTCATTCCCGGTATCCTGAACGTTAAGCCTGAGGAGCAGATGAACAAGGTCCAGGCTCGTGAGGAGGATCCTATTGCCGATCTTCTCAAGCAGATTCTTGGTCTTGTTGGCGGCGACAAGAAGAAGGGTGGCCTCCTTGGCGGCGCTCTCATCCCTGGCATCCTGAACGTCAAGCCTGAGGACAGCAAGGTCCAGGCTCGCCAGATTGATGAACTCCTCGAGAGCCTCAAGGGCGCCGTCGGCGGTGAGGAGGAGGAGAAGAAGGGTGGCCTCCTCGGTGGAGCCATCATCCCCGGAATCCTTCACGTCAAGCCTGAGGAGGAGAACAAGACCCAGTAAAGGGCTTAATACTCTCTCACACAACCAAAAGCTCCCACTCCTTAATTTCGAACACTGGCAAGTGGCCAGCTTCGCTTCTATCTACCGACCTTGAATGAGATTATGATTAGCTCTTCACAATAAAATGTTTTCTGCCAGACCACCTTGACCCCCTTGTGTATGATGTGGAAACGATAACTTGATGAACTTCACTATGCTGCAGCCTTCATGCCAGCAGTGATCCCGCCCTCGATCATGAATGTGCCATCATGGCGCAACATCGGTCTCCAACAAGAGCAACTTCGCCCGGCAGGCCAGAATCAATTTATAAGGCTTGAGCGAAGTCAGCATGCGTCATACTGACTGGCGGCCATCGAAGTCGCATCACAAGCACACATGGCACCACACCAGCTGTTTTGAACTGTAAATCCATTCACTCTACTTAGGCCAGCTATGCCAGCCGCACGGAAAGTGCCCATCTCTCTACCACGCTCACTCCGACCTCCTCTCACCACCACCAGCCACGGAGCTAGTAGCGAATGCATAGCAGAACCGACGCTCTCTATCCCTGACCACTCATTTTTCTACCTCCAGGCCCATTTGCCTGTTCCAACTCCTGCAGTGTGATATATGTGTTTGCGTTTGCATGTCTGTGCTCTGCTGTTGTCTGATATTATATAGTGTTGTGAGAGACGAAGTGCTCGCCACAGGAGCGCTACAACTACGCCCCACGATGAGGGTGGAAATAATGCATTATGTACAGGCTCAGCCCGGTCAAAATGACAAGGCCCAGCCCGCATTGACCAGACCCGGCAAAGAACGAATCAGCCGAGCCTGGTGGACAAAGAAGATCCGAAACAAAATCATCTATCGGCGCGCGCGTTCCGTTGCGGCGGCGCTCAACTTTGATGAGGAGGCAGCCTTCTCAACAGCGCTCGTCATGGCGAGGCCGACGGGTGTCATCGTGCCGCTCGCCGGGGCGGGCGTGGTGCTCCTCGTCGGGGGCGCGGAGCGGTTGTGCTGCATGTGGGCCTTGACAAGATGGCCAGCCGCGAGAGCGCTGCAAAGGGACAGCTCGCCGGCCAGGGTGGCCGCGGCAACGATGCGAGCGAGGCGGCGGGCATTCTCACCGGGAGTCGTAGGGTGGGGTCCGCGAACGCCGAGCATGTCGAGCATGGCGGACTGGGGCTCGAGGATGGTGCCGCCACCGAGGGTGCCGACTTCGATGGACGGCATGGAGACGGAGATTTGGAGAGAGCCGCGGAGGCTGGACAATGTTAGCAATATTCAAATCAAGGAAGCGTGATGACTTACTTTTGCATGATGGTGATGCAGTTGGCGCTCTCGACAACCTGTGCGGGGTCCTGTCCTGTGGCGAGGAAAATAGCGGCGACAATGTTGGCGGCGTGAGCGTTGAAACCTCCCACCGAGGCAGCCATGGCAGATCCGATGAGGTTCTTCGAGATGTTGAGTTCAACCAGCGTGTCCACGTCAGACTTGAGAACATCGCGAACGACATCGCCGGGAATAATAGCCTCGGCCACAACGCTCTTGCCACGGCCATCAATCCAGTTAATGGCGGCAGGCTTCTTGTCAATGCAGAAGTTACCGGAGACGGATACAATATTCATGTCCTCGAAGCCCTCGCTCATCATGACATCAAGCGCGTGCTCGACACCCTTTGAGATCATGTTCATGCCCATGGCATCACCGGTGGTGGTCTTGAAGCGGATGTACAGCTTGGTACCGGCAATGGCTGTCTTCATAGACTGCAGGCGGGCAAAGTTACTCGTCGAGTTGAAAGCCTTCTTCATCACGCCGTGGCCGGCTTCGGAGTCGAGCCAGATCTTGGCGGCTCCGGCACGTTCGAGCGTCTCGAAACTGACGCAGGGTCCACGGGTCATGCCGTCACCAGTCAGAACAGTCACGGCACCGCCACCAGAGTTGATGGCCTTGCAGCCTCGGCTGGTACTGGCGACGAGAACACCCTCGGTGGTGGCCATGGGGATGAAGTAGCTGACACCATCGATAACAAGAGGGCCGGCAACGCCGACGGGAAGAGGCATGTATCCGATGACGTTCTCGCAGCAGGCGCCAAACACGCGCTCCCAGTTGTAGTGCTCGTAGGGGAGCTTGGAGCGCTCGAGAACGTTGGTGATGTCAGAGGTGGCCTTGGTCTGGGAGATGATGGAACGGCGAATCTTGACGGCTCTGGTAAAGTCCTTGAGGGTGCGCTCGAGAGCATAACCGGGAATCTTGCCGCGCATCGACATGGCGACAATTTCGTCGTCAGTCATCTCAGGGGCGCGCTTCTCGGCCAGCATCTTGTCCAGCTCGGGGAAGCTGCGCTTCTCGCCAGGGCTCGAGGGCTCGGAAGACTTGATTTGCCTCATGGCCAGCGCGTCAGACTCGTCATCGGTGGAAGCGGGGGTGATGGGCTGCGGCGCGGGCGTGGGAGGCGGCAGGTACTCGCCCAGAGGCAGAGTGGCGGAGCCAGTCTCATTGAACTTTTCGGCACGGGCAAGCTCCTTGCGATCAATGGGGTGATCAGACACGTTGGGGTCCTTGATGCCCCAGCGGGCAACGTTGAACAGGTAGCCGTTGAGGGCGACGCTCATGATGAGAGCGACCCACATCCACTTGGAGAGAATGGGGTCCTCGAGGCTCGTGAGCAGGCTGCCGACCATGCGTCCACCGACGCCGTATCTGTCATAGCCGAGCTCGTCCGCCATACGGGGTAGACCGTAGTGAATCGAGGGGAACTCGAGTTCGTACTTGATGGTCGTGAGGACTGTGACCATGGTCGCTCGGCCGTTGGCCTTGGCGGACTCGAGAATAGCATCGAGGCCGTTGGAAGCGACCTTGAAAGGGTCGACGGGCGGCGAGGTCACAACGGCGCTGAGGCCACCGGTCCACGAGGAAAGGCTGGTGATGCTGCCGGCGTTCCTAAAGGGAATGGTGCAGATGTTGACGACGTTGATCAGCACGAAGCCAGTCACCATGAGGACCTTGAACTTGGGAACGTTGCTGCCCTTCATCTGCTTGCCGAACAGCGAGGTGTCCTTGGCGGCCTTGCCGTCACTGCCGGGCCAGTCGTTGCCGCTGGCAACATTCTCGGCCACGCGGCGGCTGACGCCGTCGTCCTCGAGAGCGCGGCGCATCTGCACGTGGCGCTTGATGCGGTTGATCTCGAGCTTGATGCTGAGAATGGCGGTGTAGAAAGAGAAGAGCAGGATGCAGTCGAAGAACAGGATCCATGCGGCGAGGAAGCAGAACTGCTGGAGGCCGCCCTGGACACCAGAGGCCGCGCCAAGGATGAGGACACCAATCTCGACAGCGTAGTCGCGAACAATCTCGTAGCCATTCTCCTTGATAGCAGCCTGCACAGCGTACTGGATGACGTTGGACGACGAGACCTCCCAAGCCTTCTTCTTGGACTTCCTGTCGTCCTTGTCCTGGGGACGGCGGTGCTCAATGGCGTGGGACAGAACGGCACGGGTCAGGACAATGTTCTTCTCGAAGCCAATGGTAACGACCAGGAAGGGCAGACCCTCGGACAGCAAGACCATGGAGATGGGCACACCGAGCTTGGTCGTCACGATGAGGCCGAAGAGGAAGGCGAAGACGGACGAGAAGAGGACATTGGTGAAGAGCCAAAAGTTGGAACCCATCCGGCGCATGGAGAGGAACAGCGAGACAAAGGTCAGATGCATGGACAGGTATCCAAGCACCATGATGACAATGTCGAGAGTCTCGGCGTTCTTGAGCAGGTCGAGGAACTCGGTCCAGCCGTTGGTGACCCAGCGGATGTAGCTGTTCCGGGTGTTAACCCTGGCCGCCTTCATGATCCACATCTTGGACTCGTGGCCGTGCTGCGTCTCGCGCGACTCATTGTTGGCATCGTCAGGGATCTCCTGGACGGAGGCGAGGAACTCGGGAGCTTGGTCGTAGGGCAGAGAGAAGGCCAGGGCGCTATCCTGAGAATAGGCGGTCAGGGAGTTGGACGTCTGAGGCAGCGGGGTGACGGAGAGGTTCTGCGGGAAGGGGACGGCGTGGGCCCTCGGCGCGGTGTTTGCACTCTCGGCCGAGTGCGATTCGGGGAAGACGAGCGTCAGGAGGGCGAGGTGCTCGACATCGCTGGCGGGCACGACATCCTGGTCGACGTTCTGCCACTTCCAATTGGTCTCGGGGCTAACCTGCAGGCGACGGCTGCCTTCGGTCAGGGAGGACCAGTCGGCCTTGCGCACCGAGGTGGTGGCATCGAAGAGGCTCTCCTGGAGGAGCCCCACGTACGAGGAGCTCGCCAGAACAGCAACGATGACAACGGTGTGGATGGGGTGGGAGCAGGCGAGGGAGGAGAAGAATTGCAGGATGGGCGTGGACTTTTTGCTGATCCAAGAGGGCGCGGCCGGTTGCGCCTGGGGCTGCTCGCCGCGGAAACGGCGAGGGAAGAGGACGGACGAGATCATGGCGACGGTATCGGAGAGGTGGACTCGGAGGTTACGACGACATTGGGGGGGATCTCGGAGATCGGGGGGTAGGTTCGGACTCGGATCGGCGGCGTCGGTGGAACCTGTGATTATTCTTGTGAGCACTTGGCTTGTGACGATGCCTCGCCCGTTCGTGGTTGTGATTGTGGGAAACGAATTTCTTGGGGGATGACACGCCATAAAAGAGGAGAGAGGACGAGAGACACGTGCAAGACACGCTGAGGGTCAAGAGGGGTACAACGGGCAAATTTCCGAGACAAAAAGAATCCTCAAGGACGGTGAACGTACGTCGACTTCGCCTTCACAAGTCAGCTAGACCCAATGGTGTCGCTGCTCCGTACTCCGGTTTGTGTGCGTGTTGCCGTTCGATCAACTGTGCGGGTCGGTATTGGCCGTTCTGCTCGTTCGTCGGATGGGCGAAGAGGCGGTGGATAGTCGACAGTGGGACAAGACGGCCGACGGAGTGGTTCAGCGCAATGTTGAAAGCGCAATTGAAGCCGAACGAGCGGTGATGGCTCGTAGCAGCAGCGAGACGTGTTGAAGAGGGACTCGAGGAGAAGGAGGAGGGAGAGGATCGCAAGGTCAAACCGAGCGGGCGGGGAGGGGATGAAAGGTAAACGGGGAACAGACCAAAGCAAGGGGAGATACAGACAAGGCGAAGTAAGTAAGGTAGTCCCTGAAGGGGGTTTGGTGGTTTGATAGTGGCCTCGACGGACTGGGGGGGGGGAGAAGAGCCAAGGGGGAGCCACCAAAAGGTTGCTGCTCCTAGGCTGGTGGATGCAACTTCATGGGAGAAAAAACTAGGCGTGGGAGATTGTGGTGCCTGGCGGTTTTCGGTACGTATCGCCGAAGCTTGTTACGGTGGGATGCTCCACAGCTAAAATGAGCCTGACGGGGATCCTTGATTGGCTCAAGTCTTTGGTTACGGTGGGCAAGTCGGCGCTGTGTGGCTGACGGTACGCGTTATCTTATCGAGGCGCAGGTTGTCGTCATGTCATTTTCCTCATTCGGTGTGCCAGCAGCCATTGTGCATTGGCGATCAGGGCTGCTGCTCTCCACTGAGAATGATTTCTTTCAGGGGCTGAGTGGACGGGCGTCCACCACGTCAGGTACTACCTGCACTCAAAAACGCAGCTGACGAGAGCACAACGCCTGCCAACGGCTTTCTGTGGCGCGGAGACAATGTGTCCTGCGAGGCTCAGCAACATTGTTCGGCTCAAAGGACGATGCGTACTCAAAGCTGCACACCGAAGATCGAAGAGCAACTGTCCTCAAAGACTCATGACTCGAAGGATTGACGATATGATTGTGACGGACTGGCGGCACCTTGGAACTGTCCGTGCCGTTCGTCGATCACACCGCCATGAGAGACTTGCGGTGGAGTCCAACCGTTTCGACCCTCAATATCGCTTCACTGCAGTACATGCATAGTACACCCATCCCCTTTGTCGGCCCCAGTGTTAACCGTCTGCACGATCCGTTTAGCTTTTTATCTCATCTCGACCTTATTGCCTCACATTTGGCAACATTCATCTGTCACAAAGTACGATACCTCAGTGAGAACCTTAGTGAGATGCAATGGGTGTACAAGCTGTGAGATCTGCAAACCCCCTGGCGATCCATGCCGGGCCATGTCGCTCGAGTTCCACAACAGGCGACATGATATAGTACGTTGGATGCAGTGCCGGCGTACCACGTAATGCAGGGTCGAGTCAAGTCAAGCGAGTCGGCAGCTGTAACGATTTGTTACCAGATGATCGTGTTGCGATTAGCTAAGCATTACTTCTTACTTCCCCAGACGTTTTTGAGCGACGTGCCTGAGAACCGTAGGCAGAGAATCCACAAACCTCGCCAACCTCGTGTCTTTCAGTCATATGGCATGCTGACACCATTTCCCTCCTCTGGGGGATACGCGGCCTTACGCACCCCGCACCCGCCGAACTTCTGCCCCCTCCACGCTCACGACACGGACGCCGCCCGCCTCGAGCTCGTCCTTGCATGCCTCCCACTTGTCGGGTTCGACGCAGCGCGTGCCCTCCTCGACAACGCACGTCCGAAACCCCTCGCGCGCGGCGTCCACGGCCGTGCACTTGACGCAGTAGTCTCCCGCCAGCCCGACGACGAAGACGTCCGTCACGTCCTGCCCCCGCAGCGTCTCGGCGAGGCCGCTGTCAACGACTCCGTAGGGGTCGCGGAAGGCGCTGTACATTTCGATGTCGCGCACGTGGCCCTTTTCAATGGTCGCCGTCAGGCGGTGGGCTTCGAGCTCGGGAACGAGGCTGGCGCCGGGCGTGTTCTGGACGCAGTGAACGGGCCACAGGCGGGAGGCATATGATTCCGATGGGTTGGCGGGGTTCGTGATCGTCGTCGTCGAGGTGAAGGGCGAGGCACCTGCGTGATTCGAGGCAAAGGAGATGTGGTTGGCTGGGTGCCAGTCCTTGGTGGCAATTTTGGCGACAAAGGGCAGGCTGAGGAGGCTGTTGACGATGGGAGCAATGTCGCGGCCGTCGGCGACTGCAAGTGAGCCATGCTGTGGGGGGACATGTCAGTGTTATCATGCCTGATGCTGATTATGCGCCATCCGTCGATGACCCGGCATGGCCTTTTGCGAATGAATGAGAGCACTGAGGTCATGGTCAGCTTACGGGTGGGCAGAAATCTTCCTGAAAGTCGACCACAATGAGGGCCGGTTGAAAGTTGTCGCCCATTGCGGTGATGATGGCCTGGCCCAGGGTCAAGGTGAGTGATGTTGATGAGAGGGAGATTGGCAATGAGTCTACATCATCGCCTGATGAGGCTCCCTCGCATTTGTCCAGATGCCTTCAAGTGGGGCAACGGCTCGTCGTTGGTCTTTCATCTGTCCGCGGCACCCTAATACTTGGCCTTCTTGGCTTGAAGGGCGGAGGTCGGACTGAGAAGGAAATCGGCAGGTGATGCTACTGTACATACCGTCCTACGGCTAACCGTCTGAAACTGAACTGATCAAGACGGCAACTTCCACTCCATCGACGCATCATCAACAGGTTGAGGGTGTGCCAGCTGAGAGAACGCATTGGGCTGTCACCATCTGGCAGTATACGCCCCACTTCCCCTGTCCCAATCGGGCACTCACTGCTCCCCTATGCCTTCCTCGAGGTCTCCATCGCGAATCCTGCAAACCACAACCGCCGAAAGAGTTCTTTGATCTCTCTCCTCTTCAACCCCTCACCCGCTGATCATCATGCTTCCCCGCGGTCTCAAATCCGTCATACTCGTCGTCGTTTTGCTGCTCATCGCTCTCGGTGTCTATCTCAGTCCCTTGCAAGTTCACGTCCCCTACGATCTCCTCCCTTCCATCGCCATGGGTCCCATCACGCACCTCGTTCTGTTCCAGTTCAAGGAGGATGCATCCTCTTCAGCCATCAGAGACGTAAGTGTATCGTCCTGTGCCTTTGCACTCAGCTTCTGACATGACAAGGCCACTGCGAGGATGCTGCAGCTGAAGGACAACTGCGTCCACCCCACCAGCGGCACTCCCTACATCGTGTCCGCCAAGGGAGGCAAGGATAACTCGCCTGAAGGTCTCCAAGGCGGCATCACCCACGCCTTTGTCGTTGAGTTTTCCAGCGCGTCTGATCGTGACTACTACGTCAAGGAGGATCCTGTGCACAAGGCTTTTGTCAAGAGCATTGAAGGGCTCGTCACCAAGGCCGTTGTTGTCGACTTTGCCGACGGCGTCTACTGAAGACGGGCCCTCGAGGAATGCAGTTATCATATCACACCAACCAACATCTGCTAGCACGCACAGGCGAATCAACAAGAAGAAAACGTGTTCTCATTCCGCTCTCCAGGTACTTGACCCTTACTCGCCAGCTAGCTTCTCGTCCCGTCCCTGATGCAACGTCGTCGTCACGCGGTCTGTCAAATGTTTATCCACGTTGGGCATCAGCAGCGCGCAGATGATGGCCACCCCTGAAAAGGCAATGTTTGTGAAGAACACGGTCCGGTACGCATCCGCATTGGCCTGCTTGTATGCCGCCGTCCCTACTGCCAACACATCTTGCGTCAAGCCAGCGACGCCCTCGAAAGACCCCGTCGTGAAACCAGCCAGAAAATCAGCCACGCTCGATGCCGGCAGACCAGCGGCTGTCACGGCCGGCGGTACCTGCGCCGGGATCTCCTGCGCCAGCCGATTCGAAAGCACAACGTTGTACACAGACGCAGCAATGCTGCTGATGAGGAAGCGGATGCTGCCGGCGATGCCACTGGCGCTGCCGAGATGTGCCTGGTCGGGCGCGCACAGCGTCACGATCGTGATGGCGGTACCCTCGGTCCACCCGATGAAGAAGACGCCCAAGGATACGAGCACCGTCGCCCGCACCGGCGTGTCAGGCCCACAGCTTGCGATGGCGCCAAAGCACGCACCACCCAGAACAATATTGACGACGCACTGCCACTTGAGGTGACCGATCTTCTTGCCAATGAATCCGCCCACAATCTGTCCCATGACGATGAACAGCGACACGCACGAGGCCAGCCATGCTGAGTAGAAAGGCGAGTCGGCCGGGTCCGTGTACAACACGGCCACCATGGACGGCCATACAATGGCAAAGGCGTAGTAGACGCTCGCGCCCAGACCAGTCAGGATGGTCGACGACACCCACGGACCGTGGCGGAAGTAGTGCATCGGCACGAGCGGCTCCTTGAGCTTGACGAGCGACTCCCACAGCACAAAGGCCAGCAGTGCGACGAAGCCGACGACGATGGTCCCAATGACGTGGGCAGAGTCCCATGCGTACACGACGCCGCCCCAGTTGAGGCCCATCATGAAGATGAGCAAGCCGCCCGTGTAGAGGGCTGTACCGGCGTAATCAAAGTTCTTGATGTACGCCCACTTGGAGGCGTCGCCACCGTGCTTCATGCGGAAGGTGGGCGGGTGGTAGAAGAAGAACCAGCACAAGAAGCTTGCGAGGTTGATGCCCGTGTTGAGATAGTACAGGCCGCGCCAGCCGACGTTGGGGTGATGCCGGATGAAAGCCTGGGCGAGGAGGGGCGCGATGCCCGAGCCGGGGATGCAGAACAGGTAGCAGAAGGCATTGCCGGCGAGGCGGTACTTCATTGGCACGAGCTCGCCCATGACGTAGAAGTAGGACAGTTGCGTGGCTGCGGCGACGCCGATGATGGTCATGCCGCCGATGAGCGTGGGCACGTCGGGGGCCACGGCGCACACGATGCTGCCGATGACGCCGAGGGCCGCGCCGCCGACGAACATGTACCGGCGACCGAAAATGTCGGACACGCGCCCAATGATGGTCAGGGTCACAGCACTGACGAGGGTGTACACGAGGGCGACCCAGACGATGTTCGGGTCGGGTCCAATGTCGGCGTTGATGACGCCGAGAATGGGCGCGGCGTATCCAAATCCAGCGACGCCGGCCATGAGCCCGAGGCCGATGCCCATCATGGAGCCGATGAAGAAGCGGCTGCGGAAGTAGCCCGGCGGCAGGGCATCCTCTTCCATCTCAAAGTTGGCGCTGGCTGAGTCGACGTTGTCAACACGCGTCTCCTGGGCCTTTTCCATGTCGAGCGAGCCATGCCTTTCGTGACTCTCCTCCATAGCTCAAGTGGCCTCTGCTGGCCGTGGCCTCAGCTTTGATGTTCAGTCTGTGATCTGTTCGGAGGAAGTCTTGCAGTAGCGAGGCTGTGATGCAATACATCGGAAGCTGTCAAGAGCGCCGATCCTTTGACCGGCGGATCGCCGACATTTATAGGGGTCGTGCCAGTCATCCCCGATCGTCTGTCCGCCAACCCGCTGCCGTGGACGAAATGGCACGTGCAGGCAGAGAGGCACACGTCCATGCGGTCCGGGGCTCTGGTCTTTCAGCACCCATTGGTCTGGGCCAAGGGAAGTTTGCTGCTGTTCTGGGAGGCTGAATCATTCGTTGGCCATGGGGGCTGGCACGGTAGTTGACGGCAGTCCTTTTCCGGCCGGTCGCTGGAGCGGGTGCACTCAAAAGGGGGCCGGCTAGTCGCCCGCAATTTGGGCTAGGGAGCCTCATCAGCATGGCCTGAAGCAAGGTTGAGCATTGCCGATCAAACCTTCAGGTCAAGCTGGATTTGCTTGCCCCTGGACATGGTGAGCCGAACCCATGTTTGTCGGGCGCGAAGCGGGCATGGACTTGGCGATCGAGACAGACAGGCACCTCCTCTTCCCGCTTTTCGACTTCGTTTTGGGACTGAATGCACATAGTTGGTGTTTTGGCATTGGGTCATATTTCGGTTCACCAGAGAAGTGCCTGACCCCACGGCATACCTGTCGGAGTGACAGGCATGTCAACATGATGACCGTCAAGATGCCATGGAAACAAGCGTCGTTATTCGGTGCAAGGACGACAGCGGCTTGTGTTCGAATTGCGATCGGGTTTCCTCCACCTGGAAAAGGCAACCCGCAGCCGTTCGGCCGGGCGACGGACCTAGGGCACCTAGAGAAGAGCAATTGAACGGCGGTGTCATGCCTCTTCGTGTGGTCCGATTTGGCGATTTACGATTTGGCGATTTCCCTGACAGTCCCTCAACAAGGTCATTACGCCCTAGGTAGAGATACCTCTTTCATTGTCGAAGCAGCAAGGAGCTGTCCCATCGAAGAAAGAGAGGGGAATGGTTTTGGATGGAGATTCATCACGGCAACTTGCGAAGCCAAGTTCGGCGACATCTACCCATAGGAACAGAACATGCCCAGGCCGCACGCTTTGAGGGTGCTCTACCGGGATTATTAGTGTAGCGGCTGGACCACCCAAGTTGGTCGTATCCACAGCAGACCGTCCGCTTCAGGTATCACGACTGGGGCTCGAAGCACCCACACCCACACGATGACGCGCCGACCATAATGCCTGCAATCTGGCACTCGGTCAGCAATAGGCGAGATGGCAGAGTGGTCTAATGCGATAGACTAGAAATCTATTCACTTCGGTGGCGCAGGTTCAAATCCTGCTCTCGTCGTTCTCTTTTGCTACGTCTCAATTCTTCTTTTGCCGACAACTGGGAATAATCTTGTGGTTTTCTATCTAGTCGATCATCCGTATCGACAGAGTGAAGACTTTCTTGGATGAGATACCTAAGTAAGGTATGGGTTGCCTCGACGCACAGCCATCCCACAATGCGGCATCAATTCGCCTCGTCAATCGTTCGTGTCCCACGATTGGCATGCCGGCATTTCACCCGATGGCCATTTAATCATAGTACTGATCGTACTCGTCAAGGATACCAGGCAGAAGCCCTAACATGGTGGTAGCATCGCGTCGAGTTCCCCGCCCACCCGGAGCAGCCCCGGAAGCTCCTCCGGCGGCCGTCTGGTCCCCGCGAACGCACCCCGCGCACCTTGGGACGGAAAACGCGGGGGTACGTCGATGGCTCATATAAGACCTGGTGAAACGACATTGTGGGATTCGTGTGGAAGGTCAAGCTCACTTCGCCTGCCTTGCTGCTGCACAGCATGAAACTCACATCCACACTCGGGGCGTGCCTCACAGCGCTTTTCGCTGATTCCGTCACTGCGATCTGGAACCCCATCATCCCCGGGTGGAACCCTGATGCGTCCATCTTGCGGGTCAAAGATGACTACTACATCGCAACGTCGAGCTTCGAGTACTATCCCGGCATCCCCATCTACCACAGTAAGCACCCCTCGATCATCTTGGAAACGTACATTGACCGCATGACCAGGCAAGGATCTGGCAACCTGGACCCTCAAGAGCCATGCCTTTACCCGCCCGGCGCAGCTGCAGCTCCACGGCACCCCGACCTCCGCCGGTAAGACCCGTGGCTCCCCTTCTTGTTCCCCTCCTTCACTTGGCCCCGCCACACCCGGCCGACGCGGACAGCAAAACGCCAGAGACTGACGAGCACGCCAAGGCGCCTGGGCACCGAGCCTCTCCTACTTCAAGGGCAAGTTCTGGATCGCCTCGATGACGCGCTGGACCTACGACCCCGTCGCCCGCGTCTGGCCCCGCGTCTTCTTCGCCTCGTCTGCCGACCTCGTCACCTGGTCCGACCCCGTCTGGGCTGACCCCTGGGGCATCGACCCGGAGCTCTTCCACGACCCCGTCTCCGGCAAGACGTACCTCAACCTCATGGCGCCCAACAACAACGCCGACCGCCTGTGGGGCCTCGCCGGCTGCGAGGTCTCCGTGTCGTCCGGCCGCTGCGTCGGCCCCTACGCGAGCCTCTGGAACGGCACGCTGCCGCACGTCGCGAGCGCGCGGCCCGAGGGTCCCAAGACGGTGTACCGGGACGGCTACTACTACCTCATCGCCGCTGAAGGTGAGAACGGCGCATGCTCGGTTTCGAAGACTGAGAGCATCGGGTGCTGACAGTCGCAGGCGGGACGGATGAGCTTCACCGCGTGACGGTCGCCCGGAGCACGAGCCCCCAGGGCCCATTTGAAGCGGGACCGGGCAACCCGCTGCTGTACAACGGGCAGTGGGGGTTCAAGAACCTGACCGTGCAGTCGACAGGCCACGCGACGCTCGTCGAGGCGGCGGACGGCACATGGTACGCCTCGTTTCTCGCGCGGCGGAACATCAATGGCAGTTCACCACTAGGTCAGCCCCCCCTTTTGCACAACGGTGCGCAGATCGTCGGACTCCCTCTGAACTGACGTCTCGTCATAGGCCGTGAGGGCTTCCTCGTCGAAGCCGAGTGGGTCGACGGATGGCCTGTCCTCAACGGCGGCCGTCCCGTCCTCCTCAGCGAGCAGGTGGGCGCCGAGGCTGCCGGCGCCCGACCGGTCCCCGAACCGTGGGTCGACGACTTTTCGGGCCCCGAGCTCGACAAGAGCTGGTACCAGCTGCGGACGCCATATACGCAGAATTACAAGGTCTTCAACGGCCGCCTGGCGCTGCGGCCCAACGTCTTTGGGCTCAGCGACCGCGACACCCCGGCCGCCCTCCTGAGGAAGCAGACGTCGCTGAACATGACCTTCTCGGCCGAGCTGCTGGGCTTCAAGGGGTCGTTGGGCCCCCGGAACAGGATCGGCATCTCGTCGTATCTGTCCGAGTTTCAGCACCAGGACATTGGCCTCCGGGGCTGTGTCAATGCGACGGGCCTGTGTCTGTATGTCGAGCTGCGGAGGAACCTGACGACAGAGGTATGGGCAGACGAAAAGAAGGTACGGAAGTTTCTGCTAACCTCGGCGTAGTACTGGCAAACGCCGCTCAACGAGTCCAGCGCTGGGCTCTCTTCGGGGCTCACGCTGCATATCCGCGCCACGCCGTTGAAGTATGAGCTGGGCTACAGCCTCAAAGGGCAGAAGAGGCCTACGTACGTCAAGGAGATTGAGTCCAGGTGGCAGGCTTTTGCGCCGGCGGGCTGGTTCGTCTTTAGCGGCAACTCGTTTGGGCTGTTTGCCACGGGTGAGGGCGAGCCGTGGCCGTACAATGCTCCGGATGTCGGGTTCACCAGGGTCACAGAAACATATTTTGAGGAGGACATCCCAGACTATGATAGATGGTAGAGGACGTCGAGTATGGCTCGGGACTGCAAAGTGAGACTCGATTCATCGCCAGAAGCTTCTCTGGTTACAATGAACTGCACTTGGACGAAACAGCTGTTCCGGGCTGACAGGTCGAGCCCTGTCCATCTGAAGCCACATCTCATTCTGCGCCAGTACCACGGACGGAACGGTCATTGCCAAAGAACGGCAGTGCCCCAGCAATATGTGCAAAATACTGTTCCAGACACCAGAACACCAGAACACCATGGGTATTCCAGGTTGAGGGAGCTGTCTGTGTACACCCGGGCGACCACAACCGACTCACATGCTGCCCGATAGTAGGCTATGAGTAGCTGATCTTCATCATGGTCATTGCTCTCGGGCCTCCCTGAATGTTTAAATACCCAAGTACGCCAGACATACATGCATCAAGTTTATCTGCACAAAGAACCAAGTAACAATTCCGACACTTACACGATACGAACCCAACAGCAACGCACATCTGGAGCAGTCTGCCCCTCTCCATGTGCAACCCGACCGACGTAGTCTACCTCTGCCACGGCGGCACCTTTTGCCAAGGCGGCCCGAACGGCACGCGCGCCGTGACGGCCGTCAAGCCGTGGATGGACAGGGGCGCCATCCGGCGGCCGCGGCAGCCGTTCCAGCTCTGCGAGTACACGAAGGCGCAGAGCGGTCGGTACCACAACTTTGCGTCGGAGGAGCTCGGCATCGACGGGTTCCAGCCCACGCGGCTCCTCAGCCCCATCATGGCGCGCATCAACCAGGGCTGCCGGAAAGCAGAGGCGGCGCAGGTGGTGGCCAAGGACGGGTGGGAGTGGACGGCGTAGGACGTGTTCTGCAACGACTTCCCGGCCAAGTGGTGCCAGGACTGCGTGCACCGGGGCATCGCCGGCATGTTCTGGGGGCACATGGACGGGAGGGACTCGGGCCGGTGGTGGTCGTGGCAGCAGTGCCATGCGTACTTTGCGGCGAACATGTCGCGGGACATGATGGCCTGGGAGGCGAGCATCGTGAAGGACGCGTACGACAGCGTGTCGGAGCTCGACCGGTGGACTGCGGAGATGCAGCGCGTCAACCCTGGGGTGTTTGACGACTTGGAGCGGTGGAGGGAGGAGGCTCAGGAGAACGATCCGGCCATGTTCGAGGACTTGGACGAGGTGGATGGGCAGGACGGTCTTAGTGGACAGTAGCAACAGCGCACGTGTTGTATTTCCTTTGTCGACGTTGGGGGCCCCATTGAGATGAACAGCATGAAGGCGTAAGGAAAAGAGAAAAGAGAAAAAAAAAGAAGAGATACCAAGGGAAAAAGACGAAAGAAAAATACAAAAATACGGATTTATCCGAATCAAAACGCATCTCTGCTCACAACGTGATTGTAACTATGAGCATCAAATTTCGGTGAACCCGGTGACCTCGGTGTCTCGGTGCCTCGGCGCTCTTGCTCGGTGTAGCAAATGAGGTGCATGAACCATGTGAAGATCTAGATTTCACCCCAACACTTCTCGCCGACCAACCCCCCCTGACCCTATCATCTCATCACCCCACGTCACATCGTGGCATCCCATAGACGTTGCGACCATCTCCACCCAGCCAGAGTCTATCGTCGAATCGCGGCATTGCACAGCAAACAGAAGATAGACAACCGCACACCAATAGCGCAAACGACTGTGTCACCACCACCTTCCTTTGCCCTGCCCCCCATTCCAGCCATCATTCGCTGCATCGAGTTGTCCAGGGGTCTGTCAGCACTAGGTTCAGGCGGCATTCCGTTCTTGTACGACGTCACCGCCCGTCCCGTCGACTGCTCGTTCGCACAATGGCCGAAGAGCTCGACGTGCTCATCCTCGGCGCCGGCCTCTCAGGCATCAACGCGGCGTACCGCGTGCGCACGGAGCTGCCGAATGCGTCCCTCGCGGTGCTCGAAGGCCGCGATATTCTCGGCGGCACGTGGTCCTTCTGGAAGTACCCCGGGTTCCGCTGCGATGCCGCCATGACCAACTTTGGCTTCAACTGGCATCCGTGGACGCACGAGCGCAAGATCATCGAGGGCGAGCGCATCATCGAGTACGTCGAGGACGCCGTGCGCACCCACGGCCTCGACAAGCACATTCGCTTCGGCCACCGCATCCTCTCCGCCGACTGGGACTCGGCGACGGCGCGCTGGACCGTCGAGGTCGACCACGGCGGTCAGCGAAAGCGCTTCCGCGCCGCCTTCATGCTGCTCTGCACCGGCTACTACTCGTACGACCGCGCCCTCCAGGCCGCCATCCCGGGCCTCGACGACTTTGCCGGCACCGTCGCCCACCCGCAGTGGTGGCCCCAGGACCTCGACTACGCCGGCAAGAACGTCGTCATCGTCGGCTCCGGCGCCACCACCTGGACCCTGTTCCCGACCATGGCCGAGACGGCGGCGTCCGTCACCGTCCTCCAGCGCAGCCCGTCGTACGTCTTTGCGCTGCCGAGCGCGAGCCCCTTCGACGCCTTGCTGCGCCGCCTGCTGCCGCTCTGGCTCGCCCACCGCCTCGCCGCCGCCAAGGACCTCCTCCTCGAGGTCCTCTTCGTCGGCTTCCTCCTGACCTTCCCCTCGGCCGCCCGCAGCTTCCTCGCCAAGGAGGCCACGCGCCAGCTGCCGCCGGGCTACCCCGTCGACGTGCACTTCAACCCGTCCTACAAGCCCTGGGAGCAGCGCCTCTGCATCAGCCCCGACGGCGACGTCTTCCGCGCGCTGCACCGGCCCAACGCCGAGATCGTCACCGACCACATCGACGCCGTCGTCGCCGACGGCGTCCGCACGCGCACCGGCCGCCACCTGCCGGCCGACGTGCTCGTGACGGCGACGGGCCTGCACATGGAGCTGCTCGGCGGCATGGCGCTGCGCGTCGACGGCGCCGACGTCGACCTCGCCGACTGCTACGCCTGGCGCGGCTGCATGCTCGAGGGCGTGCCCAACGCCGCCGCCGTCATGGGCTACGTCGCCGGCACCTGGACGCCCGGCGCCGACGCCGTCACGAGCATCGCCCTGCGCGTCTACGGCCACATGCGCGCCACCGGCGCCGAGCGCGCCACCCCCGTCGTCGACCTCGACGCTGCCGAGCGCAAGGCCGCGCCCAAGCTGCCCGTCATGGACATGAAGAGCAACTATTTCGCCGTCGCCAGGAACAGGCTGCCCATGTCCATGGAGAGGGGGCCTTGGTATGGCAGGAAGAACATCGTCAAGGACAAGGCGGCCCTGTGGTTCGGTGACGTGACGACGGGGATCCGCTACGACGGGGGCAAGGTGAAGAGCGTCTAGGCTGTCTGTCTGGAGGAGGAGTGGACATAGAGAGTATCAACCAACATTTTCATGACGGCGTCGCAGCCGTGTCAACCGGCGGGCTCGACTCTCTCGGTTGACGCTACGATGCCCAAAATTGCCCGTAACCTGCCGCGTGAATTTTCTCGTTCTTCATCCGCCTCGAGCAGACCATCCTGGTCCCCCCCGGAGCTCTCTCGGAGAAGAGGAGAGAAGCGCAGTGGCGAGTGAGCATAGGACCTAGAACCTTGCCGCGGCAACATCCGCGCGAGAAGGGATCCGCAGTAACACACTTCGCGCACCAAGCGAGCGACGGCCCCGTACCATGCGAGCAACGGCCCTTTTGGAGCTGGAAACTGTGCCTAGAGCAAAAGGGAAAGCGGGAAGGGCATGTCAAAATGTACAACAACCGCATCGTCGGGATCATCTAACTGCATCTGTCGGGCTAGCCTCGAAGGCGTTCCGAGTATCGGCACTGGAGCTCCACCTCCTGCGAGCCTTGGCGATGCGGCTGAGCGATCTCGCAGGGGTCGTCGCCGTCCAACCTACGTTCGACGACATGTGCAACATGTGGTCGCGGGCTATGCGAAGCTTATCGAATGGTTCCCAGTCACGGCGTTGTAATCATAGCGTTAGAACGAAGCTAGCGATGAATCTCTCATGTCGCATTACTACATACTACTTCTCATGGCACACTCGAGCTGCCCATCCTTCCTGGCATTACTGGGATATCATATAAAAGTACGTGAACACCAGGCGGCCTCGACCTCTCATGCAATCGTCTAGACAACAACCGTAAACAACGCGCAATTAAACCTTGGTCTCGACAACCTCCTCTTGCTCGTGGCGAGCGTTGGGCTGAACGGTGCCGAGGAACTCGGTCTTCTGAAGCATGTTGAGCTTGTCCTCCTGGCTGTCCAGGTGGCGGAAGCAGAGCCAGAAGGCGATACCACCGATGAACGAGATACCAGAGACGGCAGCGTAGTTCCAGACGAGGTAGGGGTCGCCCGAGATGGGGGTGAAGGCCTGGCCGAGAGCGGCAGAGATGGCCGACATGAACAGGTTGACGGACATGACGAGAGACTTCATGTTCTCGGGAGCCTTGGCGAAAGCGTACTCGTACGAGGAGACGTTGGTGAAGATCTCAGCAATACCGACGAGCACGTAGGGAAGAGACTGGGCCCAGACGTTGATGGGGGCAACCTCGCCCTCCTCAGCGCACGTGTTGGCGTTCCAGCCGCAGGGGGACTTCTCGTAAATGAAGTACTGCATAACACAGGCGGCGACCATGGAGGCGGTGGCGAACTGGAAACCGACAGCCATACGCTTCAGGGGGGTGAAGGCAATGCCCATCTTGCGGAGACCGGGGTAGACGACCTTGTCCATGATGGGGACCATGATGATGATCGACAGGGGGTTCAGGTTCTGGATAACATCGTTGGGGGCGCCGTGGAGCTCCATGGTGCCGGCCTGGGTGGTGAGGTTACCGGTCATCTGGTTGTAGGCGAGGAAGAAGATGGGCAGGAAGAGGAAGACCTTGCAGGCCATCAGACCACGCTTGACCTCGTCGACCCAGGCGTCATCGTAGGTCATCCAGCCGGGGCGCTCAGCAACGGGCACGTTGGAGGGCTTGGCAGCCTCCCAGTTGACCGAGAAAGTGCCAGTGGAGCGCTTCTTGGCAAAGCCGAACATCTGGAGGAACTTCTGGAGAACGGAGCCGGTAGGAGGAGTGAGGTGGTAGTGCTTCTTGTTGAGAGCAAGAACCAGGGGGCAGAGGAGGAACAGAACGGTGGGCAGGAAGAAGGCCAGCCAGAAGCTGTGGTACTTCTCGACGAAGACCATGCAGACCTGACCAACGGTGGCTCCAATGTTGATGGCGAAGTAGAACCACAAGAAGACACGCGAGTTGGTGATCGAGGGGTCAACGAGGACGCGCTCGCCGTTCTGGACCTCGACGCGCATGCGGGTGTCGCGGTTCTGCTCAGCCAGCAGGGGAGAAATGTTGGCCTTGAAAAGACCGGTACCAGTGCAGAGCAGAAGGAGACCAATGATGAAGGCACCGAACCCGCCCTTGTTGCCGGACGTCAGGACACCGGGCGCGGCGGCAGCGACGAGAATGACGTGCGCAATGGTAGAGACGACGATGGCGATGTGAATGGTCTTGTAACGACCAAGCTTGGCATCGGCCAACCAGGCACTGCTCGTCGTTAGCATGCGCATTTCGGGAATAGAGAAAGGGGGTGACAACGTACCCAAACAGAGGCATCAGGTAGGCGAAGAACTGGTTGAACAGGTTGATACCCTGAGCAGCCTTGGGGCCCATGCCCAGGGCGCCAGGAATGATGCTGCCATTGGGGTCGGCGGGGGCGCCGGTGGTCGAACCGGGGGGGAGAGGACGGTTGACGAAGTTGGTGTACAGGACAGCAGATCCGTAGTACGAGAATCGCTCGCAGAGCTCGGCGAAAGCGATGGTGTACATGGACCACTGGATGCCACCGGAGACACGGCGGAGTGTGTGCAGGTCCTCTTCGGTGGGATCATCCTCGTACTTGCCGAGGGGCTCCTCATCGTACGTGTTGGTGACGGCACGAGTGATGTCGATGGAGCCCTTGGCGTTGTGAAGCTCCTGTTCAGTACCCTGAATGGTGGCCTGGGGCACGTGGGCCTTGGCAATGGCCTCGTTGTCGAGGGCCGCGGTTTGAGACATGATGAACTGTCCTTCGGTCTGGGGGCAGGGTGAGAGGGTTGACGAGTTGCGCGAAGAAGCAGAAGTGAGGGGGAGGGGGGAGGACGTCTTTAATAGAGGACTAGTAGCACGGGGAAGTCGCGCGTGGAGGGGAGGGGAGGCGAGTCGAAGCGAGTCAACGCTCGTTGAACCATACGGAGACCGTCAAGGGACTACCCCTAATCACAGGTCGAGGTGAGTGAGCCGCATGGTATCGATCCCGAGCTTGCCTAGACGGGCAGGTCAGAACCGGCCGCACGCGACTCTGGGGATAGAGAGTGGTCCTGGAATCCAAGAACCCCGTCTGTGCCCTGAAGCGGGCGTCTCCATGCTGGCCGGTGCGTTGGGACTGACAGGCGTGGCCAATCTCGCCACGACCAGGCCGTCTTCCGAAGGGTCAAGGTAGGAAATGATGAGCGCAGCGTACAATTCCGTGAATGGGCAGAATGGGCAGCATGGCACCATGCGACTTGTTCCACCTTCCGAAACACTGGCGACTAGCCAGACGGCCCAACACGAGCGATATCACTCGAGTGGGTAACGATCTAGAAAGGTTATCCTTCGCCTCTGGCCAACTCCAGTCCATCCCAGGAGCAAGTGCCTAATCAGGAAGGTCCAGTGGCATGCGACTGGCGGGCGGGCCACCACCGTCAGCTTGTATCCGTACAACGAGGGCGGCGGAAGGCCATCCTGGCATGCCACCCCGTTCGGTCGCGAGCGCTAGCCCCGGCAGCCAGCGATGGACGGCTGGAGGCGCAACCTTGCGAGGGGGCGTGCCGGCCGACGCGCAAGGGTGTGTCGAACGAGGCACTCTGATCGACCTTGGCACAGCGGGCGTCCCAGCGCATGTCCGCCGACGGTAGTGCGCAGATAAGGAAGGCGGGCGTGTGTCCAATGAGACCTTCTGCTGCGAGTGCTGTGGCACGGCAATGCGGCAGGGTTATGCAGCCGCAAGCAGGTGTGGCCACCGAGACCAGAGCACGCCAGCGGCGGAAGAAGGCACAAAGACCTTCGAGAAGCGTCGCCTCCGATGAGCTAGGCCAGCGGGCCACCCGAAGCGTCGCATCTCACAGGCCAAACGCTAAATCAGAGCCACCATCGCAAACATGCGCCACCAGCTGCGGTTTGTCCATGTCAAACCGGCGTACTTGACAACTCCTCGGCCATCAGCTTTGTCCAGGTCAGAGATTGAGGTATCCAACATTAGAACCTTGCATCAACAATCTGCGGTACTTTGATCATAATCGCAAGAGACAGTTCCAGAACTCTGGGCGATGGAGAAGGTCTGCAATGAGAGAATTTACGGTTGCGCAAAACAGCCCGTTTCTCTCTTCCTCGTGCTATTGCGGTGCAGTGACCAGGGGATGCTGGTTGCGCAACAATAGGTTGCGTGGGTCATTTGCCCCTTGGCTGCTGGACTCGGCCGACAAAAGAAATTTCTGTTAAGTAAGCCTGAGGGGCTGGTACGGAAGCTAGCGCCCATGAGTAAAGGATCGTCTCGTATATGGAACCGCGACGCTGGAGTAACACCGAAATTGGTAACAAGAGCTGGCAGGCTAGATTTTAGTGCGTTGTTCATGGGCAATTCTTGACACATTCGTTGTTCGACTCAGTCCAGATGCAGCCGCAACACCGAGAGCGAACGCTTCGCCTACACCTCGCCGGCCAAGGCCGAAGAACGACCCAGCAAACCTGCGATTGCGTGAGCAGCATCTTCGGCAGGCATACGCGGCAAGGTCGCGTGATGAGGTCGAGGTACAACCGCCGAGCTCGAGGCTTGGAGAGGCGAAATCTGTGGCGTGTTTGTGTGGCCTGCGTTGGGTTGAATTGCTATGGTGTGATGTCAATATCGGACTGGCCAGCGAATAAGCACGTAGTCGGCGTGAGACAAGATTGCACAGCAGTCGACAAACAGCCGTCTCCCCCCGTACCTTCCTTTCTTTCCCTGGCCAACTCAGGTTCAACGACCGAGGTGCTTCGTCTCATGATTGACGGGAGGATTTGGTGTGTGTCGAAGGGCTGACATGGTAGGATAAGCAAATCGGCGTCTCGATTGGCTTGAAGATATGCAGGATTGTCTAGTGGCGTCCGGGGAGGGGGTCAATTACAACGGTGCATGTGGTGGGCGCGAAGTGGTCCTAAACTTTCGTTGCGGTCGTATGAGCAGGTTTGTTGGTACGTAAACGGCCACGCCGCTGGAAGATGTGCCCCCTGCAACGACAAGGGGGTTGGTGATGGTTACATGGGCAACACAGCGCGTCGTCGCTGTCGGGTTGGAGCATCAGGAGCACCTTCCAACACCGACAGGCTGGGGTGCATGGGGCTAGAGTCTAGTGTCGTGGTTCCGCTGATAAGAAGAGGGTCTTCAAACTGTCATGGACGTGCCGTTTCGTCCGCACATCGCTGATATCATCAGTTCCCACGAAGGTGTGCTCGCTTCTTGCTTGCTTCGGATCCAAGGCACCGCTGTAGGATGGAAGGCAAATGTGCTGTGAAAATTTCATGGCCTGACGTCGAAAGGCTGGGCAGTACAAGCAGTGCCGAGTCCCGACGGGTGGCTTGGCTCGGCGCTGCTAAAGTGCTTGGTATACGTCTGTTGCTGTGCTGGGCGATGCCGAGGCTTCAAAATCTGCACGGGTCAACGAGTCAAGGCGCCCAGCGCCCGCTGCTGCGAGGGAGGGTGGCCAGGCCAAGACCAAGGTTGGGCAAGGCGCTCGGAGAAAAGACGTCGCTGGCGCCCCGGGGTGGCTGCTGTAACGTTGACGCAGGTTAGCTCTGCTGTTCTGTGTAGCTTGCCCAGTCATTGACAAGCTTTTCCGCCTCATGGCGTCAACGCAGGACAAGACAACTTGTGTGCAGCGAACGGTGCGATCGGGCTTGTCCCGCCTTGGGAGTCCATTGACAGGGCAGAGGGTGATGGGTTGTCATTGTGACGGCTTGCCTGTTTGCAACAATGCAGGGTCTACCACTCTCTGCTGTAGAGTAGGTAAACAGGGTGGGGGTGATGGAGTCATGTGCGAATGGACCGAGCGAGTGACGCCTACTATCATGCTGGATTCCTCGAGTCCTGGAGCTCTTGGCTCTCGGTCGCCAACCGCGCGCTGGAAATGGACACCTGGAGGTGGAGAGGGGCCTCCGGCGACGTGGATGGAGCACCATGGAGGGCCACCGGTTCATCCACCCATCGCCAGCCAACAGACTGAGAGTGCAGGAACGCATTGAAGATAGCAGTTGGTAATGGCGCCTTGGTGGTTGGGCCAGACCTGATCAATGGAATGGGGTATGGGGATGGCGGATCAGCAAGAGATTGGGTGTTCATGTCGCGGCAGAGATGCGATGGGGATGCTGCCAGCGCCATCCTTTCCCTGTGCTCTGGGTCGCGCTGTGTTCGATACGAAGCCTGCCCGCCTGGGTTCCTTCCTGGGTTCCGTCCTGGTTTCCTTCCCAAATTCGACTATTGCTGCTTGCACGCCCACCTGACTCCTTCCCGCCGATCTGTCCAGGGCATTGACGCGCTCTTGCTCCCTTCGTCTTGCCAGAAGATCGATACACGACGACTATTCGCCAGTGCAAGGGCAGTCGCAGCCATGAGAGCAGGTTCTCATGTTCACTCTTGCCCGCATTTGAGTTTCTGTGACCAAGTGGCGCCATCCTTCGTTGTTGGCCCCTTCCTCTGAAGTCTGTGCCCCGACGCTGCTTCCTTCCGTGGGCGGTTCATGCCAAGTCAATCTTGGGATGTGCTTGCCCCCAGTCTTCTCCTTCTGGTGGGCCGTGGCTGCCCACTGCCCTCGATGTGGTCTTGAGCAGAAGGAGGTGCGGCACTAGGAGCAGCAAACGAGGAGCGACTGGCAGGGCCTACAAACCCGACAGTGACCGAGCCGCGGGGTCGCCCCAGTCAGCCAATGATCAGCCATCGCAGCCATTTTGGCCCACCCACCAAGATCGGCCCCGGATGTCCCCTCTTCCCCTCTGGTATTGCCGTTCACCTTCAAAGCCAATGGCGGAGCGAATAACCGAGAAACAGCATATCAGTGCCTCAGATCAAAGCATCCTCCGCCGCCCGCAACACGCCGTCTCAAACGATCGAGACATCCCGATACAAACCCCAGACCCCGACCGACCGACCGACAATCACCGATTCTGGCCGCCCCGCCTGTGCCGCCCACCTAACCCGCTTCCTTTCATTTTGGGAGCTTCCTCTTCCATCGTAGCCTAAGAATCCGGGGTGGCATTCCTGTCCCCTGATCGCACGTCCATCCCGCTCCCGTTCCTCTCGCGACGCGCCACGGGAGACTCTGTGCCAGCTTCACGCCATAGTGTCGCCAAGCCCCAGCCGCATCCGGATCCTCAACCGCCCCTGCTCCTGCCTTTCCACCATGGCTCAAGGAAGCACGCCCCATAGGGTTGCCGTCCTCGACGACTATCAGGGCCTGTCAGTGTCTCATTTCGATGCTCTCGACAAGGCTGTCTTCGATGTGACGGTGTTCAGGGACACTTTGTTGCCGTGGAACCACCCGGATACGCCCCAGCATGTGAAGGAGGCGCTTGTCCACCGGTTGGAGCCGTTCCATGTTATCTGTACACATGCCCCTCCCCCCCTGAGACCGGCTTGCATATGCGTCTGGCATCTCGCGTAGCTTCCTAAAGCGACTGCACGTCTAGAACTGACATGGGTTGCAAGGCACCATGAGGGAGCGTACTCCCTTTCCTAAAGACCTCATCGCTCGTCTCCCCAATCTCAAGCTGCTCCTGACCACTGGTCTGCGCAACAGCTCGCTCGATCTCGGCTTCTTCAAGGAACAGTCAATACCCGTTGCTGGCACGGCTGACAAGTCGACCGGCACGCAGGTTGGTACCAACAGCACCACCGAACACTGCGTCACCCTCGTGCTGGCGCTCGCCCGCGGCATCGCCCGCGATGATGCTGCCGTCAAGGCTGGCCTCTGGCAGACTGGCTTTGCCACGGGTCTTACGGGCAAGACCTTTGCCGTGGCCGGGCTCGGTCGTCTGGGTGTAGCGACTGCCAAAATCTTGCGCATGGCTTTCGGCATGAGGATCATCGCCTGGAGCCAAAACCTCACTCAGGAGATTGCCGACGAGAAGGCCAAGTCGGCAGGGTTCCCGGTCGAGGACCCCAGCGGCGAAAAGACATTCAAGGTCGTCAGTCGTGCGGAGCTCTTCAGCGAAGCCGACGTCCTGAGCGTGCATCTCGTCTTGTCGGATCGTACCCGTGATCTGATCAAGGTGGATGACCTGAATCGCATGAAAAAGAATGCGCTCCTCATCAACACATCGCGCGGACCCCTTATTCACGAGGGTGACCTTTTGGCCATTCTGAACAAGGGGTCTATTCAGGGGGCAGCACTTGACGTCTATGGAATCGAGCCTCTGCCTGCTGATAGCGAATGGCGCACAACTAAGTGGGGTGAGGATGGACGCAGCCAAGTCCTTCTGACGCCTCACATGGGATACGTCGAGCCAGGCACCTTGAACGCTTGGTACGGCCAGCAGGTCGACAACGTCAAGAGATGGCACGAAGGTGACGTTCTCGTGAACCCACTGGCGTGAGTATGATGATGTTGCGGTATGACGTGATGATAGAAAGATGGGCCACAGAATAGTTTCGATCTGATAAATCATGAACGTTGTGATTGCTTTACGTGCTCCAGACAGTATCCAATGTACATTCTACCCCATATGCTTTTGAGAACGGAAATGGTAGCTGTTGCCCAAGCAATAAAAAGGGCCTACTACATCTTGCTCGGCATCCTCATGCCGCCGTCCAGCCTCAACACGGTCCCGTTGAGCATGACGTTCTCCACGACATGCCTCACGAGCGCCGCGAACTCCTCGGGCTGGCCCGGGCGTCTCGGAAACTCTGTGGCGCCGACGAGGCTCTTGCGCACCTTGTCAGGCAGGACGCTCGTCATTCTCGACTCGAACAGGCTCGGCGCAATGGTGGCGACGCGGATGCCGTGGCGCGCGAGGTCGCGCGTCATGGGCAGCGTCATGGCGACGACGGCGCCCTTGCTCGCGGCGTAGGCGACCTGGCCGCGCTGGCCGTCAAAAGCGGCGGCGCTCGCGACCATGACGACGACGCCGCGCTCGCCGTCGGGGTCCGACGCCGGCTGGGCCGCGAGGTGCGGCAGCGTCTGGCGCACGAGGTCGATGGTGCCGCGCAGGTTGACGGCGAGGACAAAGTCAAAGTCGTCGAGGGACAGCGGCTCGTTGCCGCGGCCGAGCATGGCGGCCGGCAGGCCGACGCCCGCGGCGGGGATGACGCCGCCGAAGGGCTTCTTTGCGGACGCGGCCCAGGCGGCGGCGCCCTCGACGGCGGACGTGACGGACGCCGTCTCGAGGACGTTGCAGGGGAAGAAGCGGGCCGAGGGGCCGAGGGACTGGGCGAAAGCCTGGCCGTCCTCCTCGTTCATGTCTAGAATGGCGGCGTTACCACCGTGGTTGACAATCTCGGTCGCCGTTGCGGCGCCCAGGCCGGAGGCACTGGATGTGTTGTTAGTGACGTGGACTGGCATGTGAGATGCGACAGAGGACCAACCCGCCGGAGATGAGGAACGTGCGGCCTTCAATCTTCATTCTGTTGTTTTGGCAAAAGTGATAGTATAAGAATGAGGAAAAAATTGAGAATAAATGTGAAATGAAGCCAGACAAGTGAACGCTGTTGAGGAACGAGGATCATCAGTCTTACAGACTCAACTCGGCTCGACACTGATGCCTCGGCCCAGGTTGTGATACTGGTCTTATCTTATCACAAAAAGAGCTCCAGCCACAGATCAGTCTCGCCCCGCTGTAGAGAGTCGCGCCACAGAATTAATTAAACGACCCTCCTTAGGCGTCATCCCGGTGACCAAGCTCGTGCGTGCTCCCTCCTGGCTGCTGCGAGCCAAAACGGCTGATAACCGTCCAACGCACCAACCCTTTGTAACGTCACCCCGCGCACGCGACAATACGCACACCTCGACGCGACCTCAACGTCGCTCCTCCCTCCTCCTCTTGCGACCGATCTTTCTGTGCATTTTAGTGTACTTTGTTCGATTGTCCGACCGAGCTTCAACCTCGACCCCTTTGGTAACTCCGCCATGACGAGACCGCGCAAATCAAGCGCAGCGAGCGAGGAGAGCACCGGCACGGCCGGCGACCAGGTGCGCGAGCGATGCGATAAGGCCCGACAGACACACGGGCACGCCGAAATGCTGATGCGCGAGAACTACAGGAGCTGGGGAGCATGTACGATTACCTCGCAAAGATTATTCTGCTGGGACCGAGCGGGTCGGGCAAGTGAGTCTTTCCACCGGCGCCATTTTCCCTTTCCTCGACGTGACGCTGCGACAAGGACGATACAGAGAACGGCTGGCTAACGGTAGCGCGCAACCCTGTAGATCTTGCCTCCTGCATCGCTTCGTGAAGAACGAATGGCGCATCCTCTCCTCACAGACCATCGGCGTCGAGTTTGCGAGCAAAATTATCAAAGTCGGGACAGGTGCGCGGCGAAAACGTATCAAGCTTCAGGTGCGGTCATGCGCGATGCCAACAACCACACAAAGGGAACAGAATGTGGGAAGCGAACACACGGGAGGCTGACTAGGACATAGTTGTGGGACACGGCGGGCACTGAGCGGTTTCGATCGGTATCGCGTTCTTACTACCGCGGCGCTGCCGGCGCGATCCTCGTCTACGACATCACCTCACACGCAACCTTTCGGGGACTGAGTCCATTCCTCAACGACGCGCGTGCGCTTGCGAGCCCGAACCTTTCGCTGCTGCTGGTCGGCAACAAACTCGACCTCGCATCGGACAACCCCGTGGAGCCGCTGATGCCCGCGACGCCGAGCAGTGTGGGGTCATCGTCGACAGCCATGGGCATGGGCATGGGAAGCCTAGGGGCCGGCGGCACGATCGGTCGGGGCCAGAACGCGACGGTGGCACCCGACGGGAGGGAGGTCAGCAGCGACGACGCCAGCAGATGGGCCAGCACAGTCGGTGTTCCGGTGGTCATGGAGACGAGCGCGTTCACAGGCGAGGCTGTCGACGAAATCTTTGCCCGGCTCGCGAGGATGATTCTCACAAAGATTGAGCTTGGCGACATTGACCCGGACGACCCGATGAGCGGCATCCAGTACGGAGACGGATATGGCGGGGGCTGGAATGCGGCGGCCAGTGACGGAGCGAGTATCAAGAGCTCCATGACGGCGGCGACACTCGACGAGACGGGCATGAGGCGACGCAAGGGTAAGGGCCGGGGACGCGGCGGGAACACCAACTGGGGCGGCTTGCGAGAGTGGGAGGAAGTCTTCACGCTGAGCAGCAACAACAGGCGTCGAGGAGGGGGCTGCTGCTGACCGAAGCTGTGGGTGCCGTGATAATGTGATGGAGCGCTGCTCGTTGTGTTTTTTTCTTTTCCTTCTCTCTTTTTTTTTGGTCCCTTTTGGCGCGAGCGGGAGTCCGGCGTATCTATTGCCTCATTCATGGGCATTCCCCTAGTTCTCGAAGTTAGAGACCACACAACGCTCGCTTTTTTAGATTGCATGGCGTTTCGGATAGGAATTTGAGGATGAAGGGAATTCGGCCCGGGCGGCTCTTGACTGTTCTCCCAATAGGTACACTTAATGATACATAGAGATTTTCCTGGCTCAAGGGTTGTTGATACATGCTGGTATGTCCGAGTTGGACCTGACGGCAGAATATCCACAAATCACCCGCCATCACACCTTGCCGGTGGTCGGTGGCGGAGCTTCCGCATTTGTGCACTGAAGAGTCGTTCGCTGCGACCGTTGTCACGTCACACTGTTTCCCAGCCAGTGCCAGTCAGTCACAAGACGTACGACGGTGATAAGTCAAGCTGACCACGCCATGTCCATGTCCATACCATGCATCAAGATCGAAATCCGTAGCCTCCGCCGCGATATCCCCCTCGGCCTCGGTGGGGTCGGCGGCGGCTAGCGAGGGCGGATGGAGGAAACCATGCCACAAGAGGCAACACGGAGGGCCCTCTTCCGCGGTTAAGGCCCTGCGGGGTGCTGCGGGGTGCGAGCCGATGGACTGGCGCAGGCGGGCGTTGCTGTCAGGACGTTCTGCATAGGGCTCTAGGAAGGAAGCCAGTTTGATACTGAGGAGCCTCTCTTGTTCCTGTCGCGAATAGGAACCAGTGCCGGTCGTCAGCCGATGTTTTTGTTGCTGGGAGGCGCACTTCTGGTCCGGACGAGCCGTCCAACTGGGTGGCATTTCCAGTCCGTTCCCGAACCCGAAAGTCCTGCTGGACTACCAGCCGCCTGACAGATTCCAGCCCCCAAACCCCAATTGAAGCATCAACCAACGCCTCGCACGTGGAGGGCGATCCCTGCAGCTGGACCCCGACACGCTGCGTCCCGGTGGAGCTGGTGGCCTTTTGGAGCGACGTCTTTCGAGATGCATCTCGGCGGATGTCGTCCCGTTGAGCAGACGGAATAGCTCGTTCGGCAGAGGCGCGCACTGATGTCTGAGTGGGTATTTCAGGGCACGTCGATATATATTGCGTCCCCTTCTGTCGCTGAGCAATGGTTGATGGCCAGTTGGACGAACCAATTCAGATTTCCTGCCGCTCTTCCTCCCTTGTACATTTCCTCTCACGGGCATCTTGTCCCCCCTCTGCCCCTCTTTCCGTCATCACGCAGGAGCTGCCCGCCGACCCCTCACTGCTGCTTCCCCCTGTTTCCCCTCTCAGCTATTTTAGCCAGGAACATCACTTGGGGTAGCTTCCCTTCTTGTGACTGCCTACCTTACAACTCGCCGACCTTTAGAGCACGATAACCTCGACCTTGAACTCGACCTCAAGTTTCCTTGACGGTCCTCTACCTGTCATGCTCATCTTGCTGCCACGCAACATGGCACGCAACGTCATCCCCGTCGATAAGGATTGGCAGTTCCGCCAGGCCGACAAAGACGACTCCGAGTTCCTTTCCGTCAGCCAATTCCCCACCAATGTTCACCTCGACCTCATCGCCCATAAGATCATCCCCGACCCATTCATCGGCAAGAATGAGCTTGATGTCCAATGGATCGGCGAGGCCCAATGGCTCTACCGCACAAGTTTCGCGTCCCCGAAGCTCAGCGCCGGCCAAAAAGCCGTCCTCGCCTTTGATGGCCTCGACACCTTTGCCACCGTCAAGCTGAATGGGTCTACTATTCTCGAAACGGACAACATGTTCATCCCTGAGCGCGTCGACGTCACTGACAAGCTCAACGCCGAGGGCAACAATGAGCTCCAGATTCACTTTGACAGCGCGTACCTGCGTGGCTGGAAGCGCGTCGAGGAGCACCCGGATCACAAGTGGGGGTGCTGGAACGGTGACAACTCGAGGCTCGCCGTTCGCAAAGCCCAGTACCACTGGGGCTGGGACTGGGGCCCGACGCTCCTGACGTGTGGCCCCTGGAGGCCCATCAACCTAGAGATTTACGATTCGCGCATCGTCGACCTTCATTTTGACCAGACCATTGACGACTCGTACAAGTCGGCCACGCTCGTGGTTCATGCAAAGACCGAGGGCAAGGCCTCCAAGATCCGCTTCGAAGTGTCTCTGGACGGCAGCTCGGTGGCCTCTCAGCTCGTCGACGCCTCTGAGACCGCTGATGCCAAGGCCACCTTTGAGATCAACGAGCCGGCCTTGTGGTACCCTGTCCGCTACGGCAAGCAGCCCCTCTACACTGTCAAGGCCACACTTGTCGACGGCCAAGACGAGGTTGACCACGTCACCAAGAATATTGGTATTCGCAAGGTCGAGCTGGTGCAGGACCCTCTGAAGGAGCAGCCTGGCACGTCCTTCTTCTTCCGCATCAACGGCATTTCCGTCTTCTGCGGTGGCAGCAACTGGATTCCTGCCGACAACTTCATTCCCCGTATCTCCAAGGAGCGCTACCGTGCCTGGATGAAGCTCCTGGCCGACGGCAACCAGTTCATGGTGCGTGTCTGGGGCGGAGGTATCTATGAGGAGCAGGCCTTTTACGATGTCTGCGACGAGCTCGGCATTCTCGTCTGGCATGACTTCATGTTTGGCTGTGGAAACTACCCCGCCTGGCCCGCGCTGCTCGACTCGATCAAGCGTGAGGCTGAAGAGAACGTCAAGCTGCTGCGTCACCATCCTTCGATCGTCATCTGGGCGGGCAACAACGAAGACTACCAGTTCGCCGAGTCGGAGAACCTGACATATGACATCAACGACAAGGACCCCGATAGCTGGCTCAAGACGGACTTTCCCGCCCGTTACATCTACGAAAAGGTTCTTGCCGACGTCTGCGCCAGTCTCATTCCTGACACATTCTACCACTTTGGCAGCCCCTGGAGCGGCGCTGACACGCGCGACCCCACCGTTGGTGACCTGCACCAGTGGAACGTCTGGCACGGCACGCAGGAGAAGTATCAAAACTTTGACAAGCTCGTCGGCCGCTTCGTTTCCGAATTCGGCATGGAGGCCTTCCCTTCGGTCAAGACGATCGACGCTTTCTTGCCCAAGGGCCGCGACGACCCCGACCGTTACCCGCAGTCGTCCACAATCGACTTCCACAACAAGGCCGACGGCCACGAGCGCCGCATCGCCCTCTACCTCGTGGAGAACTTCCGCTACGCCCCCGATCCTCTTGAGCACTTTGTGTACTGCACGCAGCTGATGCAGGCCGAGTGTCTCGCGTCGGCCTACCGGCTGTGGAAGCGAGAGTGGCGAGGACCGGGCCGCGAGTACTGCGGCGGCGCGCTCGTATGGCAGATCAACGACTGCTGGCCCGTCACATCGTGGGCCATCTGCGACTACTATCTCCGGCCGAAGCATGCCTACTACACGGTCAAGCGAGAGATGGCGCCGCTGTCGATCGGCATTACGCGTCGCGAGCACAAGCACCCCAAGGACAAGTACACGCGGGTCAACATTGACACAAAGACCAAGATTGAGGTCTGGGGCTCGAATCTGCAGCTCGAGGACCTGACTGTCGATGTCATCGTCAAGGGGTGGGACGTCGAGACGGCCGAGGAGACGTACAACGAGAAGGCCAAGGAGGGGCTCGTGCTGCCGAAGAACGCGTCGACCGAGATTACCGACTTTGAGGTGCCCGTGCGGCACAAGGGGGAGGAGGGCCGCATCGTTGTGGCGGCGTACCTCGTCGACGGGGAGGGCAAGCAGCTGGCGAGGTACGTCAACTGGCCGGAGCCGCTCAAGTATCTGCACCTGCAGAAGCCCAAGCAGCTCGTGGCCAAGCTGGCGAGGGACAACACGGTCGTCGAAGTCAGCGCCGAGGTGCCGATCAAGGGCCTGGCGCTCGAGTGCGAAGACGACGACGTCGTCTTTGGCGACAACCTCGTCGACATTGTCCCCGGTGAAGTTGTCGTCATTCCCGTGACGGGGGCCAAGGCGGACACGAAAATTGAGACGCGGTACCTGGGCATGCTGGACTGAGGCTGGTGCGGGGGTGTGAGACCTAGATGATACTCCATACGAATAGACGATATGCATCATGATGACCGGGAGATGCGTGAGGATCACGAACACAACACAAAGAAGGCACGTTGTCGTAGCCAATGTAGATGAAACGTACTTTTCAGGGATATCGCTATTGTAAACAAGAGTCCAGTCATCATGCCCAACCATCATGCCCAACCATCATGCTCAGTCGCCAGATACCATGCCACGCAAAACCTCGAATCCAGTATACAACGCCTCGCCGCTGCCGACGCTTTTCGTCCAACCCAGCATCTCTCTACCCATCGCCTGTTGCCCTCCGCTCACTGCTCGTTGGGGCCCTTGATGAGGACCTTGATGACCTGGCCCTGCTTGACCTTCTTGAAGGCGTCCTCGGCCTCCTGGAAGGACACGACCTCGGAGATGAGCTTCTTGACGTTGACGCTGCCGTTGGCGACGAGGTCGATGGCGAGCTTGTAGTCGCCGGGCCCGTAGCGGAAGCTGCCCTTGGCGGTGACCTCCTTGAGGCACAGGGCCATGATGGGGAAGTTGATGTCGGCCTTGCCCATGCCGCCCTGGACGTAGGTGCCGCCCATGCGCACCGTGTGCAGGCTCGTCTGGATGCTGGGCTCGGCGCCGCTGGCGTCAATGACAACGTCGGCGCCCTTGCCAAGGCCGCACTGGGCCTTGAGGGCCGCGGCGTTCTCCTCGGCCGGCAGGCGCTGCGAGAGGTAGGTGTGGGTGCTGGCGAGGTCGCGGGCCATGTCGAGCTTGGACTGGACAATGTCGACCGAGACGACCTTGGTGGCGCCAAAGGCGCGCGAGACGGCGGCGCAGAGGAGACCGACGGGGCCGGCGCCCATGACGACGACGGAGGCGCCGGGCGTGACGGCGGCCTGGCGTGTGATGTGGACGGCGACGGCGAGGGGCTCGATGAGGGCGCCCTCCTGCAGGGACACGTTCTCGGGCAGCTTGTAGCAAAAGTCGGCGGGGGCGGCCCAGAAGCCGGTCAGGGTGCCGTGGTAGGGGGGCGTCGCGGCGAAGACCATCTCGTGGCAGAGGTTGTAGTTGCCGGCGAGGCAGTCGGCGCAGCGGCGGCACGGGTAGCCGGGCTCGAGGGCCACGCGGTCGCCCTTGACGAGCGTCTTGACGGCCGAGCCGACCTCGACAATGGTACCGGCAGACTCGTGGCCGAGCACCATGGGATCCTTGACGACAAAGTGGCCAATGGCACCGTGGTCGTAGTAGTGGACGTCGGAGCCGCAGATGCCCGTGTAGTTGACGGCGACGAGGACATCGTGTTCCGACGTGATCTTGGGCACCTCGCGCTCCTCGAAGGAGACGTCGTGGACCTTGTTGAGGACGAAGGAGAGGTTGGAAGACATGGCCGGTGGCGTTTGGGATTTCGGAAGAGGTGAGGAATGGTTTTGTTGTTTGGAGCTGTGACGAGCTGGAGAGGATGGATTTGGGTATCAGGTATAGAATCAATTGGTTAGAAGAAACAGGAAGAAGAGAGAGAGAGAGGGGGAAAAAAGGAAAGAAGAGACAAGAGGAAGGGGGTTATGAAAAAAGGTTGAGGTCACGATGAGGGGATGGAGGGGTAGGTAGGTAGGTCACTAGCAAGAACGAGGTGCCCCTCATCCTTCCTCGTCTCGACCACATGCGCCTGCTTCTGAACCTGCCCCCTTCTCAACATGGACCCTTCCAGCCCTCGAACCAAAGCCTCTCCACTCTCGAGCAAGCGACCAAATGAGATGTTTTCAGTACCGGCCGGTAGAAAAGAAGACAGAAGAAAGAGAAAAACCCCGAGACCTCCCTCACTGATGGACGGCTCCCTACAACTAAAGCGCGTCCCCCTCGTGACGGCGGAGAATGCTGCTATTCGGGGGCCCTGACGTCGGTGGGGTACAGTCGTTTCCCGTTGCCAGCATAGCGCAGGCGCTGGAGCTGCCCCTGTGGTGAACCCCCAAGGACCCACTGGAGGTTCCGCTCCCTGAGGGCGCCACAGCGCCGGGACGACCTTCTGTGCGCCGCTAATGGCCCGCCTATTCTCTTTCTTATTCTTTTTAGCCGGTTTCTTTACCCGCGCCAATGGGCGCTCGCCGTGGTCGGGGGACGCGGGTCTCCACGGCGGAGTGTCGCCCGGCGCGGGAGAAAGATTAATAGCATGTTGGCGGGGGGCCATGCGCTTGTCATTTTGCCATGGCGCGGCAGTATCACGTTGCGCCTTGAGAAACTCAGCCGAAATAGTTGACAATATTTCATCCCGAAATGGGTGACAATGCCTCATCTTGGGGCCCACAGACCTGGCCACGATATCTGAGCATCGGAGGCTCGGGCAGGTCATCATGAGGCCTCTCCATGCCGCGCGCCCGCGACCCTCCGTCCTCGGACATAGACGTGCGCCATGTTCCGATCGTCGCCCGTCATGACAAACTTTTCAAAGAGCCTCCGGAGCCCGTCGTCGTCCTCGCGCGGCGTCATGGCCGACCGCAGCCCGCTCGTCGTCGCCACCCACGACGCGTCAAACTGCTTGCCCACGGCGAAGCTGCCGACGTGGTGCTCGAGGCAGAGCACGCGCGCGCCGCCGAGCGTCGCCAGGTAGAAGACCTCGTCGAGCGTGAGCGCCTCGTCGGCGGCGTCCGTGACCTCGCGCGCGTTGGACGCAATGACGGCCTGGCGCATGACGGCGAGCATCTGCCACGCCCAGCCGCCGCCGCTGTCGGTGCCGAGGCCGACCTTGACGCCGCGCCGCAGCAGGTCCCGCACGGGCGCCACCATGAACCCGCCGCCGACCGTCATGTTGGCGATCGGGCAGTGGGCGACGCCGCACCCGAGCGCCAGCAGCCTCTCCTTGTCGTAGTCGGTCATGACGGTGCAGTGCGCGAGGATCGAGCGCGGGCCCAGCAGCCCGAAGTGCTCGTAGAGGTCCGCCTCGCTGCGTGCCGCGAGGTCCGGAAACAGGGCGCGCGTGGCATCGACCTCCTGTTGCGCCTCGTTAAAGTGCGTCTGCATGGCGAGCGACGCGTCGGCGCGCATCATGTCGCCGAGGCCCGTGAGCAGCTCGGCCGTGCAGCAGATGGCGAAGCGCGGCGTCAGCACGGGCTTGACGAGGGCGTGCTCGGGGTCGCCGCAGCCGGGCAGGGCGCGGATGTGGGCGATGCAGTCGCGCGTCTCCTGCAGCGATACGGCGGCGCTCGGCTCGGCGAGGTAGTCCGGGGCGTTGCGGTCCATGTTGCACTTGCCGACGAGGGCGCGCTGACCCTTTTCGGCGCACATGTCGGCGAGGATGCGCGTCGCTTCGGCGTGGCGCGAGCTGTAGTAGGCGGCCGTCGTGATGCCCTGGCGCAGAAAGTCGGCGACGGTATCCTCGTAGGTGGCGCGCGCGTAGGCGGCATCGGCGAACCGCGCCTCGAAGGGAAACGTCACCTGGTCGAGCCAGTCGAGGATGTGCAGCCCTTGGCCGATGCCGCGCATGGGCCACTGCGGTGCGTGGTTGTGCGTGTCGATGAAGCCGGGGATCAGGAACTCACCAGGGCCCAGGTGGTGGACTCGGGCGCCCTCGGGCACGGCAGGTATCGGCGTGTCATCGTCCTCGCTCTTCTTGAAGGCCGTGATGGTGCCGCTGGCATCAATGACGAGGGTTGCATTCTCGAGTATCTCCAGCTCTTCGAGGCTACGAGAGTGTATGATGGGGCCGTGAAAGACCAGCGGCGTCACGGTGGAGGTCATGGCGAGGGTGTGTGTGTGTGTGTGTGTGTGTGTGCCAAATGACCGTATGTGGATTCGACCCGTGATTGCGTCTGATAGCCTTAGCATGAAGCAGATGGGATCAATGTTCAGTTGACAAACAGAACAGCAGTCGAGATAGTTCGTCTGTTCCCTTCCCTACCTACCTTAGGTATCTAGTAAGGTAGGTATACGAGCCCCTCACCTCGGGACAGTAGGTGAGACAAATGCATGCTAACGAGAAGGCACGACTGGGCCGGGCGACTTCCCCGCCTTATCTGCGGGGCCCAACATTGTGCACCTTCATCCACCTTCGTCTAGGTAGGTAGGTACCTAGGCAGGTAGGTAGGAAGGCAAGGTAGGTGGTACCTGACTGGGACCGCCAATTGCCGGCGGCCAGTCGACATCACACGAGGAGCAGGTGCGAGGGAATCACCAGCATGGCAGTCGCATTCTTCGGATGGTACCACTGCGCACTGAACATTTGCAGTCTGCATACCATAAACCACTCTGCTGGAGGTACCTGGGGACTCTGCTGCTGCATGACCACCACTACCGATCACCGCAAGAACCTTTGTGTCGCCTACCGTCTATATACCCTCCCTGGTCGCGCCATCACACCGGTCATGTTCTGTCTTGCATGGTTGCACAGTGGCGACGGTGTTGTCTGCATGCTGGACGTCGTCGGCCCAGGCATGGCGAGGAGTACCGCCAGCAGGTACACGGAGAGTACTCGGCTATTGGCAAGTGACCAGAGACCTTCAGAATGATTCTTTTCCTCTTTTTGTTAAGGGGGGGGGGGGGGGGGGATAAAATGAGTTCTATCAGATGAACCTGTGACCCACCGTGTTCTAAGGAGAGCAAAGCCGCTCATCGAAGAGACGATTCCATGGCAAGTGATGACCTCTTGGACATGTTTCGGCGCAGCCTGGTTACGCCGAATCCAAAGTGGTCGTAGATCTGAACATGAAAGACGAGTCTACCAGGACAGGACCAGCCATGGTGCCGCAGCTTTACGATCGGGTACGTCGTGCCACCTTGGAACTTGAATGAGTCGCTTCAGATGCAGATGCTGGAGAGCATAGCAGCCAGTCTATGGCTCTGAAAAGGCTGCGTAAACGACATGCGGGACATGAAGGACATCTAGACTCGTGTTGTAGATCGTATGAGTATTCGCATCTCGATCGAAAACTCTAGACTCGCCTGTTACGTTCCTGGAATTGAGCCGGCAGACGCGTGCCATTGTCCTCTCGTGATCATAATCCCGTTCTTGACCAATAATCCCGTACTTGAAACCTGTTCAGCATGGAAATCACTCTGGAGAACGCCGTACATGCTAAAGCGTAAGACATATTGTCAGGGCAAGGGATTGTCGCCCGAAGCTCAGCGGGGGATATTTCAAGGCTGGACAGGAAGACAAGACAAGTGCAGGCACAACCCACACTGGCCATTCAATATCCAGGCTGAGAAAAGAATGTGGAAATCTTCACGTGGAATAATGTCACCATGAACAGGTGACTGCTTTGTATTGAGTAGGTGGTCTCACAATCTGTCCAGTCCACCAACGAAGACACCGTCTCCTGCAAAACCACAGCGGCCGAAACCTGGATATCCCAGCAATAACATGATCCCTTTTATACGCCGCGCTCAAGCCCATGCCCTTTTCCCTCCCTCCAATGTTCGCCGCCCAGGAAACCCCCCGACAAAGCAACGTTCCGCAGGCAGAAAGACCCGCTAGTGCTTGAACTCCGGGTCGCCCGTCGTGAACCACTCGTAGTGCACCCTCGTCTCGTCGACGCCCTGCGCGACGAGGTAGGCCGACGTCTCGGCCATGAAGGCCTCGGACCCGCAAATGTAGTACTCGGCGCCGCCGTGCTCGAGGTGCAGCTGCCCGCGGTCCATGACGGCGAGGTCGAGGCGCACGCCGTACTCGTCGCCGGGGGCGCGCGTCTGGCACGAGTCGGCGTCGGCGACCTTGCTGCGGAAGAACTTGGTGGCGAAGCGGTCGCGCGACGCGGCGACGCGGCGCACGTGGGCCTCAAAGGGGGCGGCGCCGTGCGCCGAGCAGTGGACCCAGCTGATGGGGCGGACGGCCTGGCGCTCGACGACCGTGTTGAGGATGGCGGCCAGCGGCGCGGCGCCGACGCCGGCCGAGATGAGCACGAGGGGCAGCGTCGACGACGCGTCCGTGTCGAGGTGGAAGTCGCCCACCGGGTGCGACAGCTCGACCGTGTCGCCGGCCTGCTTGTCGTCGATGAGCAGGTTCGACACGGCGCCCGGGTGCAGCCGCAGCGCCTCGGCGCCCTTGCCCACCTGCGTGCCCGCGTCGCGCTTGATCGTCAGCCGGTAGTGGTCCGGCCGCGGCGCCTCGGAGAGCGAGTACTGCCGCATCTGCTGGTGCTGGATCGCTGGCACGGGCACGCGCAGCGTGACGTACTGGCCCGGCAGAAACGCCGGCAGCCGTCGGCCGTCGACGGGGACGAGGTAGAATGAGTAGATGTCGTCCGTCTCGGCGACCTTGCGCTCGATGCGGAACTTGCGGAACGCCGTCGGGCCCCAGCCCGCGCCGAGCTCGAAGTCCCTATATAGCTGCGCCTCGCGTCCGATGAGCATCTTGGCGAGCAGGGAGTACGCCTTGTGCCACGCCTGCTGCACCTCCGGCGTCCATGTCGGGCCGAGTATCTGTCCAAAGGCTTCGAGCAGGTACTTGCCGACAATGTCGTAGTGTTCGGGCCGGATGTTGAGGGAGCAGTGCTTGTTGCACAGGCGTTCGAGACGGGGGATGAGCTCGGCTGTGTGGTTGAGGTTGGCGGCAAAGGCCAGGATGACAGACGTCAGGGCACGCGGTTGCCGGCCGTTGGCCTGGTTGGCTGTGTTGAACATGTCATGCAGCTCCGGATGGGCGCGCAACATGTTGGCGTAGAAGAGGCTTGTGATGGTCTCGCCGTGCTCGCGCAGGGCGGGGATCGAGCCCCGCACGAGAACCGACTGCTTGTACGTGAGAGCCATGACGGGACAAAGCACGTCAGGGGGGGGGGGGCAAGTCTCGGTGATCAGGGTCTCTTTCCTCGGCGAGGGTGGAGGATGAGGACGTGCCGTCGGATATTCAGCGCCAAGGAGTATATGGCAATGGTGATCGCTCGTGCAAGGGGTTGGTAACAGTCGATATTCAGATCCCGTGGGTGGGCAGGAGGTCTCAAAAGATTCCTGGATCGTCCGTTGAGGCTTCGATAATGATACTCTGCACCTTGCCCATCTCAGATGGCCCGGGGAAGGGCAGGGCAGGGCATGACTTAGATATAGCACCCTTCCCACTCCATCTGGGCGGAGAACTTTCTCCACGCAACGACCATAGGAAGAGGTTTTTTTTTTCTCATCATCTAGTTCTCCTCGTTCCCGTTCTTCCATGGGGCTCTGATCCCGGACCCTCCTCGTGGCTTACTCGTGGCCTGGTTGTCTCACCGCCGCCTACAGGCACTACCCATTGACGGCGTTGACGATATCGTATGATGTTGGCTTCTGTCGGATATACTGGTGTTTATTGTAGACACGACTTGACCCGCACTACGTCCCTTGCAACGGCCACGATCTGACAGGCAAGACAAGCGGCCAGCCAATGACAGACGTGGCGTGGTCGAGTGTAACAGAGGGAAGCGCCCAGAGCACCCCTCCCCTGGACAGAAGCATTCCTGTCACAAGTGACACGTCAAAACGAAATTCTGCCTCCCCGTCGCTTCTCTGGTGGGGGCTACGAGGGGGGGGGGCAAGGGGGGCCGAAGGGGATCAGGGGGAAGCTCAGGGTAACTGTTTGCGGAGTGGGGTGTCAAGTCAAGACGGGAGAGACCGAGACCCTTGAAACCAAACTAGGTCGTGTAATAATGTCGCTTTTGGCCAGCAAAGTTTGACTTGGAGATGTTTCGTCCACATTTCGTGAGAGCCGATGAAGCCGGACTGTGATAGCCTTCTCAGGTTGAAACTTCGTCGTTCTCTATTCCCTTGCATGATTCCACGCGTCCTTGGTCAATTGGAAGTGGACATCGAGATGACCGAAGCAGATGACCACGTCGAGTTGCCCTTTCAATGCGAGTACGGGACGGTCATGAGACGCCGAGAAGGCCGACAAGAATGATGGAGATCCAGGCGTGGGGTGGTCACGGCCATGGGCAGCCGTGGCAGAGGAGGGTTCGTTTCGAGGCTTGTGCTTCGCTTGTCGATCCCTCTTCTTGGAAGCAAAGGGGGGGGGGAAAAACCACGCCACTCTGGCGCAGGGCTGGACCTAGATCAAAATGGAACATCGTATGATGGACGCACAATTCCGCCAAGCAGTCGCGAAATGACATCAGGGTTGGTCGGTGCCCAGAACCACACTTGGCAGCCTTGGTGTGGGAGGCACAGGCGATGGTAGAATCTTCTGTTGTCGAGCTGGAACTCTGAAAAGCGACATGGCCATCTGCTGCATCTATCTCGATCAATGTAGCAAAACCTTACCTTGATGCCATCTGAAGCGCGGCACAAAGTAAATCGCAGTGGAGATCTCCGTGTTGAATCATCACTGTCGTCATTGGTCATAAGCGATCGGACCGTGTACTCTGGGGTGAGACAAGAGAGAAGGCTGAACACGTGTTTCTGGTGAGCTTGGCCAAGGTGTTCACGCTCTGGTGAGGTGAGCTTGACCAAGGTACTGAGGTACGCAGGGCTGTCAAGTGTCGTCCAGCAATAAGGGCTCAAGTGCCCGGCAGTACGGGTCCATTGGTCCCTGGATCAAAGTACCATGTACATGTAGCACACCTCGGACGCTCCATCTCGCGCACTGCTTGTGGCTTCCGCCTCATAAGCCACAACGAGCCACAGGCCGAAAGGCTGGTTCTAGCGTGCTGGCGCCTCGACCAGGTCAACGTCTTTCATTTTGGTCCACCACAAACGAAATGGTCTGTTCTTGGGCTCGCCAACTTTCTGCTTTTCTGCCCTAGCAGTGGACCGAACGAAGTACGCCTCCTCGTCTGTCCGTCACCACGGTCCGATCTCCACCTCAAACATCAGCCCATGGTGGCCCCTGTGACCGGGGCAGCCCGCGCCGTTGTGGACCAGGAGCCGCAGGTACCCTTGTCTTTCTTGAAGACTCGGTGTTGCTGAAGATTCGATCGGCCACCGCTGAGCACCATTGATGGTCTGCTCACAATCCCCGATATCTGCACGCCATATGACGGAATCTCGGTTGTGATATCTGACACCTTGAGACCATCTAGACCTCGCCCGTTGGCCACCGTGAGCAACCCCACGCGTTCGTCAGCCCGTGAAATTGTTTATCAGTCTCGCCTGTCAGTATCCCGATACCATTTCCGCCTCTTATTGTGCCGCCAAAAAGCATGGCAAGCGGTACAAAACATGGTAAAGTGCCAAGTCGTGCGCTGTACCAGTCAGCAGCAACTCGTTTCCTGCAGTGACCCAGAACTGGGCTTCTTACTTGGAAATGTTCACCCCCTGACCCTGGCCTAGAGCGACGTACCTTGAAACATTGACTACTTGTCAGATCTCCTCGGACGCAGACTCTCCCGAACTCCGCCTCCAGACGCGGACTATCCGGAAACCACGATGCTTCTTCATTTCCACCAACTGACGAAAATCAGGGCTGCCGGCAAGCCGATCTCTTCCGTGCAGTGAGGGTCTTCCGTCTATGTGGCGACCATGTCGTGTTGCTGGATAGCCCCGGCTGTTCCCGGTTCGCCCACGCGGGCGTCGGGATTTGGCCCGTGACTGAACATTCTTATTCCTTGCTAGCAACGGCTGGCCAGTATTGACGACAATCGAGATCGATATTGAGAGCTGCTCCTTTCTTCTTGCTCATAATACTTGAGATTGATTCCTTCTACCGGCAACGCTACCAAGCCGTATTCTTCATATTTCTGTTCAACCTATTCCCATTGATTTTCACGTTGTCGGCATTGCGATTCTCTGTGATTACCAGCCATGCGGCAGCAATCGAAAACCCTATGACAAGCGGGCCATGAGCTGATAACCTCGTCACGAGACACTACATTTCCCCAAGACCTCTTCTGCACAGACATGCATCATAAGTAGGCATGCTTGGTTATCCTAACTGCGGGCCCTGGACCGAGCGACCGGAGGTATGCCGACACATCTTCCCTTCACAACCGAGCATCTGGCCTACCATGTAACCCTTCTCACCCGCAAGTCCATGGCGTCAACTCCCGGATGACGATCATGCAACCATGCGGCACCGAAAAGCCCCACCCTCCGGCACCTCGTGGGGTGATCGTCATCCCACAACCGAGACAACGCGCCGGGGCAACTGCCGGTCCGCATTGCAGCATGGGGCCACCGCACATGGAAAGCTCGTGTCATGAGGGTTATCACAATAGGTGTGACTGCAAATGTTCCGATTGGTTTCTGCAATCTGCAGCGGCTGCACACTTGCTGCTTCTTCCCTCACACCCGTAACGTTTTCCTGTCGCCCCTCCCAAGACTCCCAAACGCTCTTACTACAGGAAGGTTAGTCTCAGCAATACACAGATCTTGCGAGAGGGCGGAGGGGGGTCATGTACTCACAACATCAATCCATCGCGCCATCCACTTATCGACCGTCGCTCGAGCCTCGTCCACGAGCCCCAGCTCAAGCAGCAGCTGCACACCGCCCCGGATCCCCGACTCGAGAGCCGAAGACACCCAAGCGTGCGTGATGGACGTGTGCTCGCCGACGAATATCAAGTTGCTGTGCGTCTTGTGGTACTCGGGTATCCACAGCTGGTGCTGGCCGACCGTCGGGCTCCCCCAGGCGCCCACGGCCAGGGGGTCGAGCTGCCAGCACCGGCGGTTGTAGTTGCCCGTATACAGCGCGCGGACCGCCTCGCCGTGTATCTCGACTGTGGCGTCAAGGACATACTGCACGTGCTCGGCCTCGCTACGTCCGAGCCACGAGGCGCCGACGTCGCCGGACACGTAGCTCGCGAGGATCGATGCCGGGCCCGTGCCGTTGACGTTGTAGCTGGGGTAGCAGACGTTCCCGACGGTGGGTATATCCGTCGACGTGCTGCAGCTGCCGATGATGGGGTTGGCGTAGTGCTCCCAGAAACGCTCGCTAAACTCGAGCGCCACTTTGCATGCGCCATAGTACTTCATGCTGTTGATCGCCGAGGACAGCACGGGGTTGAGAGGCGGCAGTCGCCAGCTGCGGACGACGGTGAAGGGGGCCGAAATGATGGCATAATCGTAGCTGGCGCTCTGGAGGGTTTGCGAAGTTTGGTCGTCGCGCCACTGGAGCTTGACGCGGTCCGAGGTCGGTTCGTAGCTGACACGCTCGATGCGGCGGTCCATGACCGTGACGTCGTCTACCAATGGGCGGAATGCCGCAGGCAGCCGGCTCAGACCACCGTCGACAGTCTTCCATGTGCCGTAGACGAAGTAGAAACCGTTGTATATGGATGCCCAGAAGGACTCGTAAGACGTGCGGCCGATGGCGCTGGCGTCAGCAAGGGAGCCGCCGAGGTGGTTGACCATGAAGGCGAACTCAGACCAGACATCACCGCCTAAGCCCTTGAGCCCATTCTTAATCCACTCGGAGTGCGCTTTGAAAATATTCTTCGCAATGAGGTCGTTGAACTCAGGTCCTGGTAGGTATTCTGCGAGGTCAGCCTGAAGTCCTTTGGCCGAATCCGAAAGTTCAACCGGTACAGGGCCGAGCGAGGAGTTAAGACCAATCTCATTGATAGTCGGAGGCAGCCCACTGGGCATTCTGACGCTGTTCCTGTAGTCCAAGCCGTTTCGATCGCTTTGGATCCATTTGATAAAGTTGACCGACAAGCTAGCATCATGGCCGTTGAGTTTGTTCAACTCTTCAGCGAGCTGGTAGACGATCTGCTGGTCGCTAATGTTGAAAGTCTTGTTCGATGAAGGATCCGTGTATGTATCCGGAATGCGCATCGGACCCATCTCCTGATAGGAATAGTCAAACGGACCACCCGACAGATACTCTGTGCGGACGCGACCCCCAAGTCGCTTGCCACCCTCGATGATGGTGAGGTTGGTCAGTCCAGCTTGGGAGAGAACCAGCCAGGTCATGAGGCCAGACATGCCAGCGCCGACAATGGCAATCTCCTTGGCTTTGGCCTTTTCGACATCAACAGGTCCAGGCTGCTGCTGCTCCAGAAGCTTGACGCCTTCGAACCATGCGCCGACATGGTCGAATCCGGTTCCGTTCATTTTGATGCTGTCTGCAGAATCCATGAGCATACGGCTGTCGAAAGAGTGTCTCGTGGATGGACTCACCTGGGCCTCGCTTCTGAATCCTTCGTTTCCAGTGATGGTGCAGTACCTGTGGCTCGCTGCGGCCGACGAGCCTCCCCTTTCGGTCCCAAGCTGACAGACAACCATTTGATTCGGCATTCTCCGGAATTATCCACACGAGGCGCTGGCCGTGTTGTGCTTCAACCTTGGCAACGGTGTGGTGGCTATCTCGCAGTGTGCTGGATGAGCAGCTGCCATAGGCAAAGTCAATAGGACCGTCAACTGCCCGTTCAAGCCGCAGATGGACATTGGCAGCACGAGATTTGATCTCGGCCCGCGTTTCGAGCTTCAGCGGAAGGTTGGAAGGTAACGATGTCGCTACGGCGACACCCAGAACAAGAGGAGAGAGCCAAATCTTCATGTTGAAGGATATTGGGTACGACGGACGTTTGTTAGACCTCGGCTGCGGGGATCAACCGTCGGCGATAGAAGAATATATGATGTCTTCTTATAGAGGAAGACACAAATATTCTGCCCACGATCAGTCACCCATGTTGGAGTTCCATGCCGGCGAGGAGGTATGCCATCAGCTTGCTTATAGAAAACATGGATTCGCGAGAAAGACGTCGTTCCGCCCGCCGCGGCGCGAGGACTCGTAAGTCGACTTTGCTCATTCGTTGCACTCTTGCTGCTTCCTCCCCACGTTTGATCGCCAGAATGTGGCGGGAAGCCCAGAACGTGGGGCCGCCCCGTCGACCGTTGAAATGCATGCCCGAAGCGGAAGGTCGAGTGACGGCCCGGTTCGGCGGATGGATCCGCGGTCACCGATTATGGCGAGATTCAAAAGACCGCAGGACTAGCTGTCGACTATTGCAAGCCACGCCGAACGTGCCCTGCTGGACTCCTCCTAAACGGCCTTGTTGTACGTAAGTTTAATATTCAGGAGCGATCCTTTGGATCCTGAACACGGGTTTGATCTCAGTCAGTGGGGTAAGATGGGTTCATGGTGGACAGGAAGACTAAGCCATGCAGCCAGATAAGCATAACTTGGCATCAGCCGGATAATGCGGAGGCGATCAACGGGCCGCCATGCGCTGGTGTCGAATGTAGCAGGTAGCGAACGTGGGGAGTTGAAGCCAACCCCGAGATCAAGCTAGGCGGCCTTTTAAGGCCAAGAACAAGAGAACTGATCAGACACGTCGAGCTTCTTCCCCAAACCTAACTTCATGCGGCGAATCTTTTTCCTTTCCATAGCGCGTGGAAGCTTCCTGATATATGTCCATCTTTCAGTGCGGGAACTTAGGCCCTGTATGGTATTGGCTACCAATAGAATGAGTGACTGGTCTATTGCGCTGAAAAAGTCGTGCGGACGACGGAGTCCGGATGCCATGCTCGGCCCCGGTTGGGAGAATGGCTACTACGAAGGATTCGCACAGACGAGGGCCTGTGAAAGGCCTCAGTGGGTCCGGCGCGGGCAGGCGCCAGCCAAGGCTGTCTAGGAGTCCTCAACTGGTAAGGAATACCGGCAAAATCAAGCTGGCCACGCCTCATGTTGAGCGTCTCGTGGTCCTCAATGGTCTTGGGCAATGCGATGCTACACCACAATCTCAGGTACTGTGTCTTAGGCAGATTGGTGGACGACCAAGCAACCGGTGGGCTGGCGAGTTTTCGCATTCAAGGACTGGAATAATGTGTCTTAAAGCCGTGGTGCATGCTTCCGTCTGCTGAGGTACTCGTCTATCAGGAGGGCTGAGGATCTTCCTGTCAACCCGCATATGCGCCAAGGCCTCACGCCATAATCCACCAGCCACTCAGCAGCGTGAATCAATGAGAATTACGGTGTTGTGCTTTTAGGATACTGATGCACGTGAGACATGCTTGTGTTTGTTGATAAAGTGCCAGCTCGTGGTTTGGAGAATCATCACAGCTGTCGACATCTTGCGCGGCGTTCCCAGCCCAGTCCAGGACCATGTCATAGCAACGCCTTCATTCCGTACCGATATGACGAGCTTCATGTACCTGTCCCTCATATGGTCAAGGCCTTGTCAAGAGCACTCAAGTGTGGCGCGCCGGGTTGAAGACATTGTCGACACACGGGTTCAGCGTACTTGAGACGGAGTGAGGAGGATACGTGATTGAGATGCGCATCGCAGACATGATAGGTGGGCACTGATTAGCTCGTTCGCTCGTCCCGAATTCTGCGGTTGTCTGTGTGGCTGGTATCTGGAGATTCTTCCTTCCGTCCCTTTTCTCCTCGTTTCACAGATGTCTTTTGCCGATATAAACGCCAGTTCAAAACCCCGTGTCGTCAAATGCCGTATCTAGTGTTGCTGTTGCCTGCGGTCGTCACCACCAATGCGTTCGAGGGCCTCGAGCATGACGACAGAATTGCCACGGATGACCTGCGATTGTTAGCATTCGAAGACCATTGGGGTAACAAAGCTGAGAACCTACCACCATGCCGATCCGCACCTTCTCGCCGCCTTCCTTCTCCTCGACCGCCTCGTCCAGCACGATGTTCAGGAAGACCTAGAGGTAATCAGCTTAATGTGCGGGGTTCAGAGTGGTTGGAGGTGCATACATCGTATCCGCGAAGAACGCCGATAACCTTGCGACCGCCGTTGAGCTGCACAAACAGCCTCTTGTCGAGGTACTACATCTAGATTAGCATCGACCCCTCACACGTTGAATTGCATGCCTCTGAGGACACAGCCGCGCAGCCGCCCGTGCATCTTGAAGGCTATACCAGGATGCGTGTGATCAACGCTCTTACGTACCTTCTTGAGTTCTGGTTGAGCGGGCGCCATGTTGTCGTTCGATGTTGGCAAGGCTGACCGAACTTGCTGTTGAGAGCTGGGCCTTGCGACGCGACAAGGAGCTCAGGCTCAGGCTCAGCCTAGAGCCATGGTGGGGCGGTGATCGAGAATTCAAGATCACGTGGTCTTATCGGAACAACCGAAGGTATGATAAGCATCGATTTCCCTAGAACTGCCCGAAGCTCTGGCAAACGCCCCATCTCAGAACACATTCGACCATCACCAGTGGACGTACATCAGTTGTCTCGCCATGAGTTCTTTCGCGAAAAGGAAAGCGCGCGTCATCAAGGTTGAGGATGATGACGATGTTGCCCTCGGAGGCAGCAGCGCAACCACGACTGATCAGCAGCTCGTAAGCGAAGGTATGTCTTGCGATCCTCTGCTTCACGACCCTCCGCTAATCGGCAACGAAACGCAAAAAGACTGACGAGCTTCGCATAGAGGCCCCCGCGCCCAAATTCACGCGAAAACCATTAAGACAGTCCGGCTTGCGCAAGAGCATCAACGTGAATCAAATTGACGATGTCGACGGCGCATCCACGACGCTGGGAAAGGCAGCCACCGCACACAATGACGACGACGACGACGACGGACCGGTCGTAATTCGCCCCACCATCGGCCGCGCCGGCTCGACCAAAAAGAAGAAGCGCGCATCAACCTCTCGATTGTCCTTCGGTCCCGGTCAAGATGCTGGCGACGCCGCTTTCAGCACGCCGAAGAAGTCGTCTCTCGGCCAGCAGGCGGCCGAGAACAGCGCCATCAAGAAGCCAGGCTTCACACACCGTCTTCCCATGCGCCGCTTCAACGACGATGAAGAGGACCGGCCACGCTACAGCAAGGAGTTTCTCGACGAGCTGCAGAGCTCGACCCCCAACACACCACAGCCAATTTCCTCATTGCGCGGCACGAGTGACGACGAGATGGAATTGGACCCCTCGGAACTGGAAGGCGCGCTTATCGTCAACGAGGGCACGTACACCGAAGCCGCAGTGCCCCAGCAGACAAGCATACTCAGCAACACGGAGATTCAGGAGCGGAAGCAGCGGCGCGCGCGACTGGCGAGAGAAGAAGACTTCATCTCGCTGGACGATGAGGGCGACGACCGGACGGATGGCAAGCCATCAGAAAACACGCGTCTTGTGCCCGAAGACGAAGACCTTGGCGAAGGCTTTGACGACTTTGTCGAAGATGGCGGTTTGTCGCTGGGCAAGAAGGCAGAGCGCGAGGAGAAGGCGCGTCGACGCCGCGAGATGGCCGAGCAGATCCAGATGGCGGAAGGCAACTCGGAGGAGTCATCGGACGAGAGCGACGCCGAGCGTCGGGCGGCGTTCGAGGCGGCGCAGACGCGCAGTGGCATGGACGGCTTGAGCAAGCCGGAGAAGAGGGACCCAGCAGAAGCGCTGCTGCAGGTTCCCGCCAAAATCACTCCGTTGCCGGAGCTCGATGGCTGTCTGGAGAAGCTCAGTCTGTCGTTACGGGGGATGGAGGGTGCGTTGCGGGAAAAGCAGACTGCACTGGACAGGCTCAAGGCGGAGAGGGAGGCGATTCTAGCTAGAGAAGGAGAAGTCCAAGCTCTGCTGGATGAGGCGGGTAAAAGGTACACCTCCATCTTGGGCGGTTCGGGTCCGACGCTTGAAGCAGGACAATCGCCCGCTAGGCAGATTCAGAACGCCGGCATGAGCGAGCTTGCGGTCGAGAGGGGCCTCGAGAGCTTTGGCACAACGCCAGTTCGACGGCCTGATGTAGGTGACGAGTGATGAGATAGCTCGAACCATTGAAACAGAACCTGTGATACCCCTTCCCTACAATTTTACTTCGCCGAGCGCCATTCCAATCATGTCACGGGAATCCGATCAGTTACTTCGAATGCTAATTGCATGTCTAATGTATAAAGAAAAGCTCCATTTCAGGAGACATCCTGCCAGAACCAACGCCGCATGAGGATACATCCTATGGTACAGACTACCTTGCTCGCTTATCACTCCCTATTACGGGCACACATTTCTCCCCTCCTCACTGCCTCTCTCTCGATTTCTCCGAGCCGCCTACTTGCCTGCAAAGTGCTCACTTCGACTTGGAAACGCCAGCGCCAATGACACCAGGCAACTTCTCCTCGCCGATGCTGTAAAGCAGGCCGATGGAGAAGGTCAAAATGCCAACCATGAGGATTGTGAAGCCAGTGAACAGCCAGAAAGGCGCGCTGACATCGACCTTGCCGCACGTGGCGCCCGCCCAGTGTGTGACGGAGCCATTCTTGGGGCGGCTCGACTCACACTGGCAGTAGAAGCATGTGCCGGCATCGGAGCCGTCTTCTCTGGCGTACTTGTTCACACACTTGCCGTGGCCAGAGCAGTTGCCTGTCGAGTTTTGGCAGCTGTCGGCGGAGGCGAAGCAGGAGGGGAGATCCCGGCCGCGGACGAAGGATGCGAGAGGCATGTCGGCGGCTTCGACCTCAGTGGCAGCAGTGGTGGGGGCGGGCTCATCGGCCTCCGTCATGACTTCCTCGGCGACCTGACGACGGCGGAGGGACTGGGGCTTGGTGGACCAGGCGTTGAGAGAGGAGATACGGGAGGTCTCAGGAAGGAGGACAAGGGTGGTCTCCATCTCGCCGCTCTGCGCGAGCTTCTGGAGGCGCGAGATGTTGTCGGCAAGAGAAGCGAGGATGGTGGTGTCCTAAAGATCTGTTAGTCCATGGTGCGGCATATTGGGCTGAGAGTGAGCGCACCTTTCGGACGTCGAATACGGCGACGGAAGATTTTCCGCTCCAGCACTCCTCCTCGAAAGGGTTGATGGCGCGCACGAAATCGCAGTTGGTTGCGCCGACGCCAGCGGAGGCCATGTCACTCTTCGCCAGATTGTGGTTGGCAACGGATGACGGCGCATCGTTGACCTCGAATGCCGGGCTGGAGCCCTTCAGGGTCTTCTTTAATGTCTTGGCATCTTCGGTTGAGATACCCTCGAGCATAACAAGCAGCTGCGAGGGCTCGGAAGTGGCCTTGTTGTCGAAAAGCGGCTGAGGCGACTTGCCGAATTGGTTGATATACGAGACGGCGGTCTCGGTCGTCACGTCTTCGGGAATATCATTGAGCGAGTCGGTCCAGGCTTCGGGTGCTAGGCGCTGGAGAAGGATGAGACGTGCGATTTGCCGTGGCAAAGAGGGGGTTTCGGAGGTCGAAGCCTGCTTGGATTGCAGGATATATACGTCAGCAGGCTGCAGAGCGCTGGTGAAGCCTGCCAGGGCTGCCGCAACGCCCAGGGAGAACTTCATCTTGAATCGGTTCGGATTGAAGCTCGACGATAGTGATGGGTGGGCGGGTTGCTTCGCGGCCTTGATACTGGTACTGTCCGCGTGCTGGCTGATGGACGTGTCGACTGGAGTTGGCTGGAGCTTGCTGAAGCTTGGGTTGGTGGATGCCTGCGTTCCATGATTGCTGGGACGGTCACGTGCTGAGTCGTGCACGGTCCATACGGACTCGACCCATGCCCACCTGGGATCATGTTCCCTCTGAGACTCCGCTCCGTGTCTGCCTTCATCCTATGCAGGCAGCAGAGGGTGTGGCTACCAATGAGGCCTGGATCCATGCGTCCTCCGACATGGTGGAGAGCAGTGAAGTTCAACATATAAACATGTTTGTTCACCTCACTGTTTTGGTCGCTGGTCAGATATTCGGCCAGATGAAAACACCCTGAGCAACTCAAATCCACCAGCATGCGTCTACCGTCGGAGATTCGTGACGAAGTGGTCTCGTACTTTCTTGTTCCTATCTTGAATGATCGTTATCCCGAAAAGGAGCATGGAACTGTGGACTGGAATTCCTTTGCTAGCCTAGGTCCCGCCCGGGCAGTACGGGTTTGGCAACCGTCTACACGAAGTGATGTGTGGGAATCAACGAGGTTCTACCAGCTCGAGCTTGATGTGGGAAGCCTTCTCGGACTCCGCCTTGTTTCTCACGACTGGCACACAAGTGCAACCCTCATGCTTGCGAAGCATCATCTGTGGCGTCTGCGATTCGACTCGGCGACGTCAATTGGACGGGCCATCAATGCTCTTCCATCTTTAGGTCAGATTCCTTTGCAACAACCTGTGTCGAGGCTGTCCATCGACGATACTGGAAGTGTTCAGTCTTTCAGACGGCTTTATGAAGACATTCACTACGACAACGACCCCAAGTACGAGGACAAACCGGTATGGTACCCTTCGCCGGGAGACGGGAGGGAGCGGCATCCGGCGCCGGACCCTCTACAAATCCACTACGACAAGACGAAGACTCACGATAGAATCCTTCAAGTTTTTGATGCTCTGAACAAGATTCAGACCTTCAGCTTGATTTTGCCACTAGCTGAAGCTGATTACTACGGAGACTGGAGGAGCAGCGACGACAATTGGGCAGATTGTTATGATCTGACAGCATTGGACGAGATAGCGGCGACATTTCGCTACGCTTTCACGAAGTCACCAGCATTTCACTACGTAACGGATCTTCGTCTTCAGGTGCCTTCCACACACTACATTGGAGAGCTTGCAAACGCTCTCGACATCGAAGCACGAACACGCTTGAAATCCCTCCAAGTTATCATCATGGACCAGACGGGTTCGTGCGGCAACCGAGACTTCAGCAGCCGCGCCGACCCTAACCATCGCGACGACATGGCTGACGGCGTTATCGATGACGACCCTGATATAGAGGACGAGGCAAACTTTCCGTACAGCAACGTGCAGCGTATTTATCCCAACAGAAAACACCAGGAAGCGCTGTGGGCCTTTGTGCGCTCTTGCCGCAATCTTGAGGCTCTCTACATTCAAGGGTCACATTTTCTCGACCTGGATCTGCTGGGTTGGAGCACGGCCGCGAATCCGAAATGGCAGGGCCTGCAGGTGCTGGCTTTGAGTCGTGTTTACGTATCACCTGATAGCCTTCTCGACCTGATACGGCCGCATCCTGAGGTGCAGGGAACCTCTCGTTTGTGTAGGATTTCTCTGGACGATGTGAAGATGCGTCATGGCAAATGGGCCCCCGTCTTCAACTATCTGAACGATAAATGCTCTGACCTGGAGTGCGGTAGGTTCTACAATCTCACGTACTTTACTGAGCATGAGAGCTACGAGCACAACAACAGGATCCACGAGAATGTAAGTTCTCTTTGGTCATCCTCAACGCACGACGAACACACTTTGCGCCATCTTGCAACCAAGCTCGTCGAAAGAGTCGGCGGGAACAATTATTACCCAGAAAGTTGCCTCGATTGTATAGAAATCTAGTTAGACTGATTCTATTCAAGGTACCGCCTTTGAGTCGTGAAATAAACGAGTAGTTGACTGGGTTTGGTTTCACATGATATGACATTGGAACAGGTGCCATGACACACACAATCGATGTATACAGTGTGAAGCATGTGATGAACACAGTCTGCGCCATCGAGCGCTGGCGGGAAACGTCGCCGCTATCGGGCGGCACTGTGACTGATAAGGCCTTTGACGTGGTGGCATTTGGAGCACGACCGCAATGACCAACAGGTGCCTCCAAGTCAAAACGGCCATTACGCCAGACGCCAGTGTTGGCGATACCTCAGCCGCCAGCACGACTCGATATCTATTCAACCCCGGCTCTCTGTGCATCGGTTCTTACACTCAGTCCGTGCTTGTATCTTTCTTGCATGCCCCGGCCACTTTTTGCGCCAGACTGCTTCCGACAGCCGTCCTATTTGACATCGTGCCCGACCGACACTGCCCCTCGCGCTTCAACGCCCGCCACTTCAGCAACGCCCACACGCTCGACAGCATAACCACGCCGCTTGGTTATTCGGCCACAATAAAATGCTGAGGCTGTTCAGGCCAGTGGCTGGCTTTCGGGCAGCACGCCTGGCGGCGCAAAAGACCCGGAGCGCCTCCCCTCGACAGTCGATCACTGTCCAGAGGGTGCGCTTCGCTTTCTCGCCTAGGAAATTCGTGAGGTGTGTTGTCCTGTCTCCTTGCCGCCGTTCGGCCTGGCTTACCATGGGATAGGAATGCATTTGTCGGCGGTTGCGTCACCTACCTTTGCTATCAATATTATGACGCCAAAGTCATATCCCCAATACTGCAATTTCTGGATCGAGAGTACGACTCATTGTCGACGAAGGAGAAGACAGAGCTGGACAAAGAGCTGGAAAACTTCGACGATTCAATATTTTTCCCCATCCCCTTCACGACTGCGCAGGTCCAGTCCCCTCCGTACCGAGGCAGCGACCCGGAGTGGGCACAATTCAGCAGGATCAGCAAAGACAAGCCGCTGCAAGAAAGGATACGAAGTGTGTGCCCATCCGTTCTTTGATCATTTGTACGGAGCGGCTTGCTAATCATTCGTTTCGCAGATGAGCTGGCCCACGAAGTGAAAGATATGGTTGAAAAGCACCCGATGATCGGCCCTCGTTACGGCAACAGCATGCGAATTCGTAGATATTGGCTCGATATCGACTTTCCACCCCGACCACCTCCGACATTCGAACAGTCTGGGTATGCATCCTCCTGCGCTTCATTAGTACCCCTGTCTTGCTGACTTTGAGCGCAGAATTCTTTGGGACGATAATGGTCTGCATTGGGCCGCCGAACCGATCGATTCCTTGACAGCGACTCAATTGCACAACATTTTATGGCCCACGGCCGCTGCACAGTCAAGCTGGGCATACGCATCAACAATGGCCAAGCAGCACTGGTTCCAGTTTCAGAGGCTACTCGGGTTCGACGTGCCACCTCCTTCGGGCCCGTTCCCCCAACCACGAACCGCGGCTCTCGACCACCCAAAGTTCCCTTCCGCAGGACGCCAGACTCCTGACGGCAGGTCCGCTGACGCTCCCTCCGGTTCTGGCAAGGGGTCTGCAGATATGCAACCGCCAAACACCGCTCCGAGTGGCGGCAAGACAAGGTTTTCCAAGGATGTTGATCCGTCGCTTGCTAGTAATGTTTCGCAAATGTCCACAAGACCGTTCATGGAGTTTCTCGCCAAACTCCGCAAGACGTGGGAACCGGCGAGGCCTCACCCGCCACGTGGATCGATCATTGTGTCAGGCTTTGTGGAGCTCGAATCTCAGAACAGCTTCATCGTCATCGACGTCATCGGCTTCTGGGATCCGAAGAAGCGGGCTCTCGATAGCAAATCCTCGGTCATGAAAGCTCGCAGGATTCAGATGAAGTTTCAGTCTCCGGCATGAGCGGCCTGCACGCTGCATTTTTATCGTCTCTACAGCGGCAAAGTTTAGGCCTTGATAAAGCGCTTGAATACATGATTATGGGCACGCGCCGATTGCATACGGCTTCGGAGTTGGATGGCAGCGATGGCCCTGCCTGTTGGGGGGTCTTGTTTTATTTTGTAATGTGTTTGTATCATCTGGCATGGGCTCGCAGCGAGAGGTAGAATGGATTATGGAGGAATTCATTCTCATCAGCGTTTTGGCGCAAGACTCACATAGTATGTGACGTCTCTTTCTCTATGGTCGCACATCCCAGTCTTGCGGTCTGCACTCCGTGTCAACTAGATCTTGGAGCTTCGAGGACTTTGTTGGGCACGAGCCAGGCGCACGGTCGCTGTTGTGTCCTCACTCCATCCGTACCCTACCAATTTCATTCACCAGAACTCGGGGAGGCCAAATGAGGCCAAACAGACTCTCGTCAACCTCATTCACCTGCTGGGGGCAGGTACGTTACCTAAGCCTCCCATAATAGAAGTATATAGAGGCGCGGATTGCCCATCGATTCAACATGGATTTTACTCGTCATGCACTCATTACGAGTTGCTCAACACTCAACACCACTCATACACTTGGTGATTGCTAATCCCACCATTTCTTCAACTATTCCTTGCCGCTCTTCGAAGAATTTGGGCATACGTCTCGCGATACACCGCATTTGATTCCTTCATTCTCCACAACTTGGTCGTCCTCGTCACTCCACGACACGACTGGCCGCTCCTTCCATCCAACACCCACAAGACTAAAGACCCGCGTCTTGGGCAACAACCCCAACGCAAGCTTCTATTGAGGCGTTCCTACACTGCTCCTCCCACTCTGTACACCATCATATCGCACATGATGGCAGATTCGAGCTTAACAGAAAAGCTCGCCCCACACAAGAGGCGTCTCCTTTGTGATCTCGCCGAACTGCAAGAGCAGCCTTATCCCCACATCCAGTTGTATGTTGACGAAAGCGATATCCTCAAAGTGTGCCTAGTCCTCACGCCGCCTGGTTGGATTCCCATTCATCTCACAGTCATGTTCCCGCCAGAGTATCCTCTCCGCGCCCCGTATATACATACGGACACCCATATCAGCCATCCAAACGTCTTCGGCAATTATCTGTGTGCCAGCATCCTCAACACAGCTGCAGGCTGGACTCCAGCGTACACACTCAAGGGCGTGGCCATCCAGATGCTGAGCTTCTTCACGAGCGAGACCCTAGAGCAGGACTACGGTGGCCGCACGGTGAGCTTGCTCTCTCTGCGGAACGACAACAGGCAACTGCCGCAGTCGTTCAACTGTGAGCGGTGCGAATTCAAGAGCGGCACCTGGGCAGACGCCAAGAGGGCGCACAGGAAACGACTGCAAGAGGCCGCTGCCCTCGAAGAGGCCACCGCTGCAGCAGCACCTGCCAAGCCCGACCACCACAGCCACCAGTACCTGACGCAGATGCCCGCTGAAATTCTCTTGACGATCATCGACACTCTCGAATTTAGGGATCTAACTGCCTTTGCGCAGGCTTGGACTCGTGTCAGTGACCTCATCGCACAGGCGGATGTTGTTCGGCTGCGGGAGTTGCAGTGCTTCTGCACCAAGGCCAACTTCAATAGTGCCAAACTAGGCGTCGGTGTCTCACTCGATGGAAAGGGCGCCAATAAGTCGATCAAATCTGAGTTCGACCTTCTCTCGGAAGAGGGCTTTGGGAAGCTCGGCATCAGGAAGTCCGTCCACGGAATCAACTTCAGCCACTGGTTGCCTCTCCCCATCTCGCAACGGCACTGGGCTCAGGTTCGGGGCGAAGCCAAGGTGACACTCATCCAGATCGGAGAATATGCGGGCCTGGGCCGTCGCCTGACCATCGACGTCCTGGCCGCCTTCATGAACGACGTTGTGGTGCGCCTCAACAAGCAGGCCGAAGAGCCCGCCAAGCCGCGGGCCGTTGCCTTGCCCAGGTGGGACATGCCGGATCTGTGGTGGGCGAAACCCTCGGCGCCGGAAAGCACGCTGCGCCATGCGTCCGAAAAGGCCATTGAGTCGTATTTCCACCTCTTCCACATGCTCGTCTGCTTCGCCACCGAGGACAGGGAGCTCGTCGAGACGGCGAACCGGCGCATCCGCGTCTTCGCCTCAGGCCAGCGCCACAAGTCCGTCTGCCCGAACCTCGGCCACCTGCTCGTCTACCTCCTCATCAGTGATGTCGAGATCACAGAACTGCTGCGCAAGGACATCATCACCGAGGCCATCACGCGCAACGTCGTCTGGCTTTTCGACAAGCGCGGCGCCGACATGCCGGAGCTGTCGTACCTCGAGCCGGACGCCGAGTCGCCCTACCGCCTGAAGAGGACGTTTGAGGGCGGCCGCACGTCGTACCGGCTGCTCATGTTCTCCGAGCTGTTCCGCCGCACCGCGCGGCCGGGCCACGGAAAGCCACTGCAGCAGGTCAGGGAGGAGCTGTTTGACCGCCACGGCGCGCCGCCTCGGGGGGCGGCTGCTGCGCTGGCGGCCGAGGTGCGGCGCCTGCACGAGGTGGACAACTTCTACGACTTCTTCAGGGAGATGGGCCTCCAGAAGATCCCTGGCGTCAGGTGCTTCACGGCGGTGCTGCGGGCTACGGTCAAGGATAGCGTGTCCTACGGGTATTCGAGCTGGGGGCTGAGCCAGGACGTGGCGTATGTGCTGCGGAGGCGGAAGGAGCGCGGTGTAGGCGTCGTTCCGGGGCTCCAGATGTTGCGGGGCAGCGGCGAGTTCAGTGTGCCGCGGCACTTGACGTTTTTCCCGTCGAAGAGGGGGAGAGCGCGGCTGAGCGGACGCAGGAGGTGAGGGAGCATGAGTTGTCGACAGGTTCCGATGGCTTTGCTCAAAGTGTGATGTTTGACGATTAGAATGACTACAGCTCCTCTGATAGATGCTATGGCCTGATGAGCATCAAGTTGCTTGGCGGCACTTTTGCATGTGTGCGCTCGATTTCGAATGGCGAAGAACGGCACAGGCAAACCGTAGTTACCAGCCTCCATAGCGGAAAGAATTAGACCTGAAAGTACGGGCTGCTGA